AATACTGCCAAACAGTGGAAAGCGCCCGGCGTTCATTTCGAGGCTGAGAGCCTTGCTCTGGCGAGCAAGGGATGGAACACGCATGTCAGTGGATGGCCACAACTTTTTCTAGCCTCCGGTGGCTTTACTGTAGCAGGTGTGCAATCAACGTGGCCGTCTAATGATCCTGGTTATGACATCATGCCCACCGCGCCGCGATCGAGCTCTTCAACGCGCGTTCCCCTCGCAGGCTCCGTCTCTCGCCCGATGCTCGCCCTCCGCCCCCGCCTCGCCGTGTCCGCCGCTGCCGCCGCCCGCCTGTCCGTCCGCGCCCCGCTGCACGCCTTACGCGCTCGGCCGTTCTCGTCCACCGCCGCGCGCCTCCGCCCACCGGGCCCCGGCGACCCTCCATCGCTCGGCGCACGGGTCCGCTCGGTCGTTCGGGTGACACTGTTCCTGCTCGGCTCGACGGTGGTCGGTGTCGGCGTCGTCACGGCCGCGATCTTCCTGCACGACACGTTCACATACGTCGATCGCGTGCGTGGCCCTCCTCTGCGTGTGCTGCTGACTCTCTGAGCGCGCCCGCCCACAGCACGTCGATCGCGTCCCGGTCTCGCCGCTCGCGCTGCACCCCGAACGCGGCGGGCCCAAGAACCTGCCCGTCCTCCAGAGCCTCCTCAGCGACATCGAGGACACCGACAACGAGGCGCTCGTCGCCAAACCCCACCTCGTCATCGTCGGCGGCGGCTGGGGCGCCATAGGCGTCATCAACTCTCTCAACCCCGGCGAGTACCATGTCACCGTCGTCTCACCAGAGACCTACACTACCTTCACGCCCTTGCTGCCATGTGCGTCGTCTGTCTCTTCACCCTTGATGCTCAGCCAACTGCCCCTCCTACAGCCGCCGCGGTCGGCACCGTCCAGCTTCGGTCCCTCGTCGAGCCCATCCGCAAGATCGTCGCCCGTCTCCACGGCCACATGCTTTATGCCCGCGCCATGGACCTTGTCATGTCCGAACGTCTGCTCGAGGTCGAGACTGAGAGGCCCGATCCCGAGACAGGCGCTATCATCAAGGAGCGCATATATGTCCCGTGAGTGTCAGCTCCCGTTCGTTGGCCACGCTTCTGCTCATACCTCTCAGCTATGACAAGCTCGTGATCGCGGTCGGCTCGACGAGCAGCACCTTTGGCGTGCACGGGCTCGAGCACTGTTTCCAACTCAAGACCATCGCCGACGCGCGCAACATCCGGCAGCGCATCCTCGGTGCGTGTCGCGTGCCTCCACGCTTTATTCTCCGTCTCACATCTCGTGCGCAGACAACTTTGAGGCGGCGTCGCTGCCGACGACGTCCCCGGAGGAACGTCAGCGCCTGCTCAGCTTTGTCGTGTGCGGTGGAGGGCCGACGGGCGTGGAGACTGCGGCCGAGATATATGACCTGTGCCAGGAGGACTTGATGAACTATGTGCGTGCGCTGTCGCAGACCATCCGTCTGTCGCCTTGACTCCCTACGTAGTTCCCGAAAGTCTGCAGAGAGCAGGTGTCGATACACATCATCCAGAGCCGAGAACACGTCCTTAACACGGTGAGTGCGTGCCCATGCTCTGCGTCCTGCTCATTTTTATGCGCGCGCGCAGTACTCGGAGGCGATCTCCAAGTATGTGGAGCGCAAGTTTTTGAACGACCAGATCGACTTGATCACGTCCGCGCGCGTGACGGCGGTGTTCCCCGACCGGGTAGAGTACAAGGTCAGGACGCCGGATGGCAAGACGGAGCGGAAAGAGATCCCCGCGAACTTTGTGCTGTGGAGCACGGGGATCGCAAAGAATCCGTTCACGGAGCGGGTGTCGAATCTGCTGTGGGTGTGGGATGCGCATGTCTGCGAGACGATGCTGATGCGGAGCGCAGACCGAACCAGGTGCACAAGAAGGCGATCGAGGTGGATGCGCATTTGCGCGTCAAGGGCGCGCCGGTGGGGGAGGTATACGCGATTGGCGATGCGGCGACGGTGGGCGGCACGCTCGCTCATGATCGCCGTGCACTGACAACCCTTCGGCAGATCGAGACGTCGGTGGTGAGCTACCTGCTCGAGCTCGTGGACGAGGCGGACAAGAACCAGGACGGCAAGATCGATTATGACGAGTGGCAGACCATCGGTGCGTCCCCTTCCGTTTCGTCCCCATCTCCATCCTGCGCCGCCGCTGATATATGAATGGGCAGTGAGACGGATCAAAATGAAGATCCCGATGGCCGAGGACTCGCTGCAGCAGGTCCGAGAGCTGTTTGATCTGTACGACACGGATGCGGACAATAGCCTCACGCTGAACGAGCTCGCGGTGCTCCTGCAAGAGATCGGGAATAAGATCACTGCGTTGCCGGCGGTGCGCCCTTATTTATCCGATGTGTCGATCGACGGTGTTGATCACGAAGCGGAAGCAGACAGCGCAGGTAGCCTCGCAGCAGGGAAGGTATCTCGGGAAGAAGCTGAGCAAGCTCGCAAAGCAGCGCGAGACGCTCATCGCGAACGGGCTCGCGTTCGGGCCTGGCGCAGACGAGGCCGTCTCGCGCCCGTTCAGGTACTTCCACCTCGGCTCGCTCGCGTGAGTAACCCCGCAGTCGTCTAGTCTCGCATGGTCGGCTGACTGGACTGGTGCGCGCAGGTATATCGGGAACGCGGCGGTGTTTGATCTGGGCAGCACGAGCTTTATGGGCGGGCTCGCGGCGATGTACGCGTGGCGGAGCGTGTATTGGAGCGAGCAGGTGAGCTCGCGGACGCGCGCGTTGCTTATGATTGATTGGATCGTCCGGTGCGTGTCGTACGTTGTTTTGTTCTGCCAGGCTGCTGATGTGTCGTGGTCTCAGCGGTGTTTGGGGACGGGACCTGTCCCGCCTCTGATTCTGCGTGCCAAGAGCGCGCAGGGATATGATGCAGGGTTGTAGCTTAGCGTTTTTGGTAACTGCTCTACGAGACACGCGAGCCTTTGCGCAAACGCGCATCCTGCTCGACTCACGAAAAGGCGTAGCTGCACGAACGTGACGATGGAAAAGGATGTTACGCAAATAGATTAATCTACATTTGTAGATTAGAAAGCCTAAGCGTTGAAATCATTCCTGCCACTCGAAGGACCCGACGATGGCGGTACGACCTGCGAAGGAGCCTTGGCCGGGCGCCAGGACCGTCATACGGCGATTCGGGATATCGAGTGCGGTGCTATCCAACCACGTCACAAGTCAGCGCCGGCACACACAGAGATAGTGAGGCAGAGAGAAATGGAAATGGCAGACGCACACGACGAGGAAGCCCACCACGGGCAAATCGAGGATCTCTTCGTCGTAGCGCTCCGACTCGTCAGCGTTGGGCGGCGCGAGGAGGGCGAGGACGGCGTTGTAGAGGCCCGAGCCGGGCTGGGTGGGGTCGACGAGGAGGGGTTGCATTTCGGAGACGACGCGTGTTGCGCCGATGGGGAGTGCGGATGTGGGCGCCATCGTTTCTGGACGTTGATGAGTCAGTGTGTATCAGCGTGGTGAGTGCAAGAACGGGGCGCGCGCGGACGCACCTTCGCCGATGCGATAGATCGTGAGGTCGTTGAAGGAGACGATGGTCGACGACGGCGAGAGGTTGAGCGTGAGCTCGGGGGTCTGTTCCCCGCCCTGGAGGCATGCTGCCCCGGCGAGGCTCGGCGGCGGCTCGAGGACCTTGCCGTACATGTAGTAGTGCATCTGGTACTTGCGTATGCGTTCGCGGTAGCCCGCGTCGAGCTCGACGACCTGCGCGTGGTGAGCAGTTAGTGAGTGGTTAGGAAGGGGACGGGAGAGGACGGGAGAGATGAGCTTACCCCGCCGGACTTTGGGATCTTGACGACGGCCATGCGGGTGCTGTATGCGCGCTGCATCTCGACGTTGAGCTTTTCGTGGCCCACCACCAGAATGACGTTGACTACGAAACGGGTGCGTCTTAGCTCTCCGGTGACCCGGCGGATAGACAGACACTTACTGCGGAAAGCATCAACGCAAGCCTTGATGAGCGTATGTCTATGATCGGCACCTGCGCTCGTGCTGGCCGCGAACGATGAGGGCGTATCGACAATGATCCCCGACACCCTCCCTGGCACCCACCCCGCATCAGCGGTGCACTACGCAATCGTAAGAAACAAACTCTCGACTAACCATTCATGTCGTGATCCAGCCGCTCCACGACGTTCTCGCCCAAATTGCGGACAAGCCTGTCCATGAGCAAAGGGTTGCGCTTCGTCTCCGCATGACCGTACCAATATGCCAGAGGCACGAGAGCATTTGAGGATATGTGTGTAGGGGCGGAGGCCGTTGACGAGCCGAAGGTGGTCGTTGGTGTGCATGTCTGCAGTGGCGAGCTGATCGAAGCAGCGGATAATGCGCCGGGGACCGCCCAGCCTCCCTGAGCACAACGTCAACGGATCAGGGGACGTTCCAAGAAGGTTGTACCTAGATGATCACTCCCACCTCTCCTGGGTCCACATTGACCAACATAGGTTTCCAACCCTGCCCTGCGCGCGTCGCATAGTTTACGAGGATTTTGGACACCGTCGTCTTTCCCGAGTTCTCAGGTCCGAGGATCAACACGCGCGGAGGTTCCGGTATTGAAGCCGGCCCTCCCTCGTCATCCGAAGGAGGCGGGGATCCATGGGCCACACACAATGCCCGGACGCGCATCTGCTCGAGGGCGAGGTGGACATTCGCATAGACGTTCATCGGAGTCTCTTCCGAGACGTACTCCGTCGACGGACGGCCTGTGACGTGTAGGTCGAAAGAGAATGTGATGATGATAGGTACATGGATTCAGCGCGGAAATGTGAGGAGCACTCATCTCGATAGTGCAGCCTTGCCATGTATACACGGCAGCCTTGCATTCTAGGCCAAACAAATAAGTCTTGCCTTCCGCGAGTTCTGCACCAAAGATCTCGGCTTGACCATGTACGAGCTGGATAGGATAGCACAAGGAGTCAGGGTTGTCGCACAAAAGAGTGCGGTGGGCCGCGGCAAAAAAGCAACAGAGAATGTCATTGCGATTGTACTTCTGTAGGTACGTACCTTGATAGCGAATGTCGTGCCGGGGTCAAGTTCGAACCTGTATTCAGTCTCCGGTTCAAGCACCCACTGCTTTGTATTGCCATCTACTTTTAGCTCAGAGGGATGTGGTGTCCCACCATCACTATCCAACGACCCCATCCCTGACATCTTTTCAACACCAACACCGCCAAAGTGATGCGTACGCGACGCTCAACAGCACACAAAGAGCCCTCCCAAACAGCCAAAAATTATCCACGACTCAACGCCTGCAATCTCCCAGTCGTTCGGGCAATGCTGAGCGCGATATCACCAGGATGCGAAAGTCACCGTTCGTGCGGCCTTTCTCACAGATCTCGAAAGCTTGCCGTTCTGCCTGTAGGTATGTGTATTAAACAAGGAGCGATGGGTCTTGTCGCAGATGATGTTTGCTTGTGGCTTGGTTAGTGGTCGCGGCGCAACCGCTATCCCCGTGAATTCGAAGATGATGGTCTGATGCAAATTGTGGCGACCGCCCGATGCTACAGCCATGTGGCGTTGGCGCTCGCAGCCACAGGGTCCCTGGCCACAACTTGGCAACCATCTAAGTTGTACACAATCGGATGCACATTCAATTCGACAGAGCTCTATTGTGCAAAGTAGTAGAGGTAAGTCAAAGTGCATTGCACATGTGAAGGCGTGAGGAGGTGCCGAATGAAACTGGGTCGACGGATTACAAGAACGATCCAACTTTCACGGGTTTGCGTACGGCGGCCGAGTTACCCTCTTTGAAACGGTAAGCTATCTTATATTGCTGTACACTCTTGGTGTTTATGGGCTTTGTGTTTGCCCCATCAACGCCGCTCGCAGGCACTTTAAGCGGTCGCCCAAAGAAGTCTCTTGCGATCTGTGCGCGAGAGTCAGCTGGGCGAATGCATATAGCCGACTACGTATATGCACCTTCTCCTTGGGCTGTTCGTTGTCCTTCCGTGCACGTTTGTTCGAAGCGGTGTTCATGTCGGCATCCGGGCTATCGCCATCTTCATCTCGTCCCCGTGCCCTGCGAAACACGGCAAGTGAGACCGATGGCTTGTCAGTTTGCACTTAAAACACTCACGTTCCTTTAAAGAAGTTAGCCTTCTTCGGCTTGCTCTTCTCGCCGCCGTCAATATGCAAAGCAGCCATCCGGTCCTCAATCTAGTATGCATAATCCGTTAGGTGATCATGAACGAAACCTATGACGTGCTCCAGCCAACCTCAGTCGCCACGATGTGCCGAACGGCATACTTCGAGACTGCGATGTCCGCTGCGCGCTTGCCATCGTAGGTCACAAAGACGTCAATCGGGCTATGCAGGGAGCACGTCAGCATATGTCATGTTGGGCGAGGTCAAATCCGCTCACGGGTCGAGCCTGTACGTAAGCTGCCCGTCCTCCATCTTCTCCTGCACGAAACGCAGCTCGAGCGCGAGCATAAGGTCGACTAGTCTGGACAGGACGGCCTTTTCTCCTGGGCGGATCACTTGGCGGTTGACCTATGCTTACAGCTCAGCGCCACCCGCTATCAAATCCCAAATAATAAAAAATCACCGGCTTCACTGGAGGGGAGATGATCCTGTTGAGGAGCGGCGCGAGCTCCAACTGCATAATCTGATCGCTAGCCAGGTGCCGGAAGTCGCCCCCGCACCGAGTGGTAGCGCACCGCAGACAGCGCGATAGTGACTTGTAGATCTCCTCGTTCGTCTTCGTCACTTGGTAACTCTATGATTAATCCCGTCAATCTATCGAGTCTTGGAGATTAAGCAGGACTCATGAACTCACCTCCCAGTCAGCCTTCGGCCGCTCAACCTTTGTCGCGCCTCTCTCCTGGAAGAGCGGATAGAACGGTACGAGCATGTATGGCAGATACTGCAGCAGCGCATACTCCCGCTCCGAGCGCATCTCGCCGGACATCATGTCATATGACGTTAGCCACACATTCGCCTTCAAATAGCGCGAGAAATTCGCATCATGACGGTGCAGGTTCGCATAGTGCTCGAAGCAGCCTGACAAGTATGATGAGCGCACATGCCACACGTCTTGCGACAAGACAACCCACCTTGTGCAATCTTGTCCAACGCGCCACTGCTCTCGACTGCCCGACACAGGCGAGAAACATATCGTGTTTCTTCCGCCTCGCTTATGCCCAGATCGTTCACGCGTTTTTTCGACATGGGTGCGAAGAGGTCGTTCAGGACGGACGTGTGTGATGCCTCGGTTTCCTTCATTCCCATCGTCGCACCGCGCACAACAGGCTCTGTGACATCTTTGCCGCGTGCCTTGATGAACTATGAAGGACAAGTCAGTTCTGGACGCTCGGTTAAATTCGGGTGTTTGTCAGTGCTCTCTACCTGCAGCATATTGAGACAGCCACGCAGGTCCCCCTGCGCGACGCCCACTAGCGTTGTCAACGCCCGAGACTCCGCGCGCAAACCCTCATTCTCGCAGATCTCCCTCAGCCGCCGAATGAGGTGGACGTCGTTCGGGCGCGAGAATCGGACTATCCGCGCGTGTTGCCGGAGCTTCGTGAGCGCACTAGCATATAGGTCATTGCAGATACAAATAATTGGACGAAGGAGGGGACGAGCGGCCTTTAGATCGGCTTTTCGACCTGCGCAACGCAAGATTAGTCAGAACTAAGGTTCATTCTAAATCCAAAGAAAGCACCTTTCTTCCTTGGTTTGTCAAAGGTCAGCTGGATGAGCTTCTGGATGAAGCCTACTGACTACATTGCATGAGAACAAGCATGTCTATGACCAATGAAGGACGCGTACGCTGTCCGTGCCACCAGTTGCGCCATCGATCTCGTCTATGACGACCAGAATGGGTTTGGAGCTTCCGACGGCAGAACCGGTTTCCAGGGCCGGTTTCAAACGTTCCTCGACAACCTGGGCTGACCGGGCGTCGCTAGGCAATAGCTATCAATAATGTCCAGGCTGTGAGAGCGACAAACAGCCCACCTAGCATTGATCTCAAAGACACTGTATCCCACATGTTTGGCCACGACATGTGCCAACGTCGTCTTGCCCATCCCTGGTGGCCCCGACATGAGCAAAATCTGACATATGCATAGTCAAATCAGCTGAGGCGTCGATGTAGACGAACGAAGCTCACTTTTTCTTTCGGTCGCCGCCATTCATCCAGATTCTCGCCGTCATCCCCCCTCGGACGTTTCCGCCCTCGCGCATTACGCCCGAACACGCAATAGTCCCACTCTTTCACCCACGCCACGACCTCCCGATGCACCCTGTCGTCGCCAAGCAGGTCGGTGAACCTTCGTGGACGATAGCGGTCCACCCAAAGCGTGGCATCTGCACTCGAATTTGCTTGTGACGGCCCCGCTGCTGCTGCCACTGCTGCTTCTGCATCTCTGTTTTCCGTGCATCAGAAACGGTATAGAGTAGAGTGCTGTCAGTACTCACTGACATGATAGCCGCGCGGCTGTCTCTGCAGAGAGCTGATCCAATAGACGATGGATGGGCATGTCCAACAATTTGCTGAAAGGTCGCTCTGTGGCGTTGCTGCTGCTCGCATACGACTATAACTTCTACATAAAAAGATGTTCTCCATAGTTGTCCTATAACGCACCTCCGAGCTGTGATCACCCTTAGATCTTCGTTTGAAGTACACGGGCTTGCCGTCCAGATCGGACGCACGTATGACATTCGGCGGCGAGCCAGTAGACGACGTTGCAGCTGCGAACGGACCGGAATTTCCATATGGTCTCAGCAGTTCGTCCACGTCCGGGAACTCCGTATCTACAGATGGTTAGACATGTATCGATGTATCACAGGCGCGCAGGGCTCAGCACAGATACGTACCTTGGGATTGTGATTCAGAAGCAGCGGAGCCTTGCCACGCTCCGCATACATCCAAGGATCCTGCATTGCACGCATCGTTATCAGACGTCTGTGCCAGTGGCACGTCCAAGGATTCTCATCCATACCTGCCGATGTGCCCAATCCGTCAGAGAGCAGGCCCGTAGGAACAAAAAAGTCTGTTGTTGCGCTTATTATTGCTATAATAGGAGGTAAATAAATGAGACACAAGACCATATTCAGTGACGTACGTGCTGAGAATGCGAAGTCCCGAGACGAATTGGTGAGGTCCATGTCTACGTCTCCCATGTGCTCGTCAAGCAGAATTGTTGGGGTATCTTCTGGTACGTTCAGCAGTCCGTTGGGAGTAAAAACCAGCGATTCAGCATTGGCTGGAGCTATCGTCGCGTGCAGCGAGCCATCGCCGGAAAGAAGTCCGTTGGGGAGGCCGAACAGCAAGGAGGATTCGACCTCAGTCATCGTTACGTTACAAAGAACGAGCTAGCAAAGAGTTCCAGTAGAGTGTTCGATACTGTCGCGGAGATTTGGTCATGGGCTGAAGAAATGATGGGTGCTAAGTAGTCTGAATAGGACGCGGTTGAGTCGAGTCGCGTTGCAGGCGCGCGACGGGACGTGACAATTTCGCGTCGTGTCACAGTCAGGTGATCCATGTCAATTATCACATCACAGACATCAGCAACGTGGAAGTAGACTTAAGCTGGCGATATTTGGCAGGCATTTAGTACGGTCGCAACTCTCATGCATCGCACCGAACATGCCCAGCTGCCATTCGCTCAAGCTATCATTGCAAAGTGGCCGTCATGCATACATATCGCGACGTGATGAAGAGCTGCTGCGGCCGCTCTAGTGAAAGCCCAGGCTCCTCCACAGCCTTTCTTCGGGCGTGAAGGGGGCCTTGGGCCTTCATACTAAGGGTGGGATTTTGTGCCACATTTCGATCACTACCATGTGTTCGATCATGATGCGATCACACAGTTTTGAAACTCCACAATCTTAATTGCCCCCAACGCCCTACGACGGGCGATTAAGATTGTGGAGTTTGAATTGATTCGGAGTATGAAAATGTGGCTGAGGTGTGGCGGCAGATGTGGCACAAAATCCCACCCTTAGTATGAAGGCCCCCCTTAACTCCCGAAGAAAGGCTGTGGAGGAGCCTGAGTCCTACCTGCCCTTAGTATTCAGGCCCCCCAAACTCCCGAAGTAAGGCTGTGGAGGAGCCTGGTGAAAGCCCCGAGTTTATATTGCGCGTCGTTTCGCCACAGGCCATCGACCGTAATACCGCCTCGGGCACTCGATGCATATGGCTCAAAACCATGCATAACGTCAAAAGGGCTCGAATGCATCGCAGCCATTTAAATGATCAACGGGGGCCTATGCCTATGAGCTGATAGACACCGCTTTATCGACTCAATAATCAATTCTCACCATGTGAAGCATGTGGCCGGGACAATCACCCCAAGATCAGAATGCTCAGCTTCGACAGCGGCCGCTGAACATTGTCCATCAGCACGCGATACCGCACGTGTCCCAACCCCGAATATCCAATTGAAGTCAGAAGATAGTAGCAACACAACGGAACGAAAAGCGACAGCGAGTAAGAGACGTAGCCAGCACTAATGTAGGGTCAACCCGGTCCAAGAGAACAAGTGAGTCCTTGAAACGTCATTGCCATCACAGTCACAAGAGAAGCCCTGCGAGCACACCGAGCCCGCTGAACGCCACGGCAGCAGCAGTGCCGCCGAGACGCATCGCGCCGTTCGTACTCGTCGTCGACGCGGAGGTCGATGCAGCGGTTGACGAGGCGGTTGACGAGCCAGATACCGACGCGGAGCTCGACGTCGTAGTGTTCGTCGTGGTCTTCTCAGCAGCGGCCTGGAACTCAGCGAACGTCTTTTCTGCCGTGGGGTTCACAGCGAAGACCATTCCCTTTTCACAATGACTAGGATACCATCATCACTATCTGTGCATTTCAAAGTAGAAAGAACCACCTACCCAGTCTGTCGGCAGTAGAACCATAGCGGCGTACTCGCGTTGGTGACAGTGAAGCTGTAGGTCGGGAACGAGGTCGCGTTCGTCGCGACGAACTCGAAGCCCGAGTCGACACCTGTGGAGCCGTTGGTGAAGGTGAAGTTCGAACAAGGCGACGCGAACGTCGACTGGGTGACGGTGTGGTTGCCCGCAACGCTGTAATGAATGAGTCAATCAACGCTGCATCTCGACATAGAGAATAGCCGGCACGCACAACTCGAACGTCAGTGTGTCGCCGACACTTGCGTTGACACTGCAATGACACGGTCGTTAGCGACAATTACTGATGTCAACAAGCTACGCAATACCTCGAGGGCGTGTAGGTCAGGGTCTTATTCTCGCCGACCTTGATGTTGATAACTTCACCGAGGGCGAAGCCGACGGGCAACAGGGCAATAAGGGCAGTGGCGAAACGCATCTTGACTGGTTAAGACTTGTAGTGGTTCTGGACTTGACCGTGCAAGGAGGATGGAACGAAAGCGCAGGAACGATCTACGTCAAGAGCTGTCGACTGAACAAGGGTCGAGGCTGTAGAGGCACGTCCTTGAGTATGAGAGGCCGGTCGCGATGATAGAGGACACTCACCCTGCTCGGGATGCTAAAAACCTGTCCGACTGGATGAGGGGGGTGAAGAAGGTGGGATAGGGACGAAGCATCGCTTTCCCCGTCTTTTATGTGTCCCGCGATATCACGAAGGGCGCGATATCAAGTCGGCCTGACAACAAGACCACGGCGATTCTGGCCGAAGCGAGCAACGATGAGTCTCAAGACTCGAAATCAAACCTTCCTCGGAAAGGATTGGCCACTCAGGGTCCGCCTTCCAGCGTCCATTGAGAGGGCGGTTGCAATGAGGCCCATTTGCGTTGATCGTTGCCTGGCAAAGCGCGCTAACACCGGCGCCTATTACCTCAAAGAGGTGATTGGTCCGCCACAACGTGAAGACAAGGATGACTTCTATTGTGTCCCCAGCTGTGTCCTGCAGTGCATTTGACATACAAAGTACAAGGACGCACAATAGCGATGTCAAATCGCGGGGGCATGGGCATGGGCCGGACGAGACACAAAGGGGTTGAACCCATGTGGTCTGCAGTGTTGAACTGCCGAATGTCAGAATGAGAAGTCGTTGCTGCCCAGACATCCATGATCCCGCTCCCCTTGGGAACTGCTCATCCGCCGTGTCAATCAACACCCTTATTGTGACCCGATCACGTCTCGCATCTCCTTCCATGGTCACGAACGTGGAGGCTGTTGTTTCCAAGCATGGTCAGTATGAACTTGAATGCACGACAGACAGGAACACACCGCCTACGTACAAAAAACCTGCTACTTCGCGTTTCGTTCGCGTGTTGTGCATGCAGCCGCCTAAGGCTCAGACGCGGCAAAGAACTTCCCCATGCATCATGCCAAACCATCCGTCTTCATGGGCAGCCCACTCGCGGTACGCTTGCGCTATCTTCTCCAGCTCCTCTTGGGTCGCGAAGCCAGCTTCCAGCACGTAGCTGGTGAAGGATGACTTCAGTACGCGGTCCGCCCAAAGGCCGCCCCACCAAGCGCGTTCCTCGGGAGTGCTATAGCACCAGGCACTCGCGCTAGCCGTAATCGCAGAGCGCTCAAAGCCCGCCTTCATGGCCCATGAAATAAGCCTACGCCCAGCAAGTGGCTCGCCGCCCAAGGCACGGCCCGTGCGTATATGCAGGTCCTTGTGCTTCTCTAGGGTCTCGGACTCGGGGAAGAAGGTGAAGCTGGCGAAGTCACCCTCCCGTGTCGCGACGACGCCGCCGGGTTTCGTGACGCGGCGCATTTCACGGAGCATGCCCACGGGGTCGCCCACGTGCTGCAGAACCTGATGAGCGTGCACGACATCGAAAGTGTTGTCGGGAAAGTCCAATTTGAGTGCATCCCCGACGACAAACTTGACGTTCTGCACGCCGCGTGCAGATGCGTTCGCGCGTGCCTGTTCGAGAACGCCCTCCACGTTCTCGAGGCCAATCACCGAGCCCTGTGGGACGAGGGTGGCAAAGTCGATCGTGATGGTACCAGGTCCGCATCCGATATCGAGGATATGCATGTCGGGTTTAAGTGAGCTCAACAGATAATCAGCGGAATTCTTTGCGGTCCGCCAAGAGTGCGAACGCAGGACGGATTCCTGGTGTCCATTGATGTAGTGAGCGACCTTAGACATGGCTGGAACGCGTAAGAGGATAAGAAGATATGGATTGCTTTGCGACTTGGTTGAACAGATTGGCGATCCAAGGGAATCAGGAGGTATTGGCACGGAGGAATGAATATTTTGAATGGTTGAGACCGACGGAGACCATCGTCACTTATATGATCAGGGCTGCAGGGTCGAGTCAGTGCCGCGCTAACCGTTCGGGATCGCTGACGTCACCGTACTGAGCACATGCTCTGTACCTTCCATGGACGTTTAATAGGAATTATCTATCCGACATACCTGCGCCAGCCCGCTCTGAACTTTGCATAATCTCGACATGTCCGCCTTCGCAATCCTCACGAGCGATACGGACGAGGAACTTCCACTCTACGTTGAGGAGGCAAGAGTTTTTTGTAGATGCGAATGAGGAGGTACGTGTTTGGTGGTAACCGAGACCTGCGATTGACAGGCAATCAGCAAGGCGATCGCGAACAAGGACTCGGACAAGGTCATCCTCGTCGACTTCTGTGCGGAGTTGGCCCCTTTGCTGGCCCGCGCCTTCATGGAGCGCCTCCGAGGGGACCCCCGAGGGAGGCTGTGGGAGCATTGAGGCGAGTACTCAAGTATTCATGCACATGGAACATCCAGATCGATCATCGGACGCCACTAATAATACATACTGAACAACTTCCAGCCTGTGAGATTGGGAGTCTGTTGAGACGATAGTCCTTGGTTGAGGACCATAATACAGCTATCTCGCTATGTCCTACAGTACATTCGACATATAAAGTACAGGGACGCACAACAGCGACGTCAAATCGCGGGGACATGGGGGCGCGCGAGACACAAAGGGGTTGAACCCATGTGGTCTGCAGTGTTGAACTGCCAAACGTCGGAACGAGAATTCGTTCTGATCGTTGCTGCCCAGATGTCCCCGCTCCCCTCGGGAACTGCTCACCCACCGTCTGACCAGATCACCTCTCGCATCTCCTTCCGTGGTGACGAACGTGGAACCTGTTGTTTCCAAGTATGGTCAGTATGAATGCACGACAGACAGGAGCACACCGCCTACGTACAAAAAACTGCTAGTTCGCGTTTCGTTCGCGTGTGGTCCATGCAGCCGCCTAAGGCTCAGACGCGGCAAAGAACCTCCCCATGCATCATGCCAAACCACCCGTCTTCGTGGGCAGCCCACTCGCGGTACGCTTGCGCTATCTTCTCCAGCTCCTCTTGGGTCGCGAAGCCGGCTTCCAGCGCGTAGGTGGCGAAGGATGACTTCAGTACGCGGTCCGCCCAAAGGCCGCCCCACCAAGCGCGTTCCTCGGGAGTGCTGTAGCACCAGGCACTCGCACTAGCTGTGATTGCAGAGCGCTCGAACCCCGCCTTCATGGCCCATGAAACAAGCCTACGCCCAGCAAGTGGCTCCCCTCCCAAGGCGTGGGCCGTGCGTATATGCAGGTCCTTATGCCCCTCTAGGGTCTCGGACTCGGGGAAGAATGTTAGATTTGCGAAGTCTAAATCCCGCGACGCGATAATGCCGCCATGCTTCGTGACGCGGCGCATCTCGCGGAGCATGCCCACGGGATCGCCGACATGCTGCAAAACCTGATGAGCATGGACGACGTCGAAAGTGTCATCGGGGAAGTCCAATTTGAGCGCATCTCCAACGACAAACTTGACGTTCTGCAGGCCGCGTGCAGACGCGTTCGCGCGTGCCTGTTCGAGAACACCATCCACGCTGTCGAGGCCGATCACTGAGCCCTGTGGGACGAGAGCGGCGAAGTCGACCGTGATGGTACCATGTCCGCAGCCGATGTCGAGGATGTGCATGTCGGGCTTAAGCGAGCTCAGCAAATAGCCGGCAGAATTCTGCGCGGTCCGCCACGTGTGGGAGCGCAAGACGGACTCGTGGTGTCCATTGATGTAGTGAGCGGTCTTGGACATGATTGGGACGCGTAAAGGGGTCTGTAGGTCGTTGGAGGGCGGTGGATAGGGAGGTATGGATTGTGCTGTGACTGGTTGAACAGCCGCTCAGCGATCCAAGCGAATGCTGGTTAGTCTGGGTGCCCTTTCAACCTCGCCTGTTCATTCGAACCGCGACGAGGACCGCTGCAGAGGTTATCGCAAGCAGGGGTGGACCTTGAGACCACGGCCAATGGAGACTTTATCAAGCAAGAGCGGACGAATGTATACGCACCGGGGGCCGCTGGACAGAAAATATTGATGTCACCGTATATATATTGAGCACATGCCACTCTGTGCACGTCAGCTTCAGTGCATCAAAAAAACTCAAATCCGCCTTAGGACACTTTTTCTGGGTTGGAGGTTCTCGAGCCGCAAGTCGGTTCGGGTTTTCCTGATGTGTTCATAACCGTTGGTCCTCTCTTATCGACGGCATTAACGAAGATCTAGGTGTTCTATCCTTTTTTGAACTCTGCTACTCATGACATGTCAGCCTTCGTCATCGCACGAGCGATACGGACCTCGTTGCGTGCACCGCGCGTCCTCGTGAGGAACTTGCATTTTATGTTGCGGAGGCAAGAGTTATTTGTAGATGCGAATGAAGAGGTACGCGCCTTGTTCATCGGTGGCCAGTGTTCGGTGATAACCGAGACCTGCGATTCGATCTCGTCACAGTAGACACGGAGGTCAAAGGGGACCTCGCCCAGCAGTACAAGGTCCCTGCTCGTCTGCTCACCGACAACCCTCTCTCGTTAATTCATTTCATTCGCACAGATCACCTCGCTGCCAACGATGATGGCGTTCCGGGGTGGGAAACCTCTGAGAGGATCCCTGAGGGAGGCTGCGGGAGCATTGAGGCAAGCACTCATGTGGTGACATTGAGATCGATCAGACACCACTACTAAACACATACTGAACAACTTCCAGCCTGTACCGATGGGAGTTTGTTGAGACGACAGTCCTTAACTGAAGACCATAATGCAGCCATCTCGCTGTGTCCTCAGGGCACAACACATTTGACACACAAAGTACAATGACGCACAATAGCGACGTCAAGTCGCGGGGACATGGGGGTGCACGAGACACAAAGGGGTTGAACCCATGTGGTTTGCAGTGTTGAACTGCCGAACGTCAGAACGAGAGTTCGTTGCTGCCCAGATATCCCATAATCCCCGCTTTCTTGGGAACTGCTCATCCGCCGGGTCAATCCACACCCCCGTCTTGACCCGATCACCTCTCGCATCTCTTTCCGTGGAGCCTGTTCTTTCCAAGCATGGTCAGTATGAATGCACGACAGACAGGAACACACCGCCCACGTACCAAAAGCTGTCCGTTTGAGTTTCACTCACGTGTGGTCCATGATGCAGCCGCCTGAGCTCAGACGCGGCAAAGAACTTCCCCATGCATGACGCCAATCCACCCGTCTTCGTGAGCGCCCCAATCGCGGACCGCTTGCGCTATCTCCTCCAAATCCTCTTGGGTTCCGAAGCCGAGCTCCAGCACCTGGGTGGCGAAGGACGACTTCAGGACGCGATCCGCCCAAAGCGTGCTCCACAAAGCGCGTTCCTCGGGAGTGCTGTAGCACCAGGCACTCGCACTAGCCGTGATGGCAGAGCGCTCGAAGCCCGCCTTCATGGCCCATGAGACCAGCCTACGCCCAGCAAGTGGCTCGCCGCCCAAGGCGCGGGCCGTGCGTAAATGCAGGTCCCTGTGCTTCTCCATGGTCTCGGACTCGGGGAAGAAGGTGACGGTTGCGAAGTCACTCTCCCGTGTCGCGACGATGCCGCCGGGCTTCGTGACACGGCGCATCTCGCGGAGCATGCCCACGGGATCGCCGACGTGCTGCAAAACCTGATGAGCATGAACAACGTCGAAAGTGTCGTCGGGGAAGTCCAATTTGAGCGCATCTCCAAGGACAAACTTGACGTTCTGCACGCCCTGTGCAGACGCATTCGCACGTGCCTGTTCGAGAACGCCCTCCACGTTCTCGAGGCCGATCACCGAGCCCTGTGGGACGAGGGTGGCAAAGTCGATCGTGATGGTACCAGGTCCGCAGCCGAGGTCGAGGATGTGCATGTCGGGCTTAAGTGAGCTCAATAGATAGCCGGCGGAATTCTGTACGGTCCGCCACGAGTGCGCACGCAGGACGGATTCCTGATGTCCATTGATGTAGGGAGCGACCTTGGACATGGTTATAGGTTAGATGATAAGGAGATATGGAGTGGGTTGTGACTTGGTTGAACAGGTCGACGATCTAAGGGAATGCTGGTTGATCTGGGTGTCCTTTCAACGTCGCCTATTCATCCGAATAGTGACAAGGATTGCTGCAGAGGGAAGGATGAATGTTGAGATCAACGGATTGCCATCGTTTAATATTTATCAGGCGAGAGCGCACGAGCCGCTACGCGGGGCCGCTGAACATGATACTGACGTCACTATATTGAGCACATGCTCTGTGCGCTTCGCTTTTCATCAACGTCTAGTCCTCTCTCATCGACGCATCTCCCAAGCGGAATTATATATTCGACTACCCTGCGCCAGCCTGCTCTGTACTTTGCACACTCTCGACATGTCCGCCTTCGTCGCTGCACGAGCAATACGGACCTCACTGCGCGCACCGCGCGTCCTCACGAGGAACTTCCACTCCACATTGCGGAGGCAAGACTTCTTTGTAGATGTGAATGAGGAGGTACGCACCCTGCACATCGGTAGCCATTGCTCGATAAAAACGGAGACCCGCGATTGACAGGCATTCAAAAAGGCGATCGCGAACAAGGACAAGATCGTCCTCGTTGACTTTTATGCGGAGTGAGCCCCTTGCTGGTCCTTTTCAGGAGACCGTCTCACGCTCTCACGCCTCCTACCTTCCTCTCTCGTAGCTGGTGCAATCCCTGCAAAATGCTTTCCCCAATCCTCGAGAAGATCACCACGGATCCGGACACAAGGACGGGCAGCGGCAAGTCTATCGACCTCGTCACAGTAGACACGGAGATCGAAGGGGACCTCGCTCAGCAGTACAAGGTCCGCACTGTTCTTCCCACTGCCAACTCTCCCTCGTTGACCCATTTCATTCGCACAGGTCACCTCGCTGCCGACGGTGATGGCGTTCCAGGACGGAAAGCCCCTCGACCGCTTCGTCGGCGCCGTGCCCGAACCGCAGGTCCGCGGCTTCTTGGAGCACCTTTGAGGGGATCCTCGAGGGAGGCTGCAGGAGCATTGAGGCGAGCATTCATGCAACGTCCAGATCGATAGACGCCACTAACAATAGATACTGAACAACTTCCAGCCTGTATGGTTGGGAGTCTGTTGAGACGATAGTCCTTTACTGAGGACCATAATGTACATACATGTCCCATCCCCTGTATCGAACCACTTCGCATCCCCACCTCCAACTATGTGGGGAATTTATGACATTTTTCTCTCTCCACTGGCGGATATGAACATGATGCTGGCTAATCATCCGAATGCACAGAGGCATCAACACGCAAAGGTCAGAGAAATACACATAAAATATGAACTAGCATGGTATGATACATGTAAAGGCTATGACGGCTTTGACCTCAAGATATCATAGAAGGCCTCTTGTGGGAGCTCCACACTACCTATCTTTTTCATCCGGCGCTTACTCTCCTTTTGGTTCTCTAGATGCTTCATCTTGCGCTCATAATGCCCTACAAGCCCAACATCTCAGGTCAAGTGCGGATATCTGCGTTCAAATCACCTACCACCATACAAGCCGGCCGTGACATCAGCCCGGATAGCCGAGAGCGTCTCTCGCGCGATGATGCGACGCCCTACAGCTGCTTGAATGGGAACTTCGAAAAGCTGCCGGGGAATGACTTTATCTGCACGGAGACACCAGATGAGTTCGTAAGCGCGCGATGTGACAACGGTGAGAAGACGCACGCAGCTTCTTCACCCACGCTCTGCCAACTTCTTGCTCCGCTGATCGATGAACAATCAGCGCGAGGGCGTCGACGGGTTTGTTGTTGAGCAAGAAGATCATCTAGACGCGAAGGCGTCAACACGTGTCGCGAGACGTCGCACAGCTCGCTATACTGACTTTGACCATGCTGCTCTTCTGATACCCAGCATCCTCGTAGCTGTGCAGGTAGTATTAGCACGTTGAGCAATCGAAGAGCGCTAGACGCAGCACGTACTCGAAACTGGCAAAGCCCGAGCTCCTGCTCTTGAGTTTATCGAAGAAGTCCGTGACGATCTCCGTCAGCGGAATCGTACACGTCAATATGATGCGAGAAGATGCCAAGCCCGATGCGTCCAGATATTTGTGGTCGACATTCTCCGCTCGGTGCTGGAAGCAGAGGTCCATCATGTCGCCGACGTACTCTGCAAGATGGGGGTCAGTGCTCCTCGGTCTGCATGAGTAGAATGGCGAAGAAGTGGACCCTGCGGGACGACGATTGAGGCATTGACAATTGGCTCTTGGACTTCAATCAGCTGGTTCGTGGTATCCGTAACGTCCGGGAAGTCTGTCGGATTGCTGACGATCACAGTTCTATCCTTATATACGACTGCAGCAGTCAGTCAGAACCCTCCGTATAGATCTGGCAAGAAGCTGCTCACCCTTATACGGCACAGTAGGTGCAGTGATGATAATGTTCGCATCGTACTCGTCCTCCAGCCGTTGTCGGAACACGTCCATGTGAAGGGTCCCGAGGAATCCCAAGCGACATCCCTGCCCAAGGGCAGTAGATGACTCGCGGTTGACTTCCACGCTTCGGTCTGTGAGCGTCAGCTGAGGCGACTAGATGAGATCGTGGCGGTAGGGATAGAACATGTAAACAAACCCTTTTGATCGACTCTTCCAGCTTGGGAAACTCGCTGCTCTCCATTGGATAGATACCAGCATACACCTAGTATATCACATTACTGGAAGAAGATAAGCCAGGATTTGCGTGAAGCATACCATCGCCTTAGCAGGCTTGAAGCCTGGCATAGGCTCAACGGTCTCTCCAACACGATGCAATGTATCGCCAACATGAGCTGTGATGTTACAAATATGCTCCTGTCACGCTAGTCGTGCCAGAATACTAGACAGTGCATACCTTCCGATGACTCCTTCATACTGCAAGCAATGTATCCTACTTGTCCTGGTCGAAGACTGGCAGTGGGGACTTCTTCAGGATGCATGATGCCTAACTCGAGGACCTCATATTTCTTCCGAGTATGGCAAGACGCAATCCTGTCACCTGAAGCGTTGTTCAGAGGCCGTTGCGACTTCGTCAAGCACTATGAGCATCACCTTTCTGGAGAACGCCGCTTTGTATGCTGACAAGCGAGATAACACCCCGGTAACGATCGTAGCTGAAACTCGGAGTCAAAACATAATACCTCATTGGGCCAAAAACTCGGGCGTACCAAGAATCGAAGAGCACTGCCTTCAGAGGTGCCGAGACATCTCCGTTCGGTGGTGGAATCCGGTCTACGATCGCCTGCAGAATCTGCTCCACGCCCATCCCGGTCTTCGCAGAGATTTGTATACAATCAGCCGGATCGATGCCAAACGTTGATTGCATCTGCGCCGCAACAACCTCCGGCTGAGAAGCGGGAAGATCAATCTGCAGATCGCAGTGAGTGTGAAGTGAACGAGCATCTGGTTTAGGAAAAGGACCTTGTTCAATATCGGTATAATATGCAGACCTCTTTCCTTGGCGACATGGAAGACCGATATTGATTGCGCCTGGATGCCTTGCGTCGCGTCTACGAGAAGCAGTGCGCCTTGGCATGCTGCAAGAGATCGGGAAACTTCCCATGCGAAATCGACGTGACCCTGTATTGTTGTCAGGTCTGTCCCGCTATCTGGGGCTTCGTCTGATCAGATGCTCACAGGAGTGTCAATGAGGTTGAGCAAATGTCGTTGCCCGCCACAATTATGTATCATGCTGCAGATCATTAGTTAATCAAAGAAGATCGCAGCAGATCTCGTTGAAAACACACCTGACAGTTTGAGCCTTCACTAGCCGATCGAGTTAGCGAATGGGGACACAAAAGGGAACACTGCGACGCGCAGACCTGTGATGCCTCGCTCTCGCTCCACCTTCAGCTTGTCCAGTACTTGTTGATTGATCCCCTTTTGCCTCTTGTCAATGGTTCCAGTAAGCTGGAGAAATTAAATCAATCGGTGATACCGCATGCACCGGCGGACAACCAACCTCAAGCAGCCTAACGTAACCGAATCAGAACTGATCTCAGCCAGCGCCACGCATGACGCACCTATCTGCCAGAGTCGATTTACCATGATCTGTTGAAGATCATACAATTGAGATCACGGACAAACCTCGTGCACAGAACCAGGCACGGTGCATACCTATGTGGGCAATTATAGAGAAGTTCCTGAATACATGTGGGTCCATGTGGTGCAGCTGGGTTTCCACAACTTGGGAACGTACCGTATGACTTCACACGGAAAATCCTCCATATGCATTGCCTTGCGTGGAGCTGCATTGCATTGTGCAGTTATAGAGAACAGTCTTTGAGGCGTGCGGACCCATGACTGGCGCGCATGAATATGGTGTCGTTCAAACAGCATCAAGCTTGAGAATCGACAGCTTTGAATCATCACCCCTCTCAACGCCGTCCTCCGAGCGTCGTAAAGCGAAATCAGTAGCAAGATATCATGAACCGAAAACCCGGAAGAGAACCGAAAGCACCTGAGGAAAGCTCCGAGATGCGCTGAGAGTGAACGCACGCTTAGTCAGCAGATCACTCGCGGTCTGCTGAGCGCTTCGCGGTGTCCTCGTCCGTGCGTCGCGGTAAGTCGCGGTGTCCTCGTAGCGCGTGCCTCTCGTCTCACGAACAGCGAAGCTTTGGTCACTCATCCACTCCTGTAACAGTCAACGCTCCGGAATGTCGCTCGTAGATGCGTCGGAGGCTCGGAAAGCACGTCTCATAGCGCTGAGGAAGAGAAAAGCCGGGGAGGCGGTCGATGAAGAAGAGTCAGACTGCCCGTAACTTCCTGTTTCAGCCTGGACCAGCTGACAACTATCCGCTAGTGTCTCCACGGAACCCGTCATCAAACACCGCACGTTTGACCCAGAGACTCGCACACTCAAGAAACATACACACGAAGATGATATTGTCATGGAAGATACCGTGGAGAAGCAGGTCGAAGGTCTTGCCGAGACCATAATCAAGGAGGACGCAGAGCGTAGAGCCCAGGACCTCGTGAGTGAACTAACCAGATTCGTTCATTCGTTATCTGACATTAGACTCGCAGGATCTGTTTAACATTGCGCCAAAACGCCCAAATTGGGACTTGAAACGTGAGATGGAGAAGAAGCTGGCAAAACTGGAACGGAAGACACAAGAGGCCGTTCATACGTTGATCAGTATGTGATAAATTGCTCACTCCACGGCGAAGCTAACCGCAGATAGGGCAACGGTTGGCTGCGCAGAGTGGACAGTCAGAAGATATTGTCGGTGCGATGAGGGCTGAGGAAGCAGATCGCAGGGAAAATGACGCATCAGATGATGAAGATTGACGTTGCTTCCTCTGAGTGCTTTTTTTTGGTGAACGGATCTGACGGCTATTCTGCTAGGAAACATCGCTTCCTTGATGATAAAAACTTGTTCGCTGATACCGTGAACTCAGGCTGGAACTCGCTATAAACCGATTTGTACGGACACAAATACGTGGCGTTTGTAATTTGTACACTACTGTAATTACTAACTAGGGCTCTGAAAAAATGCAGGTATGGCTGACGCAATAATTATGAAAAACAATCGCCATAGCCTCATATGATAGGTTTAGCGTTCAACATCTGAATCATCCGCTCGTCTTCCGCAAGACGCGGACGCGGGAGACGAGTAGTTTCACCGGTCGTATGCTGCGTATTCGCCAAATTTGTGGGCAGCGATGGCAGTGTTAGGGCTTCTCTGCCGCGGAAGGCCCCATCGTTCTCAGGAACCGCAGGAGACGAAGACCTGGCTGACAAAGAATTGGCAGTGCGCGCTGTGTCGGCGTTCCTCGACCTAGATTTCGCGCTCTTGTAGACGCCCTGCGGTACGACCAATCTGCGTAACATCGGATCTTGGTCGATTGTCGGAATCTTTGGGAGGTCCGCATAAGTGAAGTAGGCGGTCAAGTGCCACTTCCGTGGCTCCGCATTCGGCGATGTGAAGACCCATGCTGAGTAGGCCTGTTTCACCAGACCAGTCGGGTGATGGTCGCTGCGTTCATAGTGCGATTGTGCTGACGAGGTCCATATGCGCGATGGTCCCTCGACAAAGCGGTACGCGGACCTGTTCATCGTTACGCCAACAAAACATGAAGCAGCCCGCACGAACATCAACGGGCTCTGTATTCACCTTAGTGATTGCCCGCCTGAATCCTCGTTGGATGAAACCTTTTCATCGTAGAACAGATAAGGCTATAGACGAGAAGATCGACTCAATAAGCACACGTTGTCACCGCTGCAAGAAATCAAGCTCACCTCCCGCATACGAGATTGGCTCCAGATGCGGCCGTCAGTCCATCTTCTCAGGCCGGATTCCTCTTCACTTTCCTCCCAGACGAATATGGATCCAGATTTGATGTATAATTGCCGTTCCGTCTCGTTCAACCGACGCTTCACCGGTCTCAATAAGCTCTGGCGTACGGCTTCGAATACCGTGTGCGCATCCCGGGCATCGCGAAGATGTAGACGAGGATGTGTGGGGCATTCCATATCTCCGACGTCCTCATAAAACATGGCGACGCAAAGGTTTTGCTGGGAACTGATGAAGGATATCGCGATTTGGAGGGCGAGTTCGGAAGCTCAGGTGAGCACCCGGGTTTTAATAGCCTCGGGCACCATACCGTTCAAGCGTGTTCGACGCCGAGCGCTCTGCTGCGATAAAGTTGCCGGCCACCAGACTTTAGACCATTTCTGTGCTGAAGCAGGAGTCATGGCGAATTTACGGCAGAGGGAGGGTCTGAAGCATGTGGATTTGACGATGCGAAACAGGGACTAAACATATCAGAGAGCATCCAGGCTAGGCAATTGAGATGATTCGAGGCACTGCGCGCTCCTCAGGAACACAGCTGGGACTCATGCCTAACGGGAGAAGATTTTTTATTTCTCCTTACTGGGTAATGATCCGGAATCGTAGGAGGGCTGTCTAGAGATCTTACCCGAGGTAATCAGCAGCTTCCACGGTTGTCAACGTATCAGGGTGTTGCAAACCTTGTTCACTGCAGCCGCATGACTGGGATCACGGCGTGGTCGTGTGTCTTGATTTATCTTAACTAAAAGGAACGAGCAATTTGAGGATCGCATATGGCTACGAAGCGGATGGTATAATTAGTGAGCAATAGCATCTCAGCTGATACAGGTTTCTCCCGCAGAGCGGATGCTCTAACTGTATGCATATTCATGGGATGACACCTCAATTTCATCTATGCATCAGATCAGAAACTCTACCTGCATCCGAGCCGGTCACGGAACCAAACCCGTACCTTGGCTCGGTCGGGGTGGTCAGTGGGGCGCTGTAGCCAACAGGGTTTGGAGGGGGAAAGATCGCTCCGAGTGGCAATTAAATTCACAGCGAAGGCATCGGAACCACGCTTGTTGGTTGTCCGATAGTGATGACAGCCGCATTCCATTGTGGTGAAGCTCACTTTGGTACACGCGACCCACATAAAGCTAGGTCAGATTTGGTTGTCCCAATAATGGAATGGAAACTCGATGGCTCACGGAATCTTTCGGAAATAAGCGAGCTGCAGTGGCTCGTGCTCCAACGTATATATGCAGCAACCGCGTCTATTTTTTTGCCGACTATGCTGCCATGGATGCATGCGAAGTACTGTAGCTCAATCGAATGCAAATTTATCCCAGTTGAGAATAAGTTGAAACGTTCCGGCTTGTCCCTAAATGATGAAGTAGACGCCACGGCATCATCAGTTTCGTGGGAATGACACCGCGTGGCTGATGCTTCACCCCGGAGTCGGTGGCGAACTCATCCACGTCCACTTATTCAACTCTGCATGCAAATTCTATCGTTTGTCGTCAACAACAATATGGATATAACTCTAGAGGAAGGTTCAACAAGACGTTTGCCAAGCCTTGTGCAGCACTGCCAGCGAGGTTGGTGACATGTGGGTCCATCGTTGACGCACCACTGATTCTAACGAATGAACAGTCGCAGCAACATACGTTGATAGTGAGTCATTTCGGCATAATACAACAACTGTTGACTGACCTGGTATGAGGCATCTGCAGCTTTGACGGGAGCATACGCTATGGTCTCATCAAACCGATATTAGAAAGTTGTTCTCCAGAAACTCTCCTAAGATTGGAGGATGAGAGCCCGGTCTGTACTTAGTTGCCTACGTACGCATCACCTGAACTAATGAAAGGATGTCCCCTTAGCATCTCAGGGAGGATACCGAAGGTTTGTCGCATTTATCTCAGCAGATCTCCAAGTGACATTCATACGTCCCTCGCTACAGAAATTTGGAAGCAGTTATGCCATCGCTCCTATCCTGTCGCTGCTGAACAGTATCAATCTGATCCTAGTGAAGAGCCACAGTCATGGCGGCATGTATATTTTGTGCGCAATACTTCACGTTCCCACATCTGTTGTTAAGAGTATCTGATGCAGTTCTAGGCCCTTCGTGGAATGGAAACGAAGCGTTTCGAAGAATTAGGGACACGTTTGCGAGCTATTCGCAAAGAAGAAGCGGAACGGAAGAAGGGATCGCAAATCAAGATCACGGACCGGCTGCCTCCCGCTAAGCGAGTGCGCTCATGTGAGATCTGGTCCTTTTGCCATTCACCGTTTGCGCCCTGAATATTCCTATATAGGGGGCACCTATCAACCGAAGACTCTTATACAAAAGACACGATGGGAGGCAGCACGTATGCAGAAGGGCATATACAGCTCGCCCATGTTTCCAGCACCTAAGAATTACCGCTCGTCTACATCCGCGTCTGGCAGCATTCCGTTGTGTTCACCGGCAACCTCAAGATCCTCCAAGGCTTCGATCTCAACTCCATCATCGTCAGATTGCGGATCTGACCAGCAACCAGGCAGTCGTGTCACTGTTACCAGTGTGACAGTGCGCCGACGCCCTTCGGCAATGACTGTGGAATCGTCACTTCGGCCCACCACGAACACGATATCGACCTCTCCGACTGTTGTCGACTGCACTGCACATGACAACACACTCACTCCTGTGACATCATCGCCTCGCGGTGACTCCCGTCCGGCACTGGTAAAGTCAAACATGAAGAAAGACCCGCTTTCATCACTGTTCATGCCTAAGCATCGAGCTCTTTCGCAACTGCCTAGTCAGGCCCCGTCGTCGCGTAGCGTTACACAGACTTGAATTGCCTGGTCTGTAGTCTCATCGTCGTATAGGTTATTGGGCTCACTTTGCCCGAACAATCAAGTCCGACAAGCCAACTGAATACCCTATTCTAGGATTGTCCATACTCTTCGGGCCAGTATGTATCTATATGACAGGAAGGATAGCCACGTAGGCTTGGTGTAAACCTTTGCTAGCAATGTTGTCCTATTCCTTCAGCATCGGGTTCTGCTCGGGGAGCGCCCGCTGTATCTGTATTCAATATTCAAACCTTAGATGCAACGGCCGTCTTACTTCCCGCAGGCAAGGCGTGTACGTTTTTTGCTTGCGCAATTCCATATGGGTTTCTGATGGTAGAGTAGAGGTCCGCACTTGCAACGTGCGAAGACGGATGGGTGGGTTCTCCTATGCATTCTCAGGACGTAGAGGTGCTCCCTATCAACGCTTCTGCATGGGAGCCACGGAATTCAACATAGCCATTTGGATGGCCACTTCAATTACGGCAATTCGTCTGGGCTCTACCCCTGCAGTGACCGGGCGAGACCACATCCACGTTCCTTATGCTCATGCATCAAGTCGTTACATCATCGTTCGTCACCAACTTTGAATTTCGTTATCGTTGCTCGTCTGAAATTCAACGGGGACATACCAATTCCTTCAGAAGCATGCCGGCCTGGGGTACTGCAGAGGAGTGATCGTGTCAAGGAAGGTCAGCGGTACGGTCTCGCTGTTCTTCTGCTGCGCAGACCTGTGGTCGACTGATACGCGGTGAAGATGTCCTATTGCAGCGCGTTCCTGTGCTTAGACCGCTCGTGGGGATGCTTGGCAGACGTTTTCCGTGAAGGTCTGCGGAATTATCCACGCGACAATTGGAAATGGCACCTCGGTCCATCAAGGCAGCTGATGATATCGCTCATCGATGCAATAGAAACTTAGCATAAAGGGCAATGATTGGGGAAGGTATATCCTTAGTTTCTCTCCTTGAGAGCTAAGTGCGTCGTGGATGTTCATTTGTATGTGAATTAGTATAACCGGAGCCTGCGGAGGTTCGAAGCAATCGTTTGGCCTGCCCACAGGAGACTAACGAGGATCGCAATCACGCACCAGCCTTAACCGCCCGTGATGACGACCAGACCTTTGCGGCGGACTCGTCAGAATCATTCTGGGAGAGCCTTGGGGCTAGAGAATATGATTCGCAGAACGATTCGGACGACCAGCCAGTATGCCAGACTCATGATGCAATGATGTGCCGGCAACTTCTCCTTTCATTTCCTTCACTGTTTTCAAATGGAGCGGGAAGCGGTCTAAGATTTGGGCTAACCTAAAAAATGCCTTCTGTCAATTCATTTAGCGAACGTAACGCTCCCTGAAGAAGCCTCGGTAGGACTAACCAAATTGAGTTATGTTAAAGATGGCTTCCCTTGATGATGGGTTGACCCTGTGAACCACGCTTTACCTTTGTCGGTCCAGTAAGTGGACGAATGGAGTGCGAGGGATGTAAAGAGTGGCTGATGGTCTTGCAGAATTCTGTCATACCGCGGACCAGAAGATGATCGATGATTAGCCACGAGCTCCAGGGCAAGGGAACATCTCCGCACCGACGTCTTCAGATACGGTCATATTCGTACAAAGACAAGTGTAATTCGAGCTCACACTTCTATTTTGATGAGCTTGTCGGCTACCTCAGGACATGAGCCTAGCGTTAGCTCTTGTGAGCGGACCCGTCTCGTCTACTAGGTCATTCTTCCGAGCAAGAATGGCGTAAAAGCATTCAGAGGCAGTTAGAAGAATCTTAAATTGGGAAAATAGTGCTTTATTTTCTTGCTATGGAGGCGTAGGACGAACAGAACAGTTCAGGCGAGCAATTGCCAAAACTTGTGCCTTTGACGCGTCATGTCACACAATGCCGTGCCTGTGACTGATCGCGTTTTGCGCGCGATCGATCCACCTGACCTGTGAGGACTTTCCGTGACTCCCAGGCCAACGACATCAACATGATAGATTACTGAATGATTGTACAGTCTATATGTGACTACAGATCTCGTATGCAAAATGGTCAACGTTGTGAATGTACACTTGAATATATGAAAACATCATGTCATGTGAGCGACTGAGCGAAGAAATTATTCCATACGTAAGTGAGGTGGCTTACAGAACTAGCTACCTAGCCGCGCGAGCCCTCACAGCATCGATGCTGTAGACGATGTTCCAGGTCCATACCCCTCAGTCACTCCGTTGCCGTCCCACCGTTCCCGGCTCTTGCCCTTGCCCTTGCCGTTTAGCTCTTGCTCTTGCGATTCAGCAGCATTCGACGAAACGCCTAGCGCGTCCGTGGGCAGCGCTTCCCAAATGCGTATTGTATGGTCATCGGAACACGAGGCGAACATCTTCTCATTGCGAGGATTCCACGCGACCGAGTTAACACTGCCAGGGCCGTGTCCAGAGAGCACTTCGAGCAACGTCTCTGTTTCACGATGCCAGACATACACTTGCGCATCTGCGATACATAACAGATTCAGGGTAGTCTCCTCAGAGAGCTGAATACCTTCATACCTTCGCTGCCGCTTACGATGAACGTGCCGTCAATACCACCGAAACGACTCCTGATTACGTGTCGGAGCTGCTTGTGGCCTGTGTATCTGCGCACCACCTGCTCTGTATAAAGGTCCCACAGTTGGATCTTCTGTCAACTCGCAACGTTAATGGCCACCAGGTGTTAAAGACACGGTTTCTGGACATACACATGGAGACTCCGCGCTAGACGCACAACTGATCAACGCATACCGCGAATCATCCGAGATCCTCACACTTGACAACTCTTCATTCATGGGTATGAACCTAGCTATAAATGAGCACGGGGTCCTCCAGAATGTCCAAACTACCATGTACATACGCCTCGAGCTGTTTCGTTGTTAGGTCATAGACGACGATCCGGGTTTCCAGACGAGGCACGGGCGGTGAGTTGCCGCCCTCCGGAGGCGGTAAACCCGTTTCAGATGGAGGCGTAGGGACACCGTACATCCCCACAGCAACCAAACGTGTAAAGTCGGGGGCGACGGTGAGATCCGTCACTCGGATGGGACTTTGACCCCAAGTATCACGCTGCTTCCCGTCGGGATCCTGATAGACAATCATTAGCTTGAAGCCTAATTTAAGCTGTGCCCACACATACCCATAGAATAATCTTGCGATCTAGACCACCGGAGAAGAAACCTGACCCATCCGGCAACCATGCTAATGCAGTCACTACATCTTGGTGTGCGCTGAGGCTTCGTATGCAGACACCAGTCTTACGCGAAAATCAGTGAAACCCTAAGAAGTGGGCGCAGGAATACTTGCTTGTGTGTTCCATAACTTTATATGCTGCTCGGCGGCGGTGAGAAGGATGGAATCGTCCGGCGACCATGCTACGCATCCTACAGGATATGGGTGATCGCGAAGGATGAGATGCGGGGATATATCTCGTTTGAGAGGATCTTTGTCAAACTGAGGAGAGATCGTTCAGGGACTTCCGCTGACTGAGAGATATGCCTAGGAGCCCTGAAGCAGCAGGAGTGCTCACCTCTACCCGCCAGATGATCGCCGACTTATCTTTGCTGGCACTAGCAAGATATCTGCCACTGTGGCTCCATTCGAGGTTCCACACCTCATCCGTGTGCACCTCCAAGATAGCTGTTGTTACGCGAGGAAATGTGCTCTTGTCGCAGACATGGTCGATATAGAGTGAAAAGGTCCGTGCGTTGACTGGGGCATTGTGATAAAGACATTGGCTTTGTTGCCAGATTCGTACTTGATCTAGGAGCGTTGCGAATCGCCGTTGAGGGATCATTACAGATGACGAAATATTATCTGACTCTAAAGTGAGTAATGTGCAGAGACAATAGTTCTGAAATTGCACTAACGCTGCAGGTTCATGAGTAACCGCCTCCGTGAGTTACCTGATGCCCCATCCCACTCTGCTCGTTGTCGGAGGTCATCCGGATCAGAGCACATCATAAGACTAAAAGCGACGTTAGCTAGGGTATCAGCGGTCTCAAACGGCAAACCGACCTCGACAATGAGTGTAGTTGTTCTGGATCGATATTCAAGGGAGCGAGCTCGTTGCGGAGCACTGAAAGTGCTGCAGTTGTTCTACCCGCTTCCAGAAGCTCTAGATACTTCTGTTGGCTGATGAGGAACTTCGCCTCCTATGAGCCGGATCAATGAGCGATTAAGTATCTCGAAGAGCCTTGCACGTACCCATAGCCTTTCTTCATCTTCCACCCCCAGATTCGACAAAGCTGCTTCCGCACTATTCCAATCGGCTCCCAAAATACACCTGCGGAACTCCGCTACTTCGGGGCTCTCCATAATATAACCGGATTCCGCTTCCAAGGTGGCCGCTGACTCACTGAAGACAACCATGGTCTGTTCACAGCCTTGTCAATGGCACATATAAACGATACTACTCACATGTAGCCGACATCCCGCAAACTTTGTATGACCAATCTGACAAACTCCTCTCGATCGACATATGAATCGTCATAAAGCGTCGACCCGGGCGGCGTCACTCTCGCGATGGTTGACGTACGCCTGTCTGACCTACGTCCGCCCCCTCCGTCCGTAAATGATGTCCTGGGAGAACCGTTCGAATAGCCATTGGTGAATCCGTTGCTCTTGAGAGTCCCATTACCATTGAAAGACGCTACCGCAGACGACGGACCCGCTTCGGATGCTTCGTCTAAAAGAGAAGGCGATATCGACGCTGGGCTGGTATCGGAAAGTCTCATGTTGGCAGCGTCAGGGAGGAGAGATGGATATGAATCTGTAACTAGTAGTGCGTGTTCAATGGCAGTAAGCGATGTATCCGCGGAGGAACTCTGGCTGTCGATCCTCTGTCTCTTATGAGCACGAAGTGACTGTGGATCTTGTCCTAAACGTAGGTCAGCTGCGGAAGAAAACGTGTGTGCGATGTCGGAGGACGAATGGACGTTGGTCAGAGGGAAAGTATTCGATGGAGGAGGGGTGAGGTGGGGAGACTGGAAGTCGCCTTCCTCGAATTCTGACCTGGACCGAGTGGATGGGATTAGGCTGCTGCTCGAAATGATCTCGTTCGGTGCAGCACTAATGCTCAGTGAGGTAGATGCTAAAGAGGTCAGAGCAGTGTCACTGGAGTCCAGAGTTGGCCTCTGGTGCGGCGTGCTGGTCCGCGGCGGAATGAGGTCGCTGAATGGATCAATCGTGACGATATTTCCTGCGTCAGGATATGCAACAGCAGAGCCCGTCGATCAGCAAGCACGAGAGCAGATGATAGAGCTGGCGGTCGTGGTATCAGGTCAAGTCGGATTGCGGCATGTCAGGTCCTGCAGGCTCAGCGCACAACCGGTCTGCACTCTCTCCTCATTACGGCCACGCGTCTCGGGCCTGCCTTAGCCTATCCACGGCATCGTGCCGTTTGCACAAATTCGTCCCATACTGCTCTTTCTCTTAATCCTCACGGCGATGACAATACCTGCAGATGCGCACACGATCTGTCCCTACAGTATGCTGGGTAACACAAAATGCGAACCTGCAGGTCTATCTCCTCATCTGAATCAGACGAAACGCCCGACCAACCACGCCGTTCGCAAAAATAAACCGGTTGCTTCCAGTGCGGGTTTGTTACCGGAACGGAAGGTTCGGCTGACCTGCTTGAATCACCTCGCTTTGGATTTCCTCTGGGTCTCTGAACACACGTCTGCATGTCCATCGCCAGCTAGCCTATCCGAGACGCTCGCATCGACATCGACCGGACCATCGTGTGTGGAATGCTTATATCACCGACACTGAAATATCTGAGCGAATTTGACCTTGCTCGTGGGATGGGTAGTCTGTAAGAAGGTGAGTGATGTCGGTTTGCGAGAAATCTCCATTCCACCTACAGGCTCAGCTGAAGCACAGGCTGGGCTGGGCTTCGAATTGTGGATATCACAGGCTGTACTTACGCTTACATGGGCTATCGGTATTTGGATCGCGCGTCCTGAATGGCTACTATCCACTCGGCATATGTCATCCGCGTCCGTCCCGCGAAGCACCATCGGACAAGGTAATAAGCTCACTGAGTTCTTCATAGCTGATCAACTCCAGTCCGAGACCGCCATCGACGTTGACCTCGAAGGGCCAAAGAGATTTCCGTGTTCGAGCACTACGGCGTTTCCATCTGGCGTGCACAAATTCACCTCGTCTCACGCCTATCGCAGGCTCGTGCTCTGGCACCCTCAAATCCGGCAGCGCTAATAACAAAGGCATTGATTTCTATTTCTCATGCTAGGTACCAAAGGCTTCTATGAACGCCGTCCTCCACAATTGCAATGCACATGTGTTCGCAAGCTCATACCGCCGGCAGGACCGGTTCCGCACCAGGGGCGTATCATTACAGGAAGATCAGCGCCCTTTCACTGCGACACACTTCATACCATAGTAGTCTCTTACGCTTGCAATTAGACCATCATCAATCACCCGGGAAGAACGCCTTCTCGTGAGGGTCTTCACGGGTGGGCGACCTCACCCCGCTTCTCGTGCAGGCATACACAGATGCCACTCGTTGATGAAATGCCGCAACGGCGAGGATTTCGTCGATTGCATCACTCATTGTGTATAAGGCGCATCTTCGTTCTCGCGCATCTTCGTTCTCGTCGCCTACTTGGCAACAGCATGTTCGCCCTTAGCGTGCAACAGCTTCTCCGGTTATACGGGCGACAGCACCCACTCTCTTCCGCGGCCACGCACCACAGGCATGGTGGCAGCCCCTCGTTCTGATCCCAGATAGAAGATGGTGTTCGGGGCGTCACGCCTATATCTCATTTGACGCTCCCCGCGGCAATGACCTGCCTGCTGCCACATGCCGGGCACGCCTTGCGCAGAGCGTAGCTTCGCAGGTACTCCGTCTGTCATACCCGCCGCTGCGTGTCCTGCTGATCGTTACACTTAGACTATCGCGCACGCAACGATCATACACGTCACATATTCGAAATGACGATAGCCGAATAAATCCAAGGGCGGACGTGGTCGGCTTAGCCTGTAACACGCAGCATAGCTCAGCGCTCAACAAGAAGGTTTCAACAATACTAAGGTCAAAAGAGAGTTGACACTGGCGCTGCGATCTCGCTCGGGATATCGACGATGAACCGGAACCGATGACCGACGTATTGCTGCCCTGCCTTTTCCACAAGGCGGTCCCCGCGCTGTGGTAGCTCACCACGGTACTTCATACGTGGAAGTGGATGTGGAAAGCGATGTGGAAAGCGAAGTACGTCTATCATCTTTCGCCGGTCAGCTGGTTCGCACCGCCCGTTCAGGATGATTGATCACACGCTGTGCAAGAAGGTGTGCCATTCAAAGCTACTGTATTTCTTGATATTATGCGAAGCATAGATGCATCCGTTATTATCGTGTTCTGTAGATATGATTATGCATCTGTGCTTTGTTCGTATTGTGATTGTTAGCCGATGGCAATGATAATGAACAATGGAGTGAGGATGCACGTCAACAAGGATGAACGTTTACTGCTACTGGAACGTGGGTATGCTAACTATGGACCCTTTTGGCCGGACTGAATTGAGGAGGCAATGAGAGAAAATTTTGGAGCGAGAAGAAAAAGAACCGCTAAGATGCCCAATGATCTTCGGATGGAATGCAGGTATGGATGCTATGATATGAAAAGAGGGCCCGATCCAGTGCAAGAGGCCGTGCTTCAATATATACATAGATAAGACGTGACTGTGACCCCCCAACGCGGAGATAGGACGCAGACAGGGACCGTGGTACCTGTGGGCAGGCGACGCTGTGCATGCAAAACAAACAGGTGCATTTTTTCCAATCCTGGTGAGGGCTCGAAGCAGCGCGCCATGGCGAACGGCGTGAGCCGATACTAGGATGCGTTGAAACATCGACGATAAATCGTGAGTGGAGATGATGATGGTGCCGATGCGAGAACCGAGACATTTTGAGTGCATCCAGACTGGATGCGTCTATGGACAGGGGCGATAGATATGCCGATGAAGCCTGGTCGTCGTGCAAAGGTCGTTTTGTATCATCCGCTCGTAAGTTTCATATCAAGTTGATGGCGTTCAGCGCTGGACGGTCCGTCCACGCGATCTGCCGCGCGACTTCAGACCGCTGCGTCCATTGCCGTAGCCAGGCGCTACCCCGCTCTCAATGCCCGAGGGAGGCGCATCCAGCTCTTCGACCTTTCTTCGTCCTCGCCTCCCTTCGAGAGCGACAGAAGGATCCTCGTTAAGAGAAGGAGCATAACGGAAGTGAAGGCTGCGCGCGAGGAACTGCCGAACAGCAGCAATGTCGTCCTCTGAACTCGGGCTCCCGACGAAGGTTTCGAGCTGCGGCTTCGCTAACGGCGAGCTGTTGCGTCGAGTGAGAGTGCGGCCGCGCTGTGCGGCAGCGGTGCTGTTCGAGACCCAATCCGTCACCTTCTCGATGCTGTCGAGACGAGCACGAGCCTGTGGACTGATCCGAGCGAGGTGGTGTGTGCACGGTGGCGGCGTTCCTGACACCCGAGGACGGGTTGATTGACGCGGAGGAGAGCGAGCAGCTGACCTGCCAGACGACGAGCGTGCATTGGGGTCCCGCTGCCTTCTCCGACCGCGGGATGTCGCCTCTACTCCTTGGAGTTTTGAATGAGCCTGAGAATACGCCGTGATGGGGTCCATGATGGGGTGAGCCACGCGAGGTGTAGGAGGAGATGACTGGAGGGATCGTGTGACGGTAGCAAGCGTCTGGAGAGACGAGGGAGTTCGTTGCGAGCGGGTGGAGGATGGCGAAGGTGTGGACGTGGTCAGCAGGGAGAAGTACGCTGGGAGGCTCACACGGTTGCGCCTCGACTTTGATGTGATGGTGTTATCCGCATCGTGCTCCTGCTCAGTGGATACGTGATTGACACTGCTAGCTTTCCTGCTGTGACGGGACTCCGCGCGTGCCCCATATGAATATACCGACGACGCAGATGACACTGCGTCAGAAAAGTCGTCGTCGACGGCGCAGCATGGCGCCGGTGCACTCTGCAGAGATTCTGAGTCGGCAGCCGAAGGGTCAGACATAGATGAAGTTCGTCGGTTGAGCGTCGGGACAGTGGAACGGTGGTCGGTACCAGATGGTCGACGAGCGTACGACAGGCCGCGTGGCTGATAGAGGTAGCGTCCAAGCGATCCTCCTGTCTTTGAACCACCGTCAATGCTGAGGTAGTCCCGACCGCAACCAAGCTCCTCGTCGGCAGCCGTGCTGAGCACCTCTTCCTCTTCCTCGTCGGTGGATACGGACCAGACGGCGGAGGACGTGGACGAGGATGAGATCGAGTGTCGACTTTTGTGAGCCTTGTATGGGCTACTGCCCTGGAGAGCGACGCCGATGGAGGATGGGACTAGAGCGGGCACATCCAGAAGGTTGCCGGGACCGCTACTAGAGTGCAAGTATGGGGATGCGTAAGCGCTGCTTGTGGCGGACACGGATGGTGAGGTCGCGTCAAGGCTCTCGCACTCGTCGCTGCAGTATGCTCGTCTATATAGCACAACGTAATCGAAGACGGTGTCAGCAGACCAATTCACGGACATAGCGCTAACTGAACGGACCCATCGACGGTTACTGGCCTACCACAGAGGAGGCAGACTTCTTCGTACATGGCAATTTGTGCTTTACCAACACAGGGGATGGTAAGGATTCGTGGACGGAGGAGAGCACAGAGCTCCAGAGACGGATAATAGGATGCTGTCGGGATGGGGAGGTCGGGGAGACATGGGCAGACAAGCACGAAATATATAAAGGGGAAGCGCGTGAAGGGGTGTGAAGACCGAATTTCGAGGACCCAAACATTTGACTCGTCCCCCGTGACGGATCTCGTGACGCAAAGAGTGACTCCAGCGGGCCAACGCGCTCGGCATCTGCCAAACTTGGCCAACTGTGCATCACACGGCGTCACACGGCGCGGAATTGTCGAGGAGACGCGGATGCGCACGTTCTCGTTTTCTGCCGCCATAACGGTGACGTGCCTATACCGCCTCCCAACCATGCTTCGCCCTTTCTTTCGCGAACGTGTATTCCAGACCGATACCTCCCTTCTTCCTCCTCTCCAGGCCAAACCGCCTCAGTCTAGCTCGTGCTCGCGTTGATTGTACCCACGCGTTGACGTGTGTTCTACCTGGACATCGGTCCGTAGCGTGACTTGGCGGGTCGCCCAAACAATCCAAGATCAGGATCATTCCTGTACTTTCTTGTCAGCAGCGTCTCGTGCGCCCGATGAATTGGAGCGCCTTATCGCGCAATACAGCTCCGCGATGCGGATGCCATCACCACCGCCCGGGCGTCAGATGTGGTATAGCAATTAGCAAGATTCGCATTGTAGTACGTCAACACCGATATGCTTGACGAACAAGTCACTCCCCGCTATCTCACAATGAAGCTCATCTGCTGCGTGTGTACCGAACGCCGCCTCGTCTGATATGGGCCGAACAGGCGCATTCATATCCTCAAGTGAAATATTTATCCTCACGCTAGTCGATCTTCTCCTTCTCGAATTGTCTGTTCTGGTCATCCTCGCGGGCGCACCTCCCCCGTGCTCTGCAGCTCTATTAGCACCGTTTCCCGAATCCCGGCACGAGATTGCCTGGCCGTGGTCCAGGTGTCTCTCCGCGCGCAATCTGTACGTGTAGGCAACGAATCACGATAATCACTCGGAGAGATCCATCGCACTCTTCGCGGCGTTTGTACAGTTTCACAACCTTCTGCGATCTGCAGTGAAGAATGTTCCTAATGCGGACCATCGTCTCTTTGCGGTGACAGTGACATTATGGCTCGTATTTATCGGTCACGACGGGCTGGTGAGGCATGTACGCTGACATCATGTGCATTATGACAACATACGAGGGCCCGAACAGTCATGCGCATGGGTGAATTCCGTTGGACGAGCGTACGAATATCGTATGTTCCTGTCACTGCTCTGGGTGCGAGAACCTCTCCCGTCGTCCAAGTAGCGCTCTAGGCCCGCGTGAATACAGTCCGGACAAAGTCTCCCCAACGAAGGCACTAATAATCCTTCTCCCTCAGGATACACACGCCTGAGGCACAACGGTCTGGCATCACATCGTGTTCACTCAGCCTGCTCAGCGTGCGGTGACTCCGTTGCCAGCCTAGACCGCCCGACCATATTCCTTTCTTGGTAATGCCCTCATGACGTCACGCACGTGCAATGTGATGCGCGACGCGTTGGTCACAGAGCACCTGATTTGGGGACCCACGCGGTCACGCTTTCGTGCTCTGCCATCGGTGGCCAAGTTTTTCGGCTCATGCATGCGCGCGTATTGCGTGCTCTGCGTTCAGCACTGAGGGGCGCGCGAGTCGCGGAATACCATTCCGCAGAATATATCCGCCGGGCTAGTTATGCTGATGCAGTTGCGTCGATGCGGTGAGTCGTGCACGCCGTCGGGACTCGGCGCATTCGTGGGATTCGCCACGCTCGACCATCATTGGCCGCAGTGAGTCAACTTGATGTCGAACGTGCTAGAATCGAGGCTGATGTGCATCAGTGATTCCCGAATTCGTTATGTCATCGCCGCCCAAGGACCTATTCGCGCGAACGTGAGGAGCGGACATTATCCGCTGATGACTTAGCCGCAGCCTTGTATTGCATATATGCGAGATGGGGTACGTGACGGTGGATATATTCTGATGTGGGTTCACTGTCCCGCACGTCTCCGAGTAACGGTCGTGTTCTAGACATGTGCATGAAAGCACAGCACTCTCCATACCGCAGCGGTGGACAATGCAAGAATCGACCTTCTCCTAAGGGCAATTACTCACGTCCTTCAACGCTTGTCAGACGCCGTGTCGTTTCTCGCTCCTTTTCGAAATTTCGACGACTTGGGCGCGATCAAGTATCCAGTGGCATGGATTAACTGCGACAGAAATAGCCGCTGATAGATGCAACAACGGATCTTGATGAGCCATATAGCTGTGGCGGTTCCCTTCTCTCGCCGTTTGAGAGTACCGCCAGAGTTGCTTCTTGCTGGGATCCACCATGGCGACACGAGCTGCATGCATGGACCTTTCGTTCCGCATCAAGCTTCCATTTTTACGATGTTTGAGAGAGATTACCGCGTTGGGCGAACAAGACATCGGTGGCCATTGTTAGCAGATCAGAACCCTACACGATATGGTTTACAATACAATCGCCATAGAGGCCGAGAGGCAGAACCCTGATATGCACAGGCCCTGTCAACCACCCCCGAGAGCGCTTGCTTGTATTGTTCCTGCAATTCAATGGTCGCAATCTTTCCCGCCTGGACACTCTCGGGCACTGTATTTGCGGTTATGTCGTGTAACCTCGCAGTGCTGTGCGGATGCGATTTTGGCGGTGACAGGTACCGGCGGTTGCTTGTCGAAATTTGCAGGCAGCGCCGTGCACCGGCGGTGATGGACGCAGCCAGGAGACATGCGCTCTCAAAACTGGTGATGATGTCTACGGCGCAGAGATGGCTAAACTTGTTGACCGCCTCGCTGCGAGAATTAGGCTTTTGCCTGACGTCGATGCAGAAAAATAATATCCCGGTTCTGGTCACGGTCACTATGGCAAATCCTTCCGCGTACGGATCATACACGTGAAACCCAAGCGCCGAGCGCAGTCAAAGAGGCGCACCCGGGGAGATCTAGGCTGTTCACAAACGGGTGCGTTGTATGAAGAGTCTGGGGCGAAATGCTGTGGGCTTTTGGTTTCCTTACGTCAAGTGAGGGTGCTTGTGGTTGAAAGGGTCCAGAAACGGTCTATAGATCATACACGCTCGCTGAGTTCTTCGCCCCCAGGTCCCATCTCGCTGAAAGGCGCGGGGCAACGCCACCCTGGCGCTAGCGTACAGCCCATGCCTCGCCGGGAACGCCACGCGCAAGTTGGTGCGAGTGTGCACATAAAACGATCAGGCACATGGCCCGACATTTGAAAATCTCACCATCCCGTGGCCGCTGGCTAAGACCTTGAAGTTCAAGCCGCGTATATTAGTGCAATGGCCCTAGAACAGGCGTACATCCTGTGAAGAGCTAGTATCTATTCACCTATCGAATCACACCTAGAACGAATTAATGTGTAGCTGAGCTAACTGGAACGCTTGCAATGCGAGCGTCGCGACGGGCCACAAGTTCCGACGCGTTCATTTTTCTCCACATGTGCTGAATGAAACGCCAATCACTTAGGACGCAGCATCAACGTGTGCACCGCATGCGGGACCTGCGCTCTCGAACCTCGGGACTATAGCTAACGTGCCTCCAAAATTTCCGCGACGCTGTTTAGCCCGACGCCAAAGGACTGCAGCTCTAAATGCAGGTAAAGCACAAGACTTGGGGTGCGACATTTTTTTGGCAGCACCAGTGTGACTCTTGACAGTTCCAGTTGTGGGTCGTGTGTAGATGGAGTCGCCACTTCCTCTTTTCGACGATCTAATCATAGAACGGGCCTACGCACTCCGAGCTTCCGAACGTCAACTACTACGGTCCAGTCCATCCATAACGTCCTCTCCATTAGCAACACATTCAGTACAGTATCTCCTCACGAGCCGCCGTCTTCCCGCTGAACTTCTTCCCCAGTATCAACGTGACCGTCGGCCGCATCCCCATTCTGCGAGACCGACAGGGGCGTCTCTTTTGGTGGGGAGGGTGCTTCCTGCTTCGGCGGCGTCTCCGGCGGCGGCTCGTCAGCAGGGGCATCGTGCGCCTCCGTATTGCCCTCGATCTCATGACCCGTGGGAGGATCCGCACTAGCAACGCCATCGGCCACTGGTTCCGCCGTGGGCGGCTCAGGATCCGGCGGCGCCGGAGGCGCAACTTTTTCCACTGGCGGGGTGGGTGAAGGAGGTACCTTCTCTGCCTTCTCGAAATGCGGAAGGTGCGGGAGGTGTGTTAGCAGCGTTGAGGTCCTTTTGCTATCCGATCGCGCAAGCAACCCTTTGATCCGTTGTGTTGCGTGATTGGTAGTCACAGGCTGAGCAGGAGGCGGCGGCGTGTTGCGTGCGACGGCCTTCTCCGACACAATAATCTCCAGCATCGCGGTCGGCGCGCCCACGTTCCTCAGCCCGGTCAGCTTGTTATGCAAATATCGCGCATCCGCGAGTAACCTTGCGTTATAGAATAGTCAGGGTGATTGCCAAGAAGACGAGACGGATACCGCACCGGTCCTTGGCCTCTTGGGACGGCAGCTCGACCTTGGTAAACTCTTCGGACAGTCGATGGTTGATTCCCGCGAAGACCTGAGTCATCACATACTAGTACAGCACCACCTCAGTACCGCCACAAACCACTGGAATGGTACTCACCTCGACTACCGAGGGCGACAGATAACGCGAGAGCACCTTGTGAAGTGTGACAGTATCTTTGACAATAATCTCCATGTAGTCGTTGATCCCGCCTCCCTCTTTCGGCACATCCCACTTCACTTCCTATCAAACATAAACATTCTCAATCAGTCACAGAACCGAACAGTGCATAGGGCAGCATGGTCCCCTAGTTGGAAGGACGCCAGCTCACCTGCAGGCTCTTTATATGGACACTGAGGCGGTCTCCCATGATCGCTATCAGCTTCTGGTGTATCTCATTTTGGTGCTCTTGGTAATCCTGCAGGGACATCCGTTGCACGATCAGCATTGCGTTTGCGAACCCACACCAGACAATACGCTGCACGCACCCGCTTCAGCTTATCGAACTCTACGAGCATGACCGCCTGCTTCTGGCTCAGATGCCGCCGGAACGTCTCCCGGATATACGGAATGAGCGAGATTACTATTGATAGCGACTGCGATGCCAATGCTGTGCGCCACAATGACAGTGATTCATCCATACCGGAATTGTGCTAGCGGGAGCCACGATAACTTACCAAGATGCCTCGCAGTAATGTTCTTCAGCCCAGCAGAGCGCATGGCGCCGGCGCCTAGCACGACCTGGCACGTCCGCGAGTTGAACGCTTTGAGAAGCTCGATGACACGGCTCATTGTCTCTGTCGTGAGCATCTCCAGATTCATCATGATCTTGAGGTAGTCCGCTAGGAGCACGAGCACCTCGAGCGTCGCGGATACGGCATAGTAGCTCCGGTCCTCGATATGCAAATGCTTCGAGTGTGATGTCGCCGACCGCCGCGACGGATGCCGGCTCGCCACGGGACGCAATGTCGGGGACGGAAGCGGAGAGGAAGGATGTGGCGGCGGTTGCCCGTTTGGAGAAAGCGCTGGAGAGAGCGGTGCAGGCGACCTTGGACGGGGTGAAGGTAGCGCTGGGGGGTTGAGCAGGAGCTCGGGAGGATCGGAAATGGAAGCATCGACCAGCATATCAACGATGTGTTGGACAGAAGGAGCGACTTCTGCTGCATTCCACTGCTCATCCTCGACGAGCTTCGCAGAGTTCGTTATCTGCACCTGGTGGAATGCTTGCAAGAAGCTCTTGGCCTACAAAAGAAGACACAGAGTCATCCTCAACAACCTTATATGCATGGATCTACAGAAGGTCAGACAGACCTGGCCAACGATCGTCCCCCGAAGACCAACAATCATCCGTCGGCAGATCTTCTCCGATTCCACGACGAAGTTCCACGACTCGTTGAACACGGCAGCGAAGCTCGGCAGATCCAGCGCTGCATGCTGCTCAGCCCGCAGTGCGATGATCTTCGACGCCCGCACATGCGCGAGCTCGGCTGCAGACGACAAGATACCTGACAGGTCCTCTTGTAGCGCCGGGATGTCGACCGAGGCCTTCGGTGACCTCAAAGACACATAGAATGATTAGATTTCAGACAGGGCGTCTGGAAATGCTGACGGCCAGTAACATACCGTACAGCTTGGAGGACTTCCACGATGATAGCGTGCTGCCGTTGCAGGCCTCTGATACATTGCAGGAGACTCCGGTACATCGCGCGCGCAAGCTCCATAAACTCTGGATGTGGCATGGAACGGAGTTCATTTGCTGCATTTGACCTGCGCAGCACCATCGTGAAGCCTTCTATTATTACATGGATGCAATTAATCAATGCTCACCCTTGAGACTTCGCGTCGTCTCCATCAATATCGGACAGAGGTACTCGCTGTATCAACGGCTTAGCATGGTCGACTCGCTAGCGCATCACATCGCAGCACTTACTCGCCTGAGCGTACTTCGGACCTCGGTCATGACTACTTCACTCCACGAGTTCGTAGCTTCTCGCACACCTTTCGTGCGTGCGAGACATTGCAGAAGCGGACGGAGCCTATCACGTAGATATGTGTCTGGATCTTCTTTCCTTTCTTTGCTGGGCGAATCGTCTATTAGCTCGACTAGATCGAGCCGCAATACATTCACAAATTCAGAGGTCAGCGAAGAAGTAATCTCCAGCGTTAATGTGCGGAGGTGAGCCGGCAGTGCAGCGAACGCCTTCAGGGATGATATTGGCACATTGATGGCAGGTTTGGGGGATATATCGGCGGGTGTCGGCTTTGGACTTTCGGGTGGCGACTCGGGAACAGTGGGTAGTGGAGAACGGGTCCCCTCCCTTGAAGGTATTGGTGGTAGGGTCTCTGCCTTCGGTTTATCGCCGGTCCCCTCATTGCTCGACCCGGCCTGCCACAGCCTGTCCAGCTCGTCAATCACATCCAGTGCTTCTCCCCACTGTCCCGCAGCAACGAGGCTCTTGGCCACCCCGGTCATCTCCACCACCCCGCTCACGAGCTTGACGCCCTCCTTGACAGCGTCTAGGTTGCGCAGCCGGTGCTCCCTCCGGACGATCTCTAGCCCACGCTTGGCACCCTCCTCGTCTACCTCGTTGAGCATACCGCGCAGCTTTGCGATACGCTCGAGACATTGTTCTGACTCGGTTTGCAGGTCCTGCAGGTTTGATAGAGCGGCAAAAAACGATGTCGAGCGCAAGGAGATCTCGCGTACGAGGTGCTGTTCGATCGTATCGGCATGGTGAGACAATTTCTCGAGCAGCGGCAGTGAATATGAGAGTGCCGATGGGTCAGACACAAAGGCGTCGGCACCCTCAGGCTGTTCTGTCACTGCATTGAACGTTCGCGGGTCGCCGAGGTTGAAGTTCTGCTCGAAAAATACAGCAGGGACCGTCTCCAGCGGGGGTAACGCTCGCCCGGGCCGAAGCTGCGGTATATGGCTGGCATCGGGGACGTCAAAGCTAGAGGATGAGGGCACTGCGGTGGTCGGAATTTGCGCAAAGCCCTCCCGTCCTTGTTCGATACTCCTCTGGAACCGCTCCCACTCCGGGCCAACCGCGCTCAAGTAGGGGTCAAAATCCTTCCGGCGTACGCGTGGCAGCTCGGCGGGCGGCACTGCTGGGAGACTAGAATGAGCTTTCGGCGGTGCAGAGCGTTTGTGCGGGCTGTTCACGACAGTAGAGATTGCTGTGTATGATGAGAGTAGGTAGTGTAACGCATACTGAACATGGCGTCAATGGTACATACCGTGGAACCCATGCTTTGCACTGCTCCAATCTGATGGCAGTGCGCCGAGCTGCAACGATGTGAGTGAGGCGTTGTTGTAGATGTCGTACTGCGATGCCTCGCCAAAGTAGTCATTGGGACCCTCGGTCGCCCCAGAGACGCTGCCCGGCCCTGGTCGACGGTTGGATGCATCCCACTGGAAGCGATACGGATGAGCATGAGAAGGCTGAGGCAGGTCCGCAACAGGTGATGCTGGTCGGGATGGTGTCGAGGTCCCCTCGGACATGGATTGTGGATTGTAGCGGAGACGGTCAGAATATGTGCGTCGTTCGGTCGAACTGAGTATCACCAATTTACACGTCGTTCAACGATGCTGCTGTGCATACATCAGACAAGCCAAAGTGAATACGCTGGGTTCTAAGGGTACAACGACGTCGCTAGCGCAAGTAGTGTGTTCCTGTGGATTCGTGTCAAGATGTCTATCCCCGGTGATGAACGTGAAGCAATGGATCCAGCTATTACATAGCTGGACAGGTCTATACTTCGTTACTAGTGGTAGTTCCCACGCTTTCAAAACGGGCTTCGCAGAGCGTAGTCTCCAGATGTTCAACGGGACTTTTCTCCTATCGCCAACGACCTCGGCGCGAGCCATGTCGACTGTACCAGGGCTTTCCCTTCCGAAGCCACTGCGACATTTCTTCGCGCTTTTCCCTCTCTATACGCATGCGTCCGTCCCTTCCCCATACACCGCCCAACCTGTTACCGCGCCCACGCTCTGGATCCATGCTCCTCGTGATGAAACTTCGGATCTCCTCAGCAGCGATGTCGAGTGTCTGAAATGGCAAGCGTACCTAGCCCTGCGTGGGTTGTCACAAGTCTATGTCCGGTCGGACGTCTCGCAAGATGGTGCGCTCGAAGGAAGACTGCCTAACCTACATGTCCCTGCAAAGGATGGGGATCCGGGCGGGGAGCTCCTTGCTGCGCACCTGATATCAGAATGGGTGGATAAACAGAAGGGAGGGCTCGGTGAGTTGGAGGGGTACGTAGACGAGGCAGCCCGGGACGAGAGCCGTTCATGGTTCTCATTGCTGGAGGGGAACGTGCATGCTGCCCTTGTACGCATTTCATTCTCTCTACTTTCGCAACCGTTCCACATGCATAAACCGAGCTATGTAGACACTCTCGCAATCGCCGCCTCCCTTCCTCGCTTCGCTGTTGTCACCTTTTCCCGTGAAGCATCGAACAATCGAGACAATGCTGAATCCGCCACCTGCATTTCTTACTGGTATAAGCTCCCTTATCCCGCCTTATGGAGTACACGTCGATCGCACTGCCGTAACGCTGCAGTATAGGGACGCGATTGCAGCATTGTCCGACCGGTTAGGCACAGACAGGTGGTTCCTTGGCTCAACGTATGTCGTCAATGTCCTTTAGTTGTTCTCGTTGATTAATTCCATACGTGAAAGGAATCCGACAAAACTGGATGCTCTTGTCTTTGCATATCTGCACTGCATCCTGCACTCCAAAGACAACGCGGTACGCATCGAAGTATCTCGGCGGGTGAATCTCGAGGCATGGGAACGTCGGGTACAAGAACTGGTCTGCGCTGCTTTCGAACGTAGACCCTCAGTACAGAACAAAGCGCCGTGAATGAAGAACTACTTGCCTCTCACCCGTGCATTTATAAGCAATCCTCTAGGTCTTCGATGGCACTCATTGATGAATATCGCGCGTTGATATGGGATACTCGCGAGACCACCCCAGGGGGAGGGTTCCAGTCGCGATCACGTGGAAAATGCTGACGATTCATTATGATTGACCGGCTCCAACATTTCCAGCGCAATCATACCATCCGAGTATGTGGCGATGCACAGCATCCACCGCGAGTTCGGCACAAGTTGTTTAGATGACGAGAATCCGATTAAACAGGCCTAGACAGCATCGGTTCGAACAAACTCTACTGACTGCATCCGTTACTCTGAAAAGAAGCCGTGACAGCTGTGCGACAACTGCTCATATACCCCGCTTCGCTGTGAGCCAAAAAACTCCCTCGATACTCTCGTTCCGCTGATCGGCGTCTGCTCGTAAGTCCGAAAAATTGTGCTTTTCGAGGCAACTCATATGGAGCTCATCACACGAGAACAACTAAGGTACACCAAGGAAACCACAAGGACGCGCGAACTGTTGCAGTGGGCATGCGCCTTGTGTGTGCCGTTTCATACGAGGCGATGAATGTCAGCTCAGTGAATACAATGTCGGCTGTCCCTATTGACAGTCCTGTTTGGCGCACAGTCGCGAAACCGACGTGTAGCTTGGCTATGCTTCCACTTCGGTATTCAGAACACTCCTCATGTCATACTCCGATCATCCTCGACTCTGGTTGGTATACTATCACTGGCCCACTAATGCAATTTTTTCAGAGTGTCGCGTCCTATTCTGCTGTCAGTGAGCAGACCCCCTCGGAGATTTTATTCTTAGAAATACTGGGGTCTTGAGAACACTGAGAAATATTTGTGAGTGAACAGGATGTGAAGTGGATGAATCCGAGGATGACTTCCGGTCGCAACACCAATGCAATTATCAAGAATCATCAGCCACCGTGTGAGAATGTCTTCATTTTGACAGTCCGATCCGGCACCACTGAAAATGGATGTTCTCCGACGCAGCTCCGCCATTCTCAGCTCGAATGGACCTTCTAAACCTTCCTTAATTGGGTATGATTCTCGTTCTGGCAGCCACTCACTCCTTACACTTCTCCCAGAGAACACAGGGCTCGCGCAATATATGTCGGCTTCTGTCAACATAGAGTTCACATATATACGAAATCTACCTGAGAGCCTCATGAGACCACCTTCAGCTGTACGAGCAAGCGAGCCTCGGGAAAGCTTCAAAATGGGGCTCTTTACTGTAAGTACTCGTCCCATATGCTGGCAACATGCAATGTCAAAAATCTGAATAGACAGCCTTGGCTGTAATACTTGCATGTAAATTGCGTGAATTTTTCGGATTTTTGAATGTGTTATTCAGACGGGAAAGACGTGAATTGCGTTAGGGTTGCAATTGCATTGTGGGGCCACTGATAGTACATAGGACAGAGCTGTACATTCCACTTTCATAAATAGACATACCTCATGCTTACCTCGTGCTCAACGTGCCTGCTCGGCTGTGTTCCGGTGTTAATAATAGCGCGCTTACATTGCTGGAATGGAGGTCAGAGTCCGACTCAGACGGTATTGCACACGGATCTCTTAAGCACTTTCCTGACGAGAGCTCTATCCAGCCTCTTTGAAACTCAGCATGACCATGAATTGTACTGGCCCCCAGACTGGATACGTCGTGCCTCTCAGCGTGGAGAAGATCTTACTAAAGAGCATCCGTTATTGCCAATCACGATTTCACATATAGAAGGTACTTGCAAAATGACCTGTATGCCGTCATCATCGTTGATGGACGTGCGGATTGTCGATGTTAACCTTAGGTCTCGGCGGAGAAATTGGTGACTCTTTGTGATCTCCACGAACAGACTCGCCTCTTGGCACCAAGCACCATGAACGCGAGGCTGGCGCTGGTGCTCTGTGAGTTTCTGTTCATTGCTTCGACTGCAATTCCCGACATTTGGTATAACTCGCAGGGAAAACAGCGTCTCTACGATCATTTGCGTGAATGTGCCTCATGGGGCATTGAAATGGCCTTGGCTCGATGGGCTACAACTAAGAGGAATGTTAGTGAAGCCATACGAAGAATGCCCGCCAGATATCTATTCCTCGGTATGTGGCTAGTGCCACTGCACTGTAAAATGATGGAGCTAAGCGAGACAGTAACGGGCTTCTGTGCCGGGCCTGTAATATGGCTGCGGAAATGCTCGAGCTTAGTCAAGATGGCAAGACCGCTAGACACGAAACGCAACAGACACGGCAGACATGATGCGATTTATCAGTGTAAAGAATAGTGTGGGAATGTCGGCTGATGTCTTACATTTGTGACAAAGATTTGCCAATATAGTATTTAAATGGCAAATAGTGCACATTCACAGCCAAAGTGAAACATTTTCAACATGAAGTGCCATGGTTGCAAATATTTGCCACATGTGTAAGAAATCAGTCGACATTTACACACAATTTTCCACGTTGGTAAATCTCCTGTCTCCTGTCACGATCACGTGCGGGTAATATCAGTCGACCACCTCCCGCAATAAGGCGCAGCCTACGTATACCCGCGACTTTTCTGTCGCTTCCAAAGCAATGTTTGTTCTCCTGCCTTGCCGACCTCTTTGCATCATGAAGTCAAGAAATGGCGAATCTACGACATGTGGCTAGGCCCAGAGATGCTGATGATGACAGCATGTTGGTGGCTAACCGTTGCGGTCAACTTACTTTGCTGTGAGAAGATACACCTGACATGGGCCCTCCAGGCCTTCAAGTGTACCCGCCAGCGCGAAGTCCATGTGTTCATAGCTGACGCAGATGTACGCCAAAGTGTAAGCTTACGCGGGCTCAGTGAGGATTGTGTGGACAGAGGTCGTGCGATTGTGGGCCCTCCCTTCTGTCTGGCATTACCATTCGTACTTCCGCCTCTTCGATATCATGCAGGCTCATGCACGATGCTATCGTTGGAAGCATGCTGCTATCATGTGCGGTATTGATGGGCTCGGGCTGGCGTCATCTCTATGAGCATAGTCTCCACATAAACGCCCCGTGATTGCGCCGACTGCCTCGGCGCAGCAGAACCTGTAGTTGGCTTATGTAGCATCAACGGTGAGGGTTGCCTTGTTCGAAACCGATATGGCGTTCCCGCCTGGCCCATCGTACCTCGCCCGCACGCTTACAATCTTCTCCATTGCCCCGGCAGCAATGGTGATCTTGATACGGCTACTGAATCAGAATACTGACCTGGCGATCCCCGCATGGTTGACCGCGATCCTCGCTTTCTTGAGCATTCCCGTTCGTGGAATCATCGCCGTTCAAGTGCGATATTGGAGAATCCGACGTGCGGCAGCGCGACCTCCCCCCCGACCTGGACGGGCACAAATATTGGGAATCTTGATACCTTGCGGGACTTGCTGCACTCATTCAAACATGGCTATATAGGTGTGTATTTGAGGCAAACTGGGACTATAAGGCACAAATTGCTGACTCGAGCATTCGTCTCGCGATCATCTGTCAATTCGCAGGAGATTCTGTATCGGAGAAGTTCGATGAATTCGCGCCCACATTTCGACTGAATATTTTGTGGGACCAAGATATTTTGACCTGTGATCCTGCCGTCATCAAAGTGAGCTTTTAAACAAGAGCATCGGCAGAGTGCCCCTGACATCATGGAACGTTAAAGACCGTGCTTGCTACGGAGTTCCACAACTATGAGAAGGGTAGGTCGTTGAGGTCGCCGTAATTATTGTGCTTGACCTGCCACTATGTCGGTGTATGTATAGGCGCATTGTTCAAGGAGCCGATGACTTCGTTGCTTGGCACAGGTGTATTCAATTCTGATGGTGCGTATCCACGACTTTGCGTTGATGGCACACGATCGCTTATCTAGGTCTTGAACACTTGTGTAGGGGAAATGTGGAAGTACGTGACTCTTATAGGTGGCTGAATGAAGCGTTGCCGACAATAATTCCGGTCATCTATCAGATGGCATCGGGCTATGACCCGCCCGTTCTTCAGCAAGGGCCGCATTAGCCACTTCGAGCTGTTCAACCGCCATTCCGGTGAGTCAGTTTTTACTCATCAATGCGGTGCTGTGCGATATAATGCTCACGGATATGTCATCATCGTGATTAACCACTGTAGAAGAAGCCCTTGCAAAGATGAATGAATGTTTCAGAGCTGGGTACGCTGTCGACTTTCAGGTAGGCATGTGCAGGTCTCACATCTATTGAGCACCCGAATTGTTGATATCATGCATACATTGACATTTAATGCACCACAGGAGCTGATCTTGCGCTTCACCTTGGATTCCGCCACAGAGTTTCTCTTCGATTCCTGTGTGCATTCCCTGTACTCTCCCCTTCCCTACCCTCATAACTTGACCCGCAACCCCCTTCGCCGGCACGACTAAAGGGGAGCTCGATCGAGCCGATGCCTTCGCGCGGGCGCTCGCCAACGTACAGCACGTCATCTCGGAGCGCGCACAACTCGGGGAGATCTCGCCAGTTTTTGAGATACGAAAGAACAAAGCGGACGAGTATATGCGTGTCGTCGATGATTATGTCGGCCCTATCTTGCAGGAGGCGCTGAGGAAGAAGGAACAGATGATTAAGGATGGAAAGTGGGGAAAGGAGAGAGATGAGGCCGTGGAGGATGATGATTCCTTGCTGGATCACTTGATCAGATATACGAGTGGTAGGTCACAATGAATTTGCATTTTACTGGCTATGGTTGAAGACATTTTTTAAGGCCCGGTTGTTCTGCACGACGAGGTTCTCAACATCCTGATTGCAGGACGGGATACAGTGAGTGTTTGGAACAGCTCTTCGTCAGACATTGGCTTGACAATGGTTATGATACACAGATAGCGGCCTCTTTGACCTTTGCAGTTTACTTTCTCTGTGTGTATCCCGCTGTCTTGAAGCGCTTGCGTTCCGAGATTTTGGAAAAAGTCGGTCCCCGCCAGAAGCCTACGTACGCGAACGTCAAAGAGATGAAGTTCCTTCGAGTGTTCATCAAAGAGACGCTGAGGTTGTACCCTGCTGTGTACGTCGCAGTGTACGGTACAAGTCGACATCGCTGATAATCTTTCAATGTCATGTAGTCCGTTCAACATGCGGTATGTCATGTATGACTCGTGCGTCCTAGGCGTTGGTCTAATGCCGACATAGTCTGTCGATAAACGAAGGTTTGCTTCCGAATCCTGATCCAAAGGGAAAGCCCTACTATGTTCCGCCTGGAACGCCATACGTATTTTAATACACCAAAAGCGTGCACAAATCTGACATGTCATGCCTGGCTATACAGTGTGTCATACTCGGTGTTCGCCATGCATCGCAGGACAGAATACTGGGGACCTGATGGTGGGTACCGAGCTATTGTGCGGATCGGCATCCCTAACAGACGCATACATGTAGCTCAAGAATTCGATCCGGACCGTTTTCTGGATGAGCGGGTGACCAAGTACCTTACGCCGAACCCGTTCATCTTCCTTCCATTCAACGCGGGTCCGCGCATCTGCCTCGGCCAGCAGGTATGCTCCTCTGCTCTTTGTTTGAAGTCCGTGTGCTGACTGGCGAACCATCCTTGCGCGTAGTTCGCATACAACGAGATGTCTTTCTTCCTCATCAAGCTCTTGCAGCACTTCTCCGCGATGGAGCTGGTGCCCGAGGCCGCCCCGCAGGACTCGCAGCCGCCGCGAGAGTGGGCAGGTCTGCCTGGGAGTAAGGGCGTAGAGAAAATCTGGCCGAAGACGCATCTTACTCTGTATGCGAATGTGAGCCTTCATATACCTCAATGTGTCGGCGGCATGGTCTGACATCTGTCATAGGGCGGGCTTTGGGTGAGAATGACGGAAACGCCACAGTACGAACTGGACAGCATTGAGATGTAAGATAGTGCGTATGACTTGAGCGTCGAGATTGTTATATGGTTGTTGGCGAAGGTTACTGGCTAGCATTAACACGTGTTGTAACCTGTCCTTGTATTGTAACGGATGAAAGCGAGACTGCAGAGAGCTAGGCGAGACGATAACGTGCACTTTCTGTGCAACACGAAAGAGCAAGTTGTGCTCGGCTCGACGACGCGAAAAGCAACGGACCTCGTCACGATCACGTGCAGATAATATCGGTCGACCGACCACTTTCCGCAAAAAATGCGCAACCTACGTATGTTCGCGACTTGGAACTCCATGTACCTTTCTAGCTCTGTTTGCTTTCCTGCCCAGCCAACGTCTTTGCAACGTGAAGTCAAGAAATAACAGATCTTCGACATGCGCTATGCCCAGAGATGTACTGATGCTAACGGCGCGTTGCCGGCTAACTGCGGTCCAATTCACTCTGCTGTGAGAAGTTTTACCATGGGTTTGAACCCTCGAGACGTCAAAATGCAAGCCTACGTGGGTTCAGCGATACTTACACGTCGTGTGATTGTGGGCTCCTCATTTTGTCTGGCAATATTCGTCTCCCGCTTTTTCGATATCCGAGGAAAGTTCAAGAGGCTACATCTACTTTTCCGGCAGATCGGAGGAAGATTCTCTGAGGATGTGGACGATATAAGCACAAGCACATCGGCGGGCTTGACGAACTCACCACACAAGTCGGAGCAGAGGAGGCATCATGTGCGCTGTTCATGGGTTCGGGCTGGCGTCATCTCCATTAGTATAGTCTCCATATTTACGGCCCGTGATAACGTCGACTGCTCTTAGAAGATGCAGCTTATATAGCATCAACGGTGAGATTTACCCTTGATCAAAACCGACATGGCATTCCCGCCTGGCCCATCGTACGTTGCCCGCACGCTTGCAATCCTCTTCATTGCCCCGGCCACAGTGGTGATCTTGATACGACTATCGAATCAGAATACTTACTTGACGATTCCCGGATGGCTGACCGTGATCCTCGCTTTCTTGAGCATCCCCGTCTGTGGGGCCATCGCCGTTCAAGTGCGATATTGGAGAATCCGACATGCAGCAGCGCGACTGGGAGCGACTTTCCCGCCGACCTGGATGGGCACGAGATTTGGGAATCTCGATACCTTGCGGAACTTGCTGCACTCGTTCAAACATGGCTATCCAGGTGTGTATTCTAGGCAAACTGGGACAATAACGCTGCTGACTCGAGCGTTTGTATCACGAACTGCCTATCAATTCTCAGGAGATTATATATGGGAGAAGTTCAGTGAATTAGGGCCCACATTCCGACTGAATATCTTGTGGGATCATGGTACTTTGACCTGTGACCCTGCCATCATCAAAGTGAGCTTCTGAGCAAGAGCATCGGCAGAGTACCTCCTGACATCACGGAACGCATCAGACTGTGCTTGCTACGGAATTCCAAAACTATGAGAAGGGTAGGTCTCCAAGGTCGCCATAAATATCGTGCTTGATCTGGCAGTATGTCGGCGTGTGTTTAGGCCCGTTGTTCAAGGAGCAGATGGGCTCGGTGCTTGGAACAGGCGTATTCAATTCTGATGGTACGTGTCCACGACTTTGCGTTGACGGCACATGATAGCTTATCTAAGTATTGAATGCTTGTGTAGGGGAAATGTGGAAGTACGTGACTCCTGTAGGTGGCTGAGTGAAGCGTTGCCGACTCTAATTCCGGTCATCTGTTAGATGGCACCGAGCTATGACCCGCCCGTTCTTCAGCAAGGACCGCATCAGCCACTTTGAGCTGTTCGATCGTCATGCCGGTGAGTCGGTTTTCATTCACCAGTCCAGTGTTCTGCGACACAACGCTCACGTCTTCGTCGTCGTCGCGACCGACCACTATAGAGGAAGCCCTCACAAGGATGAATGAACGTCTCCGAGCTGGGTATGCTGTCGACTTTCAGGTAGGCATGGGCAGGTCTCACATCTATAGAACACCCGAATTGTTGATATCACGCATATATTGATATTTAATGCACCACAGGACCTGATCTCACGCTTCACCTTGGATTCCGCCACAGAGTTCCTCTTCGAATCCTGCGTGCATTCCCTGTACTCGCCCCTCCCTTACCCTCACAACCTGACCCGCAGTCCCTTCTCGGACACTACTAAAGGCGAGCTCGATCGAGCCGAGGCTTTTGCGCGGGCGTTCGCCAAGGCGCAGCACGTCGTGTCGGAGCGTGCACAACTCGGAAAAATCTGGCCGTTCTTTGAAATATGGAGGAACAAGACGGACGAGTATATGCGGGTCGTCGATGACTATCTCGGCCCTATCTTGCAGGAGGCGCTGAGGAAGAAGGAGCAGATGATTAAGGAGGAAAAGTGGGGAAGGGATAAGGATGAAGCTGTGGAGGATGATGACACCTTGCTGGATCACTTGGTCAGATATACGAGTGGTAGGTCACAATTAATCCGCTTTTTGCTCGCAATGATTGAAGACATTTTCTAAGACCCGGTTGTTCTGCACGATGAGGTTCTCAACATCCTGATCGCAGGACGGGATACAGTGAGCGCTTCGAACAGCTCTCCGTCAGACGCTGGACTGACAATGCTCATGATTCACAGATAGCAGTCTCTTTGACCTTCGCAGTCTACTTCCTCTGCATATACCCTGCTGCCTTGAAGCGCTTGCGTTCCGAGATTTTGGAGAAGGTTGGATCCCGCCGGAAGCCTACGTATGCGGACGTTAAAGAGATGAAGTTCCTTCGAGCGTTCATCAACGAAACGCTGAGGTTGTATCCTGCTGTGTACGTCGCAGTGTACGGTACCAGTCGACATCGCTGATTATTACTCCACGGTTGCTCAGCCCGTTCAATATTCGGTATGTCGTGAACTACTCGTGCTGCTAGGCATTGCTCTAACGCCGATACAGTCTGTCGGTCAATGAAGGTTTGCTCCCGAATCCTGATCCGAATGGAAAGCCGTACTATGTCCCGCCTAGAACGCCGTATGTGTTATTGTACACCAAAAGCATGCACGTATCTGACATATTATTCCTGGCTATGTAGAGTTTCATACTCGGTGTTCGCCATGCATCGCAGGACAGAATACTGGGGACCTGATGGTGGGTACCGAGCTATCGTGCGGATCGGCATCCCTAACAGACGCATACATGTAGCTCAAGAATTCGATCCGGACCGTTTTTTGGACGAGCGGGTGACCAAGTACCTCACGCCGAACCCGTTCATCTTCCTTCCATTCAACGCGGGTCCGCGCATCTGCCTCGGCCAGCAGGTATGCTTCTTGAGACTCTGCTCGAAGTCTGCATACTGACTGGCGGACCGCCCTCGCGCGTAGTTCGCATACAACGAGATGTCTTTCTTCCTCATAAAGCTCTTGCAGCGCTTCTCCGTGATGGAGCTGGTGCCCGAGGCTGCCCCGCAGGATTCGCTGCCGCCGAGAGAGTGGGCAGGCCTGCCTGGGCGTAAGGGTGTAGAGAAAGTCTGGCCGAAGACGCATCTTACTCTGTATGCGAATGTGAGCCTTCGTATACCTCATTGTGTCATCGGCATGGTCTGACATCTGTCGTAGGGCGGGCTTTGGGTGAGAATGACGGAAACGCCGCAGGACGAGCTGGACAGCGCTGAGATGTAAGATAGTGCATAGAGCGTCCAGACTGTTACATCATTATTGGCGAAGTCACCGGCTATTGTAGGATATCGTCGCGTTCACTTGTTGTAACTTGACGTTGTGCTGTGAAAGAGAGTCCCAGATATGTAGTCAGTGCGAAGAGCCTGATCTCAGATTCAACTATACTGAGAGCTTTCGTCGACTCCACGCCCCACAGAGAACATGCCATGGTGAGCTGTCGGGAGTAAAGAAGTCCTTGGAGGTCTGTTAGCTTATGCTCGGCGATTCCGCAGAACACATCCTGAACCCAATCCTTGTGAAGCGGAGGTATGCGAGGGACAAAGGCAGGTGCACATATGGGAAGACAACATACACGCTGGGCTTAATCGCATGAGCTCCATGTTCTCTTCATGAGGACAGTAAATTGGTAAGGCTTCTGATGCTGAGAACCGAGTGTCACCATAGTCGCATGAGCTCGATGTTCTCTTCAGGCGAACAGTAAATTTGGCAAGGTTCTTGATGCCGAGAACCAAGAGTTACCGCAAGGCATTGCGATGATCGGGCTGAGACCGTCGGCATGGAAACACCGGAAGGTTGGTGGATCGCCAGCGTACGTATACAGACAAAGCAGTACTGTACAGTGGAGGAGGGATACCGAACGATGTACATTGTAGAATACAGAACAGTCAAGCGCTGCGAGTGCGGAACAATCAGGTCCAAAGAGGATACAGTCAAGACGGGGACACTTCAGGATTGAGGTATTTGTTCCAAGGATAGTCCGAGTGAGGGCGCTATCGCTCTGGCACCAGAAACCCGCCAGAACAGCGAAGGAGAGACTGACAAAAACGAGAATGAGACAACAGAATGAGCATCCAACTTCAGGTAGAATGTCAATTAAGCTTTTCCAGGATCCCCTTTAGCATCTTCTGCTTTGAGGCCGAGCTGGTGTCTTTGTCCAGCTCTTTACTCTTCTTTTCTAGTTGAGCTATGGCGAATTCCACCTCGGCGGGAAGAGCTTCCAGAGCAGCCTTTGCGCGGTCAGCTTTCAATCGCGAAACAAGTGGTCAAGTGGTCAGATTGACATTATCTCCTGCGGAGCGACAGGAGAAAAGGAATAGTCACCGCATTTATCGGCATCCTGTTGCAGGGCGCACCACAGCCCTTCGCGACGCGCATATGCTTGCTGCAGTTGACTGAGAAGGTGTTTCATATTGCTCTTTGGCGAATGGATTGAATAAGGCCGCTATTGGACAGGAATGATGTTCAACGTACTTGACAGTCCATATATGCTATCTTCAGGTCGTCTTCGTCGCGGAGCGCCATGGTTTCCACCTTCTTGCAGGCCTCATCAAACGTGAGTATGCCAGCGCCGAAGGCAAGATCAACTGCCCGCCAGAGAACACAAGATGCTGTGAACATTCACTTCACTGTGTGACGAGTCACTAGCTCACCCTTGTCCTCGATGACTCCATGCACCTTCTTCACGCGGGACATTACCGGAATAATGGTCTCCCCAAGATATTGCTTCATAGCGTCTCTCTGTGAGGACATGGGAGCTTTGAGCTTGTTCGCTAGCGCCACAAGGTCCTCTTGTTCATCATTATCGGAATGTGTGCTGGAAAGGCGTGGTTTCCTCATGCAATGCGGCATCTGAAGATGTAGCCGTACCTTTCCTCCAGCATGGCCATCAGAGTCGTCTCGTCGTCCCAATCCATGATGTCCTCGTCCTCGTCATCAATATTCCGACGCGCTCCTCGATCATCATCGCGTGCCAATGCATCTAGTGCGCGATAGGGATCGTATTGATGGTCATGACCCGGTTCCTCCTCCTCTTCTTCCAACGGCACCTCAGCGATGCTAGAGAGCTGACTCCGTGTCTTCAGGAACCGATTAGTATTGGCGCCCTGCAACTTCAGCCTGGCATTCCTTGCAACAGGATAGACAGCGGCAAGAGGCGACCTCTGCTGCGTTGTCTTGACTGCGAGTGCTGGTGAGATTGTGTTCGGGATACACAGGAAAAACGATGCGTACCGTAGCGCGCCGTCGCGGCCTTTGGGACCCTGGTCAAATGAGGCGAGAGCTTCTGAACGAGACGGGTCTGCTGGCGGCCCATGATGGCGACGGTGCAAATACCGTTGTCGCGGTCGGCAGAAGAGACGCAGTGCACGTGGCTGCTGGAATAGGCAGAGAAAGGGATTCAGGCTCCGCGCCAGCGACCTGATACTGAGCCTTCACCTCCGTTCACGATAGACTGCCGCTCCTTTGCGCTCTTTCCTTCCCTCTTTCTGGAGTTTCGCCTTGCAGTCTTTCGGAGTAACGCGCCTTGCCCGCCCCGCCTGCCCTTTCAAGAGCACAGCCGGGTCAGGTTACATTGTGCTGTCTCTTCCCTCGGTTTCCCTTCAGCGTCCGCTTTCTTCGCCCGACCGTTCCGACGCTTCGTGAATCATGAGCAGCCGTCAGACAAAGGTGTCTACGTCCGAGCTCAAGCTCCGTAGGCTCGCAGAGCACAATCAGCGATTGAAGGAGGACCTTGCGAGACCTCGTATACGGGTAAGCGAAGCCAGTGTCAGGTGCATAACACATGCTGTTATCGGTGGTGCCTATTTGACATCCCCTTTGTTCTAATTCAGCTTGATTCGTTATTGCAAAACGACGAAGGATTACCTTGTGAGTGCTGCATCACGTCATCTATGATGGTGCGAAACTGGTACGACTACCGTGTTGGTCAACACGGCTTACTCGGAGCAAATCGCGAGATAAGGTATGCGGGACGCTGCCCGCGCATGATCTCGCGCTATTGTCTCATCTACTTCCTGCGGAGAACGACAGAATGCAGGACATCTCCAAACTTGATGGCTACCGTGCTATAAGCGCCCCTGCTTTGGGCTCCGTTACGCAGTTGCGCTTCGCTCGTCCTTCATCGCCCGGAACGCCACTATTCCTCGTCATGACTTTATTCATGCCTTCGACCTTTGCTTACCGCTGCGAATGCGTTTGTAGGTGCCATCGGTGTGGGGACCTGTCAGCAAGGCTGAGGATCCATTTGGCGAACCACAATCGGGATCCGGGTGTTGTCTTGTCATGTAGGACACACTCGCCCACGGTTCGTCATCCATCCCGCTATGTGTATCGAGAGACGAAGTCTCTTGCAGATGAAACAAAAGCTGAGGAGCCCCAGCAACAGACTATCTAATCAGTCTCTCCCGCCGCGTATGCCCTCGCGCTCCTTGATGCGTTCTCCTCCCCGCGACATAGCCCTAGATCCTCTCGCCTGTCCCGCGCGTCATCCCGGACACATTCCTTCTTCCGCCTTTGCATCTACACATTCCGACATACTGGCATTCGCACGATAATTCTTACATATTATGGAACTCTTTATGCGCCTGGTCACCTCCCGACAAGTTCGCTTTTGCTGCTTTGCACCCGTTTTCGTACTTTCATTTTGTGTACACATACGTCTTGGCTAATGGAGATTGGTGGATCCGATACATCGTGTTTATGGCGACACATGCCTCTTCTCTCTGCTGCAAATTCCATGTTTTGTGTTCTATGTTGACGAGTGTGCTGGCCTGAGGTCGCGTAGTATCGTCGATTGCAGTAACGCCGGGACACGTGAGCTTGAATATACATCAGCAACGCCGATAACTAAATCGGGAGACAGCCGACCTGTGCACTGACTGCCCGCAAGCCTGGGGTTGCTTCTGCCATCATCCCGCATTGCGAGCTTACTTTCTCCTCGCTCTCCCCGCCATCATCGGCGTTGCTCGCTGCTATTTATCGTTTCCCGCCCCTGGTGCCTCCGCCTTTTGCTCGCAACCGGTCGGCATCTCGTCTCGGCTCACTTCTCCAGCGCTTTCTCCGCTCTCGTGTCTGGACCATACATTTGACTTGCTCGTGAGCCGTGCCTGGCGCATCGCGCCGCTTTCGTCTTCGTGAACATAGTCACTCATTGCCTGTCGCTCTTTTCCCTCAGTGCTGACAACTCAGCACCTCGAAATCTAACCCGCTCGTCTCGTCTTCTCCTCTCTCACATCCCTCGCACCACATCATAATGATGAACGGGCGTCCACACAAGCAGTCAATGTCGGAATTGAAGCTCCGTCGTCTGACGGAGCATAATCAGCGACTAAGGGAGGATCTTGCAAGGCCACGGATAAGAGTGAGTGAGGCTAGTGCAAGGTACGTGATTGCTGCGATATATGCGCTTGGATCGGCTCGCTGACCGTCTATGCCTTTCTGCCAATCGTTTGTTCACATACCATTGCTGTCGTAGCCTGATCCGATATTGCAAAACAACGAAGGATCCTCTCGTGCGTACCCTTCCCTTCTGCGCCTATCTCGATGTGCCGGCGGGTTTCGGTGGCCCACCCATCCGTCTGCTTGCCTTGCAAAGTTGACAGGCTACTCACCCTCTTATGACACAGGTTCCATCGGTATGGGGACCAGTAGCGAAGAATGAGGACCCGTATGCACAGCAAGGAACAGGAGGGGGTAAATGTTGCGTTGTCCAGTGACCGTGTTCCTTCATCGCATTGCATTTTCGCTACCCTTTTGCTGTTGTTACATATATACCGCCGCTCTTTTTATTACTGCCAGCCAGGTGTCGAGTTTCCGTCTCTATTCTCATAACATTATGATAACATGCTCTGCCCACGTCTTTCTGGCTATATGCCGGTGCGCACTTCCTATGCGCCCTCGTTGGAAGTTTGCAATCGCAATGATGTAAACTCCTGTTTCTTGTTGCCGTTTTTCCTTACATACAAGGTCCGTGAGGGGGCCGCGATTGTACTGTAGAACAAGGTCAACTCGCATCTCTCGGAACGTCTAGCAGACCACGCGGCAGTCTCCCAACCCCCTTCCGGACGTGTGAAGTTCGCATAGGAGTCTGTCACATCCATTCACTTAAGCGTTTTCGCTGCGTGCACCGAAAATTAACGGAACGGACAACCCGAACGTCATGAGAGGGCTGTAGCGGTAATGAACACCACGTGTGTAGCCACAATTGTGTTCCTGGGCGTTCCTGGTTGGGTCAAAGCAGCTGGTCCTCGTCATCATAGCTCTCCTTGACAAGCCTGGAGACGAGCCGCCATCAGCATCAATAGTGATATAGTGATATCCAGGGCGGACCTGTAGACCGACGTAGGCGGGTGATCACCGCTAAGCAATGTCGGTTAGCTCCGAAGACAAGGCGTGGGACCAGGACTCACTCGTTGGTGATGTAGACATCGACAAGGTCCGGGCTGACATAGTCGTAGTATGGGTTGATAACATCGACCTTCTCCACAAGGCTGCCCTCCTCAAATCCGAGAACGCTGCTCGGATCTGCAAAATCGAGTGCGCCGTACTCATGGTAAAGGTTCCAAAGCGGGGTCAACTTGAACTGCCCGGCGCATACAACCACTGGCGTGCTGTGTGCGCGCGCGGCTGTTGTCGCTAGTAGGGAGCCGGTGATGGCGAACATGCCGCCGTTGGCCAGGATGGCGTGTGCGCCGAGGATGACCTTGTTCACACGCGACATGATGGCGTAAATCGAGGAATCAGGGACCAGAAAGGTCGAGATGCCTGCGGATGATAGAGAACGCGCCATTTCGTGGCCGTCGTAGCTGCAGACAGAAGCTCATGAGATTACTGAGGCATTGTGATGTCGCCGCATACTCACGATGGGCCCGTCTCTGCGACAATGACGGTGTAATTCCGATAGTGACCGGCAAGCTTGAGAAATGCCTCGACGGTTTTGGAATGTCCTATCGTCAAGATGATCTCGCTGTGAGGTCTTGCAATCAGTACATGGGCGGCTAAGAGGAGGGCATCACGCACTCTGAATGGATGTGGTCCTTCGCCGTTTTGGAGACATTGTCATAGACTGTTTCGAGTTCATCAAGGACATCCTGGATGGCCTCCATCAATACTGGCTTGATGCTTCGCGCGAAAGAGTCTGGGTCATCGGGATCATCCTCTTTCAGGGTGATTGTGCCGTCTGACTTGGTCGCGACGTTCTGTTTCCGGGGTTGTCCTTGCAGAACGAACTTTGATATTGAGAAGACGTTGTTTGAGGGGGCTGATGAGCCGGCCTTGGTCGCTGAATTGTACTCCTCGCGAATGTTGTGCAACACTTTCCGTACGATGTTTCCAACAGTATGTTCTAACATGGATTGACATTAGATCTTGTTCGACAAGTACGCACATGAAGTGATAGTGAACACCTTTCGGCTGCGCTTCCGCTAGTCGTCTTCCTACATCCCGAATGAGTCCCACCAACTGATCGATGTTCGAGAATCGTGCTTTCGATACTACTTGTCGTAGCACGAGTACCGTCTCAAGGGCAGCTGTCCGCGAGCCTATTACTTGCCGTCTTCTTAGTTTCGCAGCGAGTATTTCTACAGAGCGGTAGTTTGCTGCGTTAGATGATTCAGGAGCCATGTCGAACTTGGGACTTGACGCGTTACTGTGTCGGTAGCTGGAAGGATACAAAGCAGGGCGCCATGAGGAGTCATACCAAAAGTATATCAATAATGATCGCGTCTGACAACTTGTACCCTTTTCGCTTTCTTTGCAAATGATTGGTTGATAGATCTCTCGTATAATTATTTCTGATTTTCTGTGAATTTTCTGCTCTGGGGGTTGCGCGGCGGCGAGGGACGCGGTCGAGTGGCGTCCATCTGTCACGTGCCAAACAGATTGGAATCTGGCCTTTGCTGAAAAGGATTCGTTAACCAGTACGCACACTCTCTCGATTGCAGTGTATCGCCATGGCATCACTGCTGAAGGAACATAAGATCAAGACCTCCAAGACAGATGGAAGGGGGAAGGGCAAACGCAAAGCTGAGGACCTGGAAGAGGAGGAGGCTCAAGCTCCTGCACCGAAGAGGATCAAAAACAAGCAACGGGTACTGCTGCTATCCTCCCGAGGCATCACACATCGTATGAGACACCTAATGAACGACCTAGAGACGCTTCTGCCGCATGTCAAAAAGGGTGAGTTGTAGACGACATCACATTACGCCTATTATCTAAGACCTTGCGCTGCTGTAGATGCGAAGCTGGATTCGAAAAACCACCTCCACTTGCTGCCAGAGTTGGCTGACCTGAACAACTGTAACAATACATTATACTTCGAGGCACGCCGACACGAAGACTTGTATCTATGGGCTGCCAAAACACCGAACGGTCCAAGCATAAAGCTGCATGTCCAGAATATGCACACGATGGACGAGTTGAAGATGACCGGGAACTGTCTGAAGGGAAGTAGGGGTGTTCTCAGCTTCGACAAGGCGTTTGATGACAGCGAGTGGGGCCGACTAACGAAGGAGGTGTTCACGCATGTGAGTAACGGCATCTTCGAGCATGAGCACTTCGTGACGCTCGCTATGAGTAGATTTTTGGAGTCCCATCACAAGCACGCAGAGCAAAGCCGTTTATAGATCACATCCTCACGTTCTCTATCCTGGATAACAAGATCTGGTTCCGTAACTTCCAGGTAGGATCGTTGTCTTGTCCTCGCAGGATTGAGCTAATGAGTATCTAGATCATTGAAAAGGACCCTTTGCAACCAAACGGACCACCTCAAACGTCCCTCGTCGAGATTGGTCCTCGGTTCGTGTTGACGCCCATCCGAATATTCGAAGGTGCCTTCGGGGGGACTACGGTCTATTCCAACCCTGGTGGGCACAATTCTATGAAACGGCGTCGTTCTCACACTAACGCTCTCGCAGAATTTGTATCACCCGGCGCTGTGCGTTCCGCCCTCAAGAGAACGAAGGGAGACAGATACGGCAAACGGAAGCATGCTGAGCAGGAGAGGAGCGGCAGAAAGGAGGGCCGTAAGAGAGAAGAGGATGAATTGGCCGTCTCGAAGGTTTTCGCATAGCTGCGCGTCCATCTCCTCATCACTGTTGGTCTGCATTGCTGCATATGCCGGCAGCGCGCTATGGTTCTCTTGCCTGCCATCTTCGTATGTGCGTGAGGTTTGAGAGGCCTTGGAGGACAGAGAATGATGTATGCCGGCACAGTGACGGGTAAGCTCACACGACAGTCGGGGTATGGCCCACACGGAGCGCCCGTCGGCGTGTCGGCCACGTGCTCACGCGTAGTTGAACGCGTTCCTTCGCGCGCACCTCTCGGTCTTTCTCTGCCGCAGTCCCGTGTGGCTCGCCTTAATTATTCAAAACGATGTCCGATGTATCTGACGACGAGCTCGGTATGTAGCATTGATCTGTATATTGACGTCGAGATCCTTGTGTACGAAGACCGTTCAATCCTTAGCTAGTTATGATGCTACCACACCGGCCAGGCCGCCGGCCTCTGCTACGAAGGAAGTAAATGCACGAGCTAGCCGCATTGCTGCTGTAGGAACTGCTGGCACATCGTCTAAACCTCTCAATATGGCCAAGAAGACTGCGCCAAAGCGCCCTGCCAAGATCATCGTTGAGCATGAAGAGATCATCATTGAATCTTCATCGTCTGAACATGAACACGGCATAGAAACAACTCAAGAGGGATCTATCGTTGATATGGCCGGCTCATCCAAGACAGCACCAAGGAAAGCACCAGGCCGTGCAGGCGCCGCAGCTAGCGGCAAGGCGAAATCGGCGGTAGCGAAGGGCAAGGCCAGGGCGGTGGAGCATGAAGAGATGGACGTGGATGAGGTGCTGCTGGTCGATGACGATCGGCCGAGTCGTACAAAGCCTATTCCAAAGGTCTCAAAGGCCAATGCTGTGTCGATAGCTCGTCTAACGAGGGAGAAAGAGAGCCTCTCACGCGAAGTAGACAGACTGCGTAAGAATGTGGACAGTGTGAGATGATCTCTTCCATTGTTGGTAACAACACTGACCATCCTTGAGCAGCTCAACGCTCAAGTGAGCAAGTATGAAGAACAGCTAGAAGAACTGTTCCACATTCGCGAGACGGAAGCAGAGCAAAACCTCAGAGAGCAAGCGGAACAGTATGAAGCAAAAATCCAGAGTGAGCATCATATGCGTTCCGTGACGGTGTCGCTGACTCTCGTTGCAGCCCAGGAGGCGCTGATCAAGGAGTTGACTTCTCAGCTGACAAAAACAAAGGCCCTGGGAGCGTCTGCAAAGGCATCCGTCGTACAGTTCTTGACGCGCGAAGCAGCTGATGAGGAGAAGCTCGCCGTGGAGCGGGAGGTTGAACGTTGTAGGGACATCATCAAAAACAGAGATCAGCAGTTAGCGGAGAAGGACAAACGAATACAGGACCTCGAGGTTCAAGGTATGTCTAGATTGTCGCGCATGCACTGTGGCAATGTCATGAATGTCGTCTTATAGAGACGATCCTACGATCTGACCTGGCGGCTGAGATTGAGAGAGGCAATCACCTTTCCAAAAACCCGCCTCCTCCCTCTGCGCGTACTCATACGAAACCTCCGGACGATCCGAAGAATGCTCTCGTCATCCGGCTGTACGAGGACATGACCAATTGTCTCATAGTGTCCGCCAAAGTGGGAAAAAGTGCATATTTCAATCTGGACGAACCTGTCTTTAGTTGCGTTTACACACATCGAGACCCTGACTCAGATGTAACCGCGGCCAGTACGTCACGCTCCCTAGATGTGCGACTTTCTGGCGCGCTTACTGTCTCACACCTCTGTAGGCGTGAACTTCAGTTTACGAGAGATATGGGAGAAGCCCGAGGGCTCCGATCCAGATAGCCCAGTCAAATCCAAAGATGATCTGGTCATGAGAATGAAGTATCAGCCATATAATCTTGAAAACGAGCCTGAGGAATTCGTGAAGGCTCTCAAATTTTTAGGCCATGCGTTCATCTTTGCTCGTGACCAGCTTCCAATATTCCTGAAATCGTTGACCGAGAATGTGGACAATGCCGTGCGAGGCGCAGTGGAAGAGGACATGAGTGAAGGAGAAGAGGTGGTCGGCATGGAAGAGGTGGTTCAAAATGAGGTTGTAATTGTCGAATGACGGCCAATGTTATGACTAATGTCAAGTGTACCTGTTATACCAACTCTGGAATACATCCATCCAATGCACAGCCTATTACGATACCTCTACCGGAAGCTCTTATGGTAGCGATCAAATCTAGTTGTCCATGCCTGCGCCCGCCATAGCCCAGATACGCAATGCGTGTTCGTCTCTGGATACCGTCGCTTTCTTCATCGCCAGATCAGTAAATCCACCTTCAACGTCCGCACCACCTAGCATCGCGCCGGCCTTCACTAAGGTGTCCACAACGCCTTCGTGTCCTTGTCGGGCAGCATAGTACAGCGGAGTGTGCCCGAGGGCATCTCGGAGGTGCACTAGTGCACCAGCTACCAACAATGCATTGACAGCGTCTACACATCCATTGAGTGCCGCAGAATGGAGCGGCGAGCGACCGGAAGATGGTTCGATGCAGTTTGTGAGACCGCCACCAATCGCGATGTTTCGCCTTGGCTGGAACTCGGAGGTTGGACTGGAGGAATGATCTGTGCTGAGGTCCTGCTCAGCGGCTAGACAGAATTTGAGAGCTTCGATATCGTTCCGCGCGGCAGCGAGATGGACGAGGTATGGAAAGAGAGCGCCTTCCGCTGAGGCGGCCTCTGACGCTGTCCAGGACCAGGGCGCGGCTGCTTCAGCCATGTTTTTGGCGCTTTCATCATCTGTTGACGGCGTCACCGTAAATTTTGGCACAATGGGTCGAGCAGACGAGAGCCGGATGACTTGAGACAGAACCCCATGAATGCTTTCGAGATTTTGATCGATTCCCTTGGGTTCGCTGATGGACGGTGGAAGCGTACTTGCCGGTCTCGTGAGCTCTCCGCGAAGCGGCGTTCCGATAAGCGAACGCACTTCGCCTATGGATAGTTCCGGCTTCGCGAGGAGATAGCTCAGTTTCGTCAGAGCGCACTGTTGATTTGCCGCATCACGCGTTAGCTGCAATCGAGCTCACACAATAAATCGGAGAGCTGACCTCGGGAGTCATATCCCCACCCGGGATGACTCCGGCCGTCAATAGCTTCCTCCCGGTCTCATATGCGTCCGAAACAGAGCCTTTTGCGCACTGAGAAATTGAGACGATCACGACACCCCTATCGCAGGCCTCTTTCAGTTCTCCGATCAGATCGGCGCGCTGTGGTGCATTGCCTGCGCCGAATGTCTCGAGTACAACACCGCGGGTAGGTGGAGCGAGGAATGCCCGGACTGTGGTAGCTGTAATGCCAGGGAAGAGACGTAAGGTGGCTTGAAAAATTATGCATGAGCGAATGACGCATGTATGGGACCGCGAACGACTCACCCACGTGCGGGCTCATGTCTAAGGCAGGAGAAATGAATCATTCAGTCGCCACATAGTACAATAATATCACTCACGTTTGTGGGATCTGAATCGCCTCAGACTTGTTTGTCGGATCACATCGTTCCAATTGACAATAATGTCAATGCCCACTTTATCATAGATAAGTCAGATACAAGAGTAGGACAGTGTAAACAGACCATTCACGAGTGGGGGAAAGTTTGGGCTCGCAAAGGCGTTGAAGTCATACGACGAGACCTTGGAGACCCTGTTACCGCGGTAAAGAGTATGATTGAAGAACAAACAGCACTCTGCGAGTAAGCGGGTCTCAGTCAGTGTATTCTTATGAAAGCTGAATGAATGAACCTGGTATTATATAATGACCCGCAACCACTAGAGCTCCTAACAGATTATCAACGGCGTCATTTCGTAGCTGGGACATAGGTATCTGGGCACCAGTCACGATCTGAAGACGATACCATTAGGACGATGATAATAATGCGAGATCCAGCGGAGTCATACTAACCACTGTCTTTCCCAAATCCTCCAATAGAAAGCTCAGTGCGGAGGAAGTGTACGACATAGTGTCTGTTCCGTGCAGGATCACAAAAGCGTCAAAGTTGGCATAGTTGAGCTCTATCTCTGTTGCAATCCTAATCCAGTCTGTGCTACCATACGCCCCACAGAAATAATTGGTCAGGATGACTCGACAGATAAATGTGTAAATTACCTTGGATCTCGATGTTACTGCTGTCCAGGAGTGGATCCCACTATGAAAGATATCGTTCTTAGGCAAAATTCGCGCATATAAGAAGCTTAAGCACTCACTTCAAGTACCGCATATCGGATGCGTTTCCGCATGCCCCCAGGAGCCGTGCTCCGAGGTGTGATCAGGCTGGGTAGTTGCGCTTCATGTAGATCATCAGTGACTTTGACACATGTGGGCTGTCTTCCGTCGATAACAGGAGAAAGCTGTGCGGCGACGTGAGACATGCCTATAGGCCGGGAAGATCGCACGAGAAATGTGGGCAGAGAATGCTGGGGCTGTGGAACGGGGTCTGGGGAGGCAGCTCGACTTGCGCCCGGTTTCGGGATGGGACTTGCTTTCCCGCTATGGCTGCTCCATTCCCTGTATCCCTCGACTGAGGCAGAATGAGAGAACAAGGAATCTTCGAGCGGGTCGTGGAATCGGTTTTGAGTACGAAGGGTTTCGGTGAGGAAGTACGGCTCGGGTACATAGCCATGCTGGCTGAGGATCATGTTGATCGTACCGCCTGTGTTCAGAATGAGAACCTTTGATTCGTCCGATGGTTGGGCGAGGTCCATGGTGTTGAATTCTCGTGGATGCGCCCGAGCCTCAACTTGGCTTGAGCGCCTACACGTTGTTATTGAATCAAGTTTCAGCGCTCAGCGCTCAGCCCTGCTCGGCCACGGACTGGAGTCGAGATCCGATCGGGAGATAAGATGAGATGCTCCAAGTTTCGTGATTGATAATTCAGAGTTCCCTTGACTCGAGCTGCTCCATAAAACCTGGGTGGTCTCACCGACATTTTGCACTTCCCTAACCCCCCTCCGTTCTTTTGCGTAATATGGAAGCTCTGAAGAAAGTATTTGAGAAGAAGAATGCCAATGTGAGAGTGCACCATTCAACAGGTTTCGCGAAACAGGCTAACTTTCTGCAGAGCAGTCCTGCCCTGGTCACCTTCGTGACAGCAGGCTACCCGACTGCAGATGACACTGTGCCTATATTGCTTGCGATGCAGGAAGGAGGAGCAGACATCATAGAACTCGGCGTGCCCTTCTCCGATCCCATGGCGGACGGACCTGCTATCCAAGAAACGAACCTTGTGAGCATTTCTTCCAAGCTGCGCTCGCTGATGGTTATTTCAACTTGACAGGTCGCTCTTCAAAACAACGTCGAGTACGCTCAATGTCTTGGAATTGTGAGGCAGGCTCGCAGGAAGGGTCTCACAGTCCCAGTTTTGCTAATGGGTACGTCACGCTCGTCAATATCTCTGCACATTGACGTTCCAGCTCATCAGGCGCCCTTGCACAGGTTATTACAATCCCCTTCTTGCATATGGAGAGGAGAAAGCAATCCAAGACGCAAGCGAAGCAGGTGCCAATGGCTTCATTGTAGTCGATCTTCCGCCAGAGGAAGCTGTAGGATTCCGGGAAAAGTGCACAAAGGCAAAGTACGTTAGTTTTAGAGTCCACGCATTTCAATGTATCTTACGGTCTTCCATCAGCGTCTCATACATTCCCCTTATCGCACCCTCGACCACCGACCATCGAATCGAGTTCCTTTCTTCTATTGCAGATACCTTCCTCTACGTCGTGTCCAAGGTAAACAAAATGCTGTTATATCTTGGTCGCGTGCTCACACATGTACACACAGATGGGCACTACAGGATCCTCCGTATCCGGCACGGTGAATAGCGCCCTTCCTGACCTCATTTCTCGAGTACGAAGCCACACAAATGTTCCCCTCGCAGTAGGATTCGGCGTTGCGACGCGACAGCACTTCGATCTTGTAGCTGATGCTGGTGCAGACGGCGTTGTGGTCGGCAGCAGGATAGTGTCAGTCATAAAGAACGCGCCTGCGGGAGAGATCGCAAAGAGTGTCGAGGCCTACTGCCGCGAGATCAGCTTGAAGGGTCAGCCCCCGAAGCAACCGCACCTCCACAAATCGCACAGCTCTGCTTCCAACGCGAGCAAGGCCGATAGCGAGGCTACGCACGAGGAACCCCTTCCGCCGCGCTTTGGACAGTATGGTGGACAATACGTTCCGGAGGCGCTCTGGGACTGTCTGGTGGAGCTAGAACAGGCGCACGAGGCGGCGATTAAGGACCCCGAGTTCTGGAAGGAGTTTGAGAGTTATTATGGGTACATGAACCGTCCATCGAACCTCTACAAGGCAGAGCAGCTCACTCAGCATGCCGGTGGTGCGACGATCTGGCTCAAGCGGGAGGATTTGTGAGTTTCAGAGTTGTACATAGCAGTCCACATTGCTGATGCTTCACAGAAATCATACAGGGTCCCATAAGATCAACAACGCCATCGGTCAGGTAAGCAAATTGCGATGTCAATGCGGGTAGACAAGTTAAGTCCTTGCAGATCCTGCTCGCTCGCCGCCTGGGCAAAAAGCGAATCATTGCAGAGACCGGAGCAGGACAACACGGTGTCGCCACAGCCACCGTTTGTGCCCGCTTCGGTATGGAATGCGTGATATATATGGGCGCGGAGGACGTACGGCGTCAAGCTCTCAACGTCTTCCGGATTAGGATGCTCGGGGCCAAGGTATGCAAGGCTCACTCTCGTCCTTCCACCCTGCTTACGCGCTGTCCACAGGTTATTCCTGTTCATTCCGGCTCCTGCACACTCAAGGATGCAGTGAACGAAGCGCTGCGCGACTGGGTGACAAACCTTTCCGTGACGCACTATCTCATCGGCTCTGCGATTGGGCCGCATCCGTTCCCGACAATCGTGCGCGACTTCCAGCGCGTCATTGGTAAGGAAATCAAGGCGCAACTGAGTGCGGAGATCGGCAAGCTGCCCGATGCTGTCGTAGCGTGTGTCGGAGGGGGCAGCAACGCCATCGGCGCATTCTACGACTTCATCCCGGAGAAGAGCGTGCGACTGATTGGTGTGGAAGCAGGAGGCGAGGGTAAGCGTTCTCTCTTGTCCCGACCCGAGCACACTTCTGATATGGTTCCTATCAGGCCTGGAAACAGGCCACCACTCTGCTACCTTGAGCATGGGCCATGCTGGCGTTTTTCACGGTGTGAAGACATATGTTTTACAGTCGCCCACTGGCCAGATCATCGAGACGCACTCGATCAGCGCTGGGCTCGACTACCCAGGAGTGGGCCCCGAGCACGCCTGGCTGAAGGATTCAGGTCGAGCGGAATACGTGGTAGCTACCGATGAGCAGGCGCTCAGAGGCTTCCGAATGTGCACTCAGCTAGAGGGCATCATTCCCGGTATGTCGTAGCGACATTGTAATTGTCACGACTGAGCGATCTAACACTTTGTAGCATTGGAGTCATCTCATGCCGTTTGGGAGGGTCTCCGCTTAGCAAAGACCTTGCCAAAGGAAGCCGATATTGTCATCGTACGTAGCTCCGTTCACATGAGGCTCGTTTGCTTGATACTGATAGATATGCTCTCAGTGTCTCTCCGGACGAGGAGACAAGGATGTGGAGCAGATCTCCCAGCTTCTCCCTGGCAAATGGGAGGATATCCTCGACTGGCACATCAGTTCCGATGTGTAGTGATGGTAAAATGTAACATAATATATCCTGGAGCAATCTACTCGCGCCTATATGACGGTTCACTTTGATGAGCGCCCAGGAATGGGCCCGAAGCCTTTCATCGGCCAGACGCTGTCAAGCCACTCCAGAACTTTACAACTGGTGTTAGTCACAGCGAAGATACTATGGAAAGGCATGTCACCAAACAGTGGCGTGATATTCACGCACAGCCAATGGTATACTAGTACCCAGAGTTCACAGTCGTGCGTCCAACCACCTGATGCTCGTGAGGCGCTCCGCCCGCGGATCGATAATATCGTGACTGCCGCTCGCATACACACGAACAGGTTATACCCAATGGATAATAAACAACTCTTCGCAATACGTGGGACATGCAGGGGATGGCCATTCATGATCAACATACATTCGTATGTGAGCAGCATGTAAATGATATGAGGTGTGAACCCACTGATGTGGTTCCATCTAAGTTGAGTGGCATCTAGCCGCCAGTTTACGAGACTGCGAAAATGTATTGAAAAAAACAGCCTGGCGATGTGTGAAATAAAGCCCGACGACGCCGGCTTGGCCTGTTCGGCTTTTAAGTTCCCGAGACAGCTCGAGCTTTTCAAGCGACCTGTATGTAAGACAGTTTATAACGCGTCTTCCAATTGCCTTCGGCTTGCGTGATGATGCTTGTTCTTCAATCCGATCACACGGATATTTGGCGTTGGTCAAAACGCTGGCAAGGGATAACGCATATGTGACACGAGTTCATCCGATAGACAGACAGACGCGGCCACAGAATCTGATGGACATCAAGAGATACTGATTTGGATGCATGCCATATTTTGTGTACCACTGGTTGATGGGACACTCGGAGGAAGGAGGCATGATGACCAGACATTAGCAATACTTCACACTAAACCGTGACCGTCTTGTGTGGTTGCGAATCTCGCCGATGGTTGGCAGCTGTGCATGTCAAAGGGCCCTTGTCTCAAAAATGTTTTATGCTGTTGCAACGCATTTTCTGGGATCAATGCGTGAGTAAGCTTTGTAAATCGATCATGCCTTAACTCGATCCATGATCTTAGTACTTTACATTATACTGGGATTCTTACACCGCAAGCTCGCATCGATGACCCGGAAAAACATGCTCGGTAGCACAGCTCCCAATCGCTAGAGCGGAGGTACTAAACTCCAATACGTTTACCGGTATGGTTGATACTCATACCTGTCCGAATATATCAGCAGAACTCAGGATTATTATGCACAGCGAGACGTACGACTCCTCAAGATACTTGAGTTCCTCCGAAGTCAACGTCTTACCCGTGATGATGCACTGTTCAACTCGTTCTCCCTGAAACAGAAGAGACATTCATTTTTCTGCGGGAGGACTGATCAGAGTAGGGCATACGGTGTTGGCTCCAACAATGGGACTGGAGATCTTCGTGACAGACCAGGCGAGGGCTACCTGACTCATAGTCCACGAATGCTTCGCAGCCAACTCTTGGACACGCTTGATGATCTCGAGATCGCATGGCCTACGCTTCTTCTCGTATGGGGTCCCGTTGATCATCTTCGTGCGCGTCGTCTCAGTGCCAATGGGACGGGCGAGATGTCCGTCCATCAACGGTGAAAACCCGATAACGCCGATCCCTTTGAGCTTGCAATACTGGATTACCTCGAGCTCCTACTCAGACAGGCACAGCGAAAGGGGAGAGAGTTCAGCACTCTATAAGCAGTGAATGCAAAATCCCTGACCTCCGGACGGTAGAGGAGCGAATGCTCGACCTGCATGCTGCTGAATGTCGTCCATCCGTTGCGTTCCGCAACGCTGTTCATCTCGGCAAACTGCCAAAGGCGCAGTCGACAAGCACCGATGTACCGCACTTTACCCGATACCACGAGGTCATGCAGCGCTTTCATCGTCTCCTCGAGAGGGATCTCAGGGTCAAAGTCGTGAATCTGGAGGAGATCGATGTAGCTTGTGTTCAGTCTCTGCAGGGAGGCATCAACTTGATTCATGATTGCCGTGCGAGACAACCCGCCCAGATTGACGTAGTCGCGGGTGTTTGGCAAGTGAGGCATGGCAAACGTGAACATAGACGCCTCACTGCCAACCAGGAACTTGATCTTCGTCAGGATGACCATGTTCTCTCTCGGGATGTTATTCTGCCCAGCGGCTCAGCACGGAGTAGACAGTTGATCATTGAACGATCTTACCTGTTGGATGAATTTCGCGATCATTTTTTCCGACTCGCCATTCGAGTACACATTCGCAGTATCAATTGTGTTGATACCGCAATCCCAGGCAGCCTTGAGCAGCGGAAGGCCCTGGACAGCAGGTTAATCGCTATCGTGATATGCAGAGCGAGTCAGAGGACCTTATCTTCGTCGATCACCCAAGGCTAGACAGAGAAATCGCGTGAATATATGTCCATTGTCGTCCAAAATCACACGTACGAGCCACTGAGAGCTGCCGAAGGCCATACCGCCCAGCTATCAAGAGTGGCGGCTCAAAAACTAAGGTCGCAATTGACGACCATGGACAGCACGCACGATTGGAACAGACACGCGGAGACCAGACCTTCCGAGTTGACGGTATTCGACTTGAGGAGCCATTGTATGGACAAGAGTGAGGCTGTCTAACGATTAGCGAATAGCACAGAAAACGGCGGAGGAGCTGACATCGGACTTCAGCTTTGATGCTCGCGGGCATTTATAGAGAAAAATGTCTCTTCTCTTGAAGATCGGGCTTCGAGGGCATAATTCTGCCGCGCTTCTACAAGATGTGATTGTTCCTGACAGAAAACATTTCTTTGATTTTCTACTGATGGAGCGGGACTACCGGTCGGCGACTTGACAGTCTGGTGCAATCAGGTTGTGCCATAGCTGCAATATATCAAAGCGACACACCTGAACACGTACGCAATAATGGATGAGTTTGTCTCTCGCAACCCAACGTGATGATGTGATGTTCGGTGGTCGTGGACGATTCCATGATGGCCACGTGGAGTTCGGATGAGGCTCAGGTGTTGATAGCGCTAGATCTGTTACGCTGCTTTACGGCGTACGACGTGATCGTGATATCTGAGCCAAATGTATTGGACCCTGAGGCCTGAGGCCTGAGGCTGAGGTCTTGGAGGCTCAACTCAAGCAGGACACTTCGGCCCCACTCGACCGCATATTCGACAGTATCCTTTGAGGCTGTGATTGTTCGTCACAGTGTAGCTTTGCATCTATCCGTCTTTACTCACCTTCCACCGCTGCAGATGCGAGCTAGGGTGGATGGGTAGCGGACCATCACACTGCGCTAGTTTTTTTGTCATCAGAGGATGCAAAAGTTGACGTTGCATCCTCGAATCCCAGACGCCACTCTCTGGATACGTCCGCGCACGTGATCGCGTACTGTGCGCGTCTAGCGACGCACGCAGGGGACGCACGAGGACGGGGCACAGACCGACGTTGCCTCCTCACTGCCACCATGAACGCCAGGTGCAGCATCTGCCTTGATACCCTGACTGAGAAGTCGTCTCCTATGACCACCGTTTGCGGCCATCTCTACTGTCTTGACTGTGCAACGTTCAACTTTGCCTCGGACAACTCCACCTGCGCGATTTGCCGCAGGCCACACACGCTCCCGGCGCTGATCAAGCTCTATCCGGACTATGAGCGGTCCAAACTTAATCGAGCGGGCCCATCGTCTGGGACTCGGAGTAAGGCGCACATTGCAAGTGCCGGCGCGGGAGTGCTCGATGCGTGCTACGATGTGATCAAGAGCGAGAAAGATGCATGCGATCCAGAAGCGCTGGAGACGGCGCTGTCCAAGTATGTGCTGCACAACTGCCACAGCTTATATTGAAACCTTCCAGGACGAATGATCTGGTTCGCGACTTCGTTGACGAAGATGACCCAGATACTCGAGTGAGGACATTACGATCGGCAAGGTCGTTCTCTCACATGAATTCATAGAATCTGCTGAGAACAATATGTACCGCGCTCTCCGAGATCCGATCCGTGCGTGTATAAGCCCAGCCATCTCCTTCACTGTTCTCTAATATTAATGAGTCAGAGACTCGATAAGACATCGGGGGTACCACAGCTGGAAGAAGAACGCGATCACTCGCAAGCGGTGGCCAGCCGACTGCGAGCTAAACTTGCTGAGGCCAATCGCGCGCGAGAGGAAGAGCGGAGGACCGCATTTGAGCGGCAGATGGAGCGGCAGACTGAGTATCTCGAGCAGCTGACCGAACTGCAGAACAGGCTGCAGGAAATAACGGGAGCGCTGGCGACAGAGCGGGCCAAGCTCGAAGTCAGCGAGGCAGCTGCTCAAAATTTGAATTCACAGCTGACGAAATGGCGCGTACACTCCAATAAATATAAGAAGAAGGTAGATACTAGTCGTTGCACATCACCTATGGATGTCATGTCCACTGCTAATGAACTGATCACAGTACCATGTTCTGAAGAAGGAACATGAGGCTGTGAAGAACGGGATTGATGATGCATTTTTTCCTAGCGATTCTCTTGAAATAATTTAACAATCTTCGCACTGCACGATACGGATACCGCTATACCAGCTACTACAGGAGCTTTCTCACATGTTTACCTACGCTGAACACAGGGCACATGTATGTACGTATTCGATTTGGCCATGACGGGCGCTGATGCTACCTGGTTATATGCACTCGTGAAGTGGGCGAAATTCGAAAAGTTCATCGACAGAAACGCGAGAAACGCTAAAAATGAGGATAGAACAGCGGAGGCACAGCACTCGTCGCTGCGCTCGTACACGAGCCCTGCAAATAATAAATACCAAGAACAAGGCAACTTACAAGCACCAGGAAGTACCATCAAAAGTACTACACGGAGCCGTTTACGAGTTCGAGCTTTGAGACTGCTGTCGCAGTTGCTTCTGCTTTTCCTGCTCCAGACGCTAAGAAGGTTCGTCAACATGGGCACAGCTGACCGCGGAAGGAATGATCGTACATGATAGAGCAATTGCACAGCCATCTGAATGTTCGCAGGCTGGCCAGTAATGACCACCAATCTCTCCCCTTCCCCGCCTGCGGGGGCGCCGTTCATGCCCACGCCCACAGCACCCGGCTCCATGATCTTGATCTGACTAGCGCTCATATGCCGGATCTCATTAATTTTGGCACCGCCCTTGCCAATGATGCATCCAACCAGGTCGTTCGGGATATAGATCTGCTGCGTCTGCAGTTGCTGCGGCGCGGCATGCGAGCCGCTGCCGTAAGGGTTGGAATAGCCCGGTACGTACGAGGAGCCCTGGTATGGCGGACGGCGGGCGTAGCTAGAGGGGCGGTAGGACGAGTTGTTGTAGGATGGCATGCGTTCGTTTGCTTCGATCAGGATGTTGCCGATATAGTACGTCGCGATATGGATGGCGTCGGCGACGCCGGAGACACTGAGCACACGCTATCGCCTATGCGTGAGAGGAGAGCGCTAAAGAAGCAAGACATAACATATACCTCTGTCGAGCCAGGCAGCATGCCCTCGCTGGCATTCAGTCTGGCTCCACTAGCATCCTGGATCTCCTTGATCTTCGTCCCACCCTTGCCGATGACTGAACCCATGCGAGAGTTGGGGATCATGAACTTGATGGTGACAGCGCGGCTTCCAGGAATGGACGGCTTGTCAAACGGCTCATCATTGATTCTCCGCACGATGAGACCGAAGGCCTACAGACCGTGAGCCGGGACCTCTGCAGAGGCCGGATGCGACCCACCTTCGATACCGCGTCGAGAGGGCCGCTGACGTTCAGAATGCGCTCTGGGTTCCCTGGTATACTCTCCGAGACCATAACTCGAGCACCGCTTTTCCCTCTGATCTCGTTGACATGCGAACCGCCCTTCCCAATGATGATCGAGGCATCCTGGGTGACGATCAAGCACCGCATATGGATGTTGGCCGGGGCAGCTGCAGAGGTCGTGGACGAGGTGCTGGGAGCCGCAGAGGTAGTCGCGGAGCCGTTTTCCTGGACATCGTCCGAGCGCTCCTTCATCTCCACGGTCGAAGGCCTGTCGGTCGGTGAAGGAGTCGACGCAGCAGTGTCGTCGACGGACACTTGAGCGTCGGTCATATTTACGTCACCAGCAACAGACGTTGTGGCCGGGGTGCCTCGTTGAGCTTGGGCTTGTGAGTCATCCGAAGACGGCGTAGCGCCTGTGTTGGCACGCTTGTACTGCTTCTGCTGTTCGTTGAGGCTGTCAGAGGGGGAGCGGGAGCGCTTGCGGTTGGTGTCGACTTCTGGCATGGTGGCAAATTCAGTGTTTTCAGCGTCCAAGACGGCTGTGTCAAGGCTTGTGGGGAAGGGACACGGGGGAGGAGGCTTGGGACGGGAGTCGAGGCGATGGGACGAGTTCTGAAGGGAGGCAGTGGGAGTGGTGAGGGGAATGTGGGGTGGGAGTAGGCATCGATATTTTGATCATGAGCTTACCTGTGGAAGTCGACGGAGGCGACGGGGATCGGTGCTTGGTCACCGCGAGGGATGATGAGCAGATATAATAGCACAATCACTGCCTCGGATTTGAGGGAGGATAGACGCTCGAGATGGCGGGACTATATATGAGACCAAACAAGCACAACCGGGGAATAGACTTCTAGCTTCGCACACGTCTTGTAAGGATACATCAAGTCGTTCGATTCCATAGCGCTGCATGGTTGTTGCAGAGCAATCTATCAAAAGAATACTCGTCTCTCTGATGTTGCGTTAAATAGGCCATACTCAAAAAAGCGGACTACGAGCCATCCATTCAAGACGACCAAACTCGGATCACATTGAGCGTGCGTGCGTTAGCATCAGCAGCGTGGATGCACCGAAGAACAGCATGGATGTCTGATTGGTACAATAAAGTCTGATTGCGACTCCGAGTGCCAGCTGTCGTCCGTGAACACCTTCCAGCAGCGCGGACGTGTCAGGCAAGCATGCGGAATACATAGCGACCACGGATCTGTGCGAACTCGTGCTGGCAACGCGAGCCGCGGGCGATGACCACCGTGAAGTCGACTTGATCCACAGGCGAAACGCTCTCAAATTACCGGCGGTACTGACAATCGTGAGCTGCCGTCCGACGACTCGTGAGGTAGTTTCGATACAAACGTTCGCTTTGAAACCACATTGCCGTCAGATTGACAAAGGACGAATTATAGTACGAACAACGTGCTAGGCCTTGATCACTCCCCTCCCGTATGCATGGTGACTGTCGACTCAGTGTATAGCTACTATAGCGGCGCGTCAGGATTCTTCCTTGGGAACCAGAAGAACGCGTAGCATCGTCGGGGCTGTTGACTAAGCACCGCATCAGGCAATTTGAAGCAAAACATGTCTTTCTTCCTGATCAAGCTCTCAAACAAAAGAACTCCTCAAGACGGGCAATCAATTCTTTTCCACGCTGCTCAGCTTGACAGTCGCTGTCATCCCGGACACGACGCATTGGGCGTCATCTCACTCTTGTTGTTCTTCGCTTAGGCTGCCGGGCTATATAACGATGTGCTTGATGGCTGGTGCCTTGTGCCCCGCTAGGTTCTTTGCCTCACAGTGATACCTTCTTTATTGCACTTCGTCATGGCTCTATCTATAGAGATTCGACCTCATTCTCATTCGCTGGACATGTTCGGCAGGCCGGATGTATCGTGAGTACTCATAACAGTTTATTCGGTTATCACGTCATACTGAACATCATACCATGCGATTACAGCACTGCGTATTCACTCTCTGGGGACGTCGCCCTATCCCTGCTCTGCCCCTACTCCATCTTCGAGCGCCGCAGATGTGCACGGCTACTCCTACAGTCGCTCGTCATCCACTTCGAGGGACAATGCGAACTTATCACCGACGAAACTGGCTACGTGCCGTATCGCGTGTACCGAGATTCGAAGGAGCTAATCGTAGGCGGACCTGTCGAGCTCAGCAACGATGGTCACGAAGACACGTGCGAGCCATGTACATGGAACGTCGCCTTTAACTTGGTCGTTCCCGGCTGGCTCCCGACGTCATGCGTCGTTGGCGACTACACAAGCGTGGACAGTGGAACAAGCTACGCTCTATATGTTACAGCGACATTCTTAGATGTCGACGAAGAAACGAGTACTTCATGGATCTCATCATGGTTTCCACCGCTCTGCTACCCGTTTCGCTCAAGGAAATGCGTTGTTCATGCAGCAAGATGTGATATCATCGTGAACCGGTATACATCGCAACCTGCACGCGAGCCATCCTCTCCAGCCCTCTCCAGCTCACATACGGTTGACTATACCGTTTACGCGGACCAAAATAGCAACGTCGATACATCCTCTGGCGTGCCCTTCGAGGTGGTCTCTAAGGTTCGCGCGTTGATATCAGTTCCCGACTACGTCGACGTGAACGATACATCGTTTCCTCTCTGCCTACGTCTTCGTACGAAGGACCTTCCGGAGCATGATTGCAAGCGCCTCAGAGTCACCGGGTTCTCGCTCGACATTGAGCAGATAGAGCAGTACCGGTAAGGTTTACTCGGAAATTTGTCTTCAGCCTGCACGAGCTGACTTCGCACTGATAGTAACACGCCATCTGCAGCCTACAAGTCATCATACCCTCTTCCACCGGCATCAGAGCAGCCGCCCCACCGACCGCTGCGGAATCCGCATCCATTTCACGCAGTCTACGAAGTTGGCCTCGGCGCCTCCCCTCCGTCGCAGAACGTCTATACGCGCACCGTCTCTCTCCTCCCCGATAACAGATCCGGTGGATACATGCTCGAAGGCGATAGATACATCTTCAAACGGGACGCAGAACCGGAATGCTCCTCGACGTGGTTCGCCATACGCACGGATGTTTCATTCTCCGGTTCCTCTCACAAACGTCCGCGAAGGCTCCAGCAGAGTGGACGCGCGCCACTGTATGCGTTCACCCATCGGTTGCAGGTCACACTGGAGTGCACGTACGACCTCAACGAAGGCGACGAGCCCGAGTGTGCCACCGAATGGCTGCGGTTCTCCATCCCTCTGCGCTTCGCGCGCGTCATGCGCAGCTGCCCGTCAGAGTGCAGAGCGTTGACGCCATCCGAGCTCTCTTTCATCTCCGGACGCTCGCCTTCGCCTTCCGTCGAGTCTCTCAGCAACTCTTCGACCTTTAACCTTGCACTTGTGTCGAGCGCGCCATATGCACAGTCACTGCCTGCATACTCTCAACTGTTTGACGAATATGGCGAGCGCAAGATCGACTATTCGGTACCTTTGCCGCTGTATACACCCAATGTCTCTCCCGGAGACGTGAAGGTTGAAGAGTCCTTCCTCCTAGGGTGACGCCCACTGTTGGGCAGCATACACCTCTTCGCATTTAGTCCTCCTCTAATACCCGCTCCAAGTTGTATCACCGGTTCCGTCCCGACTTGTAGCATTATCAGGCAACCCTCGAGTAGTCGGCTCATATCTATTCATTCCTTCCTTTTGATCTGATACAATCATGTGTACATACAAGATGTAGCTATTCCACAACAAAATCTGTATCCATACCTCTTTTGACGCCAATACCATCAGTTCATGCGAGAGGGACCTTCTGCAGCACCTCCCATTCTCGTACGGGTCCATCACACTTCACGATCCATATCGACTGGCCATCGAAGCCTTCCAACGTATCCACCGTGGAGCCTTCTCCCGGACGCTCCGAACAATCCAGCGTGACCCCACCGTCTCGTTCCAGCACCCGCCCAGCGCCCTTCAATTCGGCCGCCACCTGCGCGCGCAGCTCCGCATCCGCGCTGTCGATGTAGTACAGCGACATGTGCGCTATTGGCGGAACCGTAGATCCCCCGAGCTTCTGCCTGAGATGCGCCCGCAACGCAGCGAGCGCCCCGGTATCGCGCACGGACGCATACACCGACATGAAGTACTTATCTCCGACGTCAACAGACTTGAAGCTGACTGGAATTGAAAACTGTCCGTCCGGGACGGCTCCTCGTAGTAGCTCGGAGACGTCCGTCGACGTTGGGACTGTCGTGAGCGTGACGTGCGGTTGGAAGTCGACGAAAGAGGACGGGGATTTGGCCGGTATTCTGACTTCCATGGCTCGTTTCAGCTTTGCTGACTGGCTAGCGGTGGGGACGAGCCATAGCGAGGTACCTAGGAAAGGCTGAATTCTGGAAATGTGCGAGTTCAGTATTAAACAAACGCACCCATGGTGGTCGCGGCGACCGTGGTGGTGAGTAGCCACGTGTCTCATGCTTGATCCAGCCTAATCGGGCAAGAGTGATCGTATTCGGACCTACATGGACCCACGTCATTTACCCGGTGGCTCGACTACTAGTCCGTTTCGGTTGTGATATCAATCAGGTCTACAAAATTGCCTGCTGCTCGACCTGGCATCTTATATGATCTGATCTTCATATACGCTGCTAACCGAAATGGCGGGCAATTCCAATTCCAGATTCCAGAATGAGGATCCAGCAACGACCAAATTGTGAACCAAAATGGCTGGCTTGTATTCGTCATGGAGCGAATCCCGATGGTCTCTTCATCAGTACTCCATCTTGAACTCTACAGATAAACTGTAGCATTGATAGCCATCGAATTATCATGAGGTCAGCTTCTCATCCAAGCGTCATTGCGCGTTCGTACTAGGCTCACCTGAATGGTGCAGTCATTCTCATGGAAAGTCTACGCCATCGAAGTTGCCTCCACAACAAACCTTGAAAGGTGAAGAACCGAGAAGGTGAGCCACAGATGTCTGCTAGCTGATTAACCGCATCATTCAGCGTGCTATTCCAGAATAATAATAAACGGTGCAACCACTTTGCACAGACCTACGCATCAATACCGCACATCTAAGAGTCAAATTCTTACCAGTTGGCAAGAACGCCACCACCAGCAGAACGAACGACATATCTTTACTGCGCGCAAAGCCTTACAGCGGGCGATGAAGGCTTTGCGCTCGGCAGGCATCGCCTACCACCCACGCGAAGGCGAATGCATATTGCCACTGGATAAAGAGGAACAACGCAGAGTGCGTGCGGCGCAGCTGGCATGGAGAAAGTTCCGAGACGAGAAGCGCACTGGCCTGGGATGGGAGCGCATCCTGACCGCGGCTGCGAAGAGGTTGGAGGAACAGAGAAGAGCATGCCTACAAGCTACATTGAGAACGAGGGCGTGGCAGCGCGAGCAGTCGCCACAATCTCTCGATAAGATGGTTTGCTAGTCGACCAGGGACCTCAGTAGAGCAGCTTGCCATTTCGCATGTGGAGGATGTCGGAATCAGAAGCGTAGGCGAGATTGCATAATCATTCGAGCTGGGAGACAGTATGACAGAGCTGAGCGTATAGTACACTACTTAAGTACACACACCATAAACATACACAGCACCTCGTTCCTACACTCTATCTCTCCCACGATATTGGCTACATTATTCAAAACTTCATCACTCCAGCGTCGCGACAACGGTAGACCAACTATCGTTTTGTTTAATCGTCCTTCAGACTGATCCACGACTCGCCGACGCCTGAACCTTCGTTGCTCTCCACATCAGCTTCAGAGCCGGTTTCTGACAAATCGTGGTCGTGAATATGCTCATGGTCTGAGCCGGAGCTGGCCAGATCCTCCTCGGGAACGGCAGTATGCGTCGTCGCCTTTTCGACGACCGGCACCAGAGGAGGAGCTTCCAGGCGCAGCTCCTGGGGAGGAGGCACGGGAACGTGCGGAGGAACAGGGAGCAAGGCATTACGGATTGACATGAGGAAATACGGGAGGTTCAAAAGTGCATCCAGGATGAGGGAGGGGAGATAGGATGCCAATGCATAGGTCCGCGCTGTAAGTTTGAAGGCTGTCTGAGCTCCGATGGTCACCATTAGAAAGTTCAATAACCTACCTCCTGCACCGACTACGATTCTGTCGCCATGGATCCATTGGTGAAATCCTCCCAGACCAAGGCGAGCAATCGCACCAACAGTTCTCCGGTCACTCTTCTTCCCGTTACTCACCACATCGACCATGGTGCGAACGAATTCCGACACGTCGGTGGGTTTCCTGCCCGAACCAGCCTCTGCAGTCGAGGCGAACGCGATACCGTAGAACATCTTCTCCGAGGTCGACCAATTCTCCATGGTGCGCTGAACGTCGGCGGCTGGACGCTGTGCGGCAGCTGGGGTGCCAACGGTGCCTACATCGACTACGACTACCTTGATGTTCTTCATGGTCTTCGTCTCGTCGGTTGATGCAGCCGCGCGGATCTCGCGACGAAGGATCTCGACACCCCGAAGGGTAGCAGCAGCGCTCATCGCCTGCGCCGAGCCGAATGGCACACCGACACGTGCATCCGTGGCTGGCAGGCAAACAATGATGCTCTTCTTGCCATGTGAGGAACCATGGCCACGGGTCTGCCGAAGGAGGGGTAGCAGCGATTGTAGGATCTGCAACGGAGTGATGTGGGTGGATTGCAGATACGTAGAGTACGACTCGCGCAACGGGAGATGTTCAAGAGGTGCAGGCGCAGGAGCTGTGGCCGGAGAGGGCAGCGTGAGCAGGGAGATGACGGAGTGGATGTACATGTCTCGGGTGACCGAAGCATATGGATCACCGGCAGCAGTGATTGGGAACCGTCGAGAGAGCGTGTTCGAGAAGGAACGGAGGAAGTACGGGATCGTATCGGGCTGGCGATAACCGAAGTCAGAGCGAGAATGGGACACAATAAGTCTAACACTCACCGCTGCAGGATCCAACACCAGTGCCCGTACATATCCATGGCATCGTCGCTCAACCTCTCCAACAGCCTCAGGCGTGGCGACGCTGGTGATGACGATGTATCCTTTCTTCTCAAGCTCCAAGATCAGCGGCAGACCCAGGGGCGTTTCTCCCCCGAGCACGACTAGGAGGCTATCAGCAGAGGGGTAACATGGAATGCACTGCAAACATACCGACAATCTGCCTCCTCTCTAAGCTTGCAGATGCTCTCGTGCGCGCAGTCCTCGCCTTGCCTTTGTGGAACCCATAGCCCACCAAGAGACCCGTTCCCACTGCACCAAGACTGACACCGGCGGTCATCCACGGATGATCAATGACCCATTTCGCCGAATGCTGTAAGAACGACTGAGGCGGCGGGGGAGGAGGCGGTGGTGGTGGAGGAGGGACCTCAAAGGTCCCAAGCCCATGAATGCGGAATTCTGGGAGAGCTAGCGATTGGGGGCCGAATCGAGAGACGTCCTCCCATAGGCGATGGACGGCTTCGCTGACTTGAGGCAAATCGGGGGTTGCTGCTTGCAGAGCAGAGAACAGCAGCTCCTCCACTGACTCCAGATAGTCCTCAATCTGCTCGACAGTGGGTATAAAGACGGGCATGGCGAGCACAGAGTTTGTAGCGGAACGCCCACGGCGGATGAGTCGCTATGCCCGTGCCGCCCACAATTCGTAGTAGAAGCGCCTGGCCAAATACGCGTAATTATTGCCACCGGGGGCATGAGCCCATGATTCTGCCGGGAACATTTTGGACACATTGTAATAACAGTCCAAATAATTACGCAATGTTTTCAGTGCATATATCTTGAAATCATTTTGAATGTTTTAAGATGTTTTAAGAATTAGCATTGGTGGAACAATTTTGATAGCATTCATAAAGATGCAAGAATGAGACCCCAATGTTGCAGCTGACAGCATTCAAGCAATATTGCCATAACACTATAAATGTTTCTTCAGAGAAAATTTTAAATGATATCCATGAGGGGCCATGATGTCTTCAAGATGTTCCCATTGAGTTCACTGTGATCGCATAAATGGTGTTGCTATATATAGTAATGTGCTAACCACATTAGGACATCTCCGATGCGTTCAAAATGATTCTAGTCGGCACATGATGAAAAGCATCTGGTACTCATTGCAATATCACATTGATCACATTTTTAATGTATCCTTATGATTCATTCAAAATGTTGCCAACATATTTTGTGAATGCTGGCCGGAGTAAAATTGTTGTCGCACTATGGTGTCTTTCTGAATAATATCACAATTATTCCACAATGAACTCACTCGAAATAATTCAAATTATTTTATAATGTTTACATCAGTAACAGTAGAGTTACATTGTGACTGTTATCATGATGTGTTCAAAATGTTCCCGGCGGAATCATGGGCTCATGCCCCCGGTGTGCTTTTCTTGGTAATTGCTGTGGCTAAACCTCTGTATTTGAATCTTCCGAGCTCAAATCATCTCTCCTCGCACTTTCTCCACTCCCTTTCATGTTTTCTGACCTCGTAACGCGATAAAATGATGCAAAAACGACGCCAGCAGGACTCGAACCTGCGCCTCCAAAGGAGAACAGATGACCGCATTTGGAAGTCCACTCCCACATAATTCTAATCTGTCGCCGTAACCACTTGGCTATAGCGCCTTAGACATCAATATCATTGTGCAATATATCATATGCTTATGTAAATGCATTGCTCATTTGAGGAACGAACAGTACCCGTTGCACATTATTCTGACCTAAATAATATTTCTGCTTTTAACGTCAACACATGTGCGTCTTGGCTACAAGAGCGTACCGGAACTTTGATGAACTCATCAAAGTCAAGCACCGCTCGATCCTGCTCGATAAACGTTTCAAAATCCAACCGCCGATTCTCAAATCAGTGCCTAGCTTGCCTACGATGAAAACAAGACGGACTCTGGGCACCATTGAACGATCTGTTTCAGCTTAGATCATACACAGCTGTGCCACCTCCTTGTAGCCGCGGCTGGCGACGCGACACCAATATCGGCACCCCGGGGGCCCAGATGCGCTGGCAACGCGTCTGCCTTCTCACCCGATGGATTGCTTCTGCATAAATGCTGCGATGGATCATCTTCGCTTGACGATCGTAGCGCAGATGCCATGCACAGGCAGCTTCTGGTTTGGAACGAGTGCGCTGGCTCAATGCGCATCATGTGCCTCCCGATTCATGTATGGGAAGACATGTTCCCGATGTTACGGGAGCTCTCACACAACAATGATATGCTCGATATGATTCCCGCTCGCTGGAGGTGATGGATGCGATGGAGTCGGCATGTTCAACGACACGATTGGCAGATGCTGAGAATGTCAGCTCAGCTGAGCCCATCATACTGTGAGAACTGCGCAGGGTTCTCAGTCGACTGGTCAACTCCAGCAACAGAAGAATATCCGATATGTGCTTCCGCACCCGTGATTTCGTCCCGCTTTGCATCTGATGATCATATTTCAAGCATGTCAAATAGCTACCCAGAGCGAGCTGCTACTTATACCTTTGCTACCCACTCCAATTCCACAACATGGCGAGCGCGACCTTAGAGGCGACCGACTCGGAGCTGCTCAAGGCAAAGTGAGCTTGGAATGCTCCCTGTTGGCCAGTTTGCTGACTCCGAGGGCCTGTCATGCATAGCTTCATGTCGAATTGTGCCTTTGCATCCGCAGCAGGTGAGCATGGTCGTAGCTGAATGCCGCAGTGCATTATAACAATGACCCGATCTAGTCCTCGTATTCTATGAACATATCTCTACGTTCAACCGAGAGATTAAATTCTTTTGGGGCAAAAGGTCATTCTCAGCAGTCCTCTTCTTCATCAATCGGCTGCTGGCTCTCATCTATGGCGCTGTATTGATCGCAATGACAACCAACATCTACTCACAAACTGTACGTATCGTGATGGAACTTCAATCTGATCACGGCGGTCTGACAGGATGCCTCGGCAGAGGTTCGTTCCGAGTCCTCTAGCTCACAGAGTTCCAAAAACCCTTTACATTTCATGCCATTTAGCTGTGAAGTAGTAAGTAATGCATTTAGCTGTCTTATACTCGCGATCACGACGATGTCCGCAGGTAAGATTATATGCACCACGTTTCAATTAGATACTGACATCCTATCGCAGTGGTCACGTTACAGCGAGTATATGCAGTGACCGGTTGTGACTGGCGTCCTACCGTAATTATTGCATTTTTGGCCGTTGCGGGATTAGGGCTCGATATCGTCGACGGTACGCTCTCTACGATAATTGGATTGAACGAATCGTTCCATCACTAACTCTCTTGTCGTGAGAAGGCTTCGTAAACGATTCAACCGGGGTCACTGTTCTAGGATCAACAGCAATATGCTACACATTCCCACAGCATTCGTTTGTAAACACCTTTTCAAAGTAAGCAACCCGCACTGTCGGCAGCTTATATTTCCTTCTCAACCGTCAACTACCAGGCGTAAGCTGTTCACGCGGACTTTTCCTTCCCCAATTGAGCCGTACTGACCGATACTTCGTAGTAGCAATTACGGGCCTTGTGAATTCTGTGGTCTACAATGTCGTAGCGGTCGGTGTCATCTGGAGAGTGCTATTTAATCAACTCAGCCCGAACTCCACTGGAGTGTTCTCACAGAGGCTATCGTTTGTGACATTGTTGTTGAGAGACGGTGAGTAAAGCTTATGTTGTAGGACCGTGATTGGGCCATATTTTTTCTGTCTGTAGGTACAATTCAGTTCGTGTACGTGGCCAACTCCTTTCAACTGCAGGAACAACTGAGGCATCGCCATAGAATGCTAATGGTACTGAACGTGAGCGTGAATATAGTAGCACTTATTGGCCAGGTCAGTAACCCAAATCTCCATCAACTCTCATACTGGTGCTGTTGAATGTCTTCTTAAAACCCTGACCTCCTATATACAATGCCCAATATGCTATCGGCAATTTGAGGATACCGTCAAGTTTCAGGATCTATGCTCATCGCAACAGATACTCATGCATGTTATAGGCTCACCGCAATTCTTGTCTCTCGTATGTTGCTAAATATCCAGGAAACGGCCCGAGCCACGCGGAGGTGGCAATCTGATACTCCTTCGTTTGTGCGCTCAGGCTATGACGTGCAGATTGAAGCGAGCATCGACATTTCCAGCCTTGTGATCCCGTCTGATCTCTCAAACAACGTCCCTGTAATCGACCTAGAGGAGAGACCTTCCATAGCCACCGCCAACCAGACAAACGCTGTCGCAGACGAGATAATGGTCGCCAGCCCTTCGGACCAACACCGTCATCGTGAAGCACAGGAAGTTGAGGTTCACATGGAGGCTGGACCCTCTAATCAAGGCCGCGAGCACGATGTGGAGCAAGGGCAGGCGGAGGGAGAGGCCACAGAGGATTGGGAGGAAGAAGACGATTGGGAGGACGACTACTAAGGCGAGGAGCTGGAGTTGTTCATGTAATGTGGTTTGGAATCTGGTGAGTTGGGTGCCGCATTCGCAACGTCCACACTGACTTTGTCTACTTTAGGTCCGCAATTCTTCCCCTGTATTTAAACTTTCCTATACTAGGCCGCAGTCGTCTGTTTCCGTATTTATTGGTTTTTGGAAGGTCGGTACCATCCTCGCTGTGAAACACCGCTCATACTATGTATGCTGCGCGCGCATCCTGTTTTCTATTCATATAATACTTTGTCCGCATACGTAGTTAGATGTGCAATGTCATCCGTATGCTTGGACTATCTACAGGACGTTCATGCATGGTATAAATATCTATTTTCTATCGCGGTCTTATTGGCGGATGTGTGGTTGAACAGAGCCTTTTCAGAGTCGTCCTCTGCTGTGCTCATGACCTCATCCTGGCGACTGGTGAGGCGCAACTTGAGCTTGAACCGGTGCAAATACAATGATATCGACATGAGCATGCGTACCGTCGCCTTACAGGACACTTCATCGGAACGTCTGCCCTGGCCTTATCAAGCGAGAACGCATGGCGGCATGGGTCGGATTGTCCACGCACAGCAGTGCAGACGCCTGAGGGAGAACAAGAGCAATGGCTGCATGCAAAAACATTATTGAGCCTGCACCGTTGCAACAGGTCTGGCAATCTCACCGGCGCCGAATTGCTTAGGCTGACTGCAGAAGCAGCAAATCCAAAGGATTGGCAAATTTCAACGTTAAATCATGCACATCGAATGCTTTGCCTGACTGGATAGTATGCTTCATGACAGACAGAATTCAACTTTTTGCATTGAATGTCAGCAAGCTTTCACGCGAGAAACACATCCATGATACATTTTTTTGACCTGGTTTCATTAGCATAAGTGGCATCGGAATAGAATGGAGACTGATCTTCATCCATAACCGCACCCGTCCGGTCATGCACCGAGCTCTAGATGCCCGCCACAGTAATGGGCGATAGAACTCTCTTGAGCAAGTTCAATGCAATTGAAGTATCAGTGCGCACTGCACGTTCATTGACAGAAACCCATGTCGTGGTAGAGTGCGGCATGCCGCAAACGCGAGTATCATGGGACATATAAGACCATATGCATCGACCGCGGTTTGAAGAAATACCAGGAAGAGAGGTGAGTTTGAGTTTCTGGCACAGGCTGGATTTTGCCAGGCTGATGGCTCGTTGTGGGCATGCGGGTGAAGTAACATTGCTCGACTGATCGAAGAGAGACAGATGTTGCTGGGGATGGGGGCGGCTCCTACGAATTACTCTTCAAACAATCTCGGGCTTTTCATACAGTTACAAACAATGGATTTGCGCGCAGGAGATATAGTTGTCAAAGAAAAATTTTATTGGTCTGGCTGTTCGAAACGATGGTTCCGACCACGGCATCCAACATCCAAAGCAAATCCTCCTCGTCATCTTGGCCCGTCTATGACGACTCACCCATCTCCTTCGCGAGCTGCTCGGCCTTAACCTTCACATCCTCAATAGTGCCAACCTACGCGAGTGTCAGAGTATGACCAGAATGATATGTCACGACTACATACCATGTAGAACGCAGACTCGGGGAGGTTGTCGTGCGCGCCAGAGAGAATCTCTTTGAAGGAACGGATGGTGTCCTTGAGCGAGACGAGCTTGCCCTCGAAACCAGTGAAGACCTGTGCAACCTGGAAGGGCTGAGACATGAAACGCTGGATCTTACGCGCACGCTCGACCTGTGAACGTCTACTCAGTACGCGTTCAAGCTCATCCTAAGACATAGACATACAGTCAGCTTGTCCTCTTCCGACAACTCGTCCATACCGAGGATAGCAATGATATCCTGAAGAGACTTGTAGTCCTGCAGGATCTTCTGGACAGCAGTTGCGATATCGTAGTGCTCCTGGCCGACCTGCGATGGGGCATGCATGCATCGATAAACAGTCCGAAACCAGATCTTGTGACACTCACGATTCGAGGGTCAAGCATACGCGATTTGGAGTCGAGAGGGTCGACAGCGGGGTAGATACCCAGCTCGGCAATCTGACGCGACAACACAGTCGTGGCGTCCAAATGAGCGAAGGTCGTGGCCGGAGCAGGATCCGTCAAGTCATCGGCGGGCACATAGACAGCCTGCACAGACGTGATAGAACCCTTCTTCGTAGTAGTGATACGCTCTTGCCTGAGCGCCAAATGCGTCAACATTTCACCGTGAGAAACCAACCGCAAGACACGTACATGGAACCCATATCGGTCGACAGCGTAGGCTGGTAACCGACAGCGGACGGGATACGACCGAGTAAAGCAGACACCTCCGAACCAGCCTGGGTGAAGCGGAAGATGTTGTCGATGAACAGAAGCACATCCTGACCCTCCTCATCACGGAAGTACTCCGCAATGGTCAGGCCGGTAAGCGCGACACGGGCACGAGCGCCAGGGGGCTCGTTCATCTGACCGAACACCAACGCGACCTTTGATGTACCCTCGAGGTTGATGACACCGGTCTCGATCATTTCGTGGTACAAGTCGTTACCTTCACGAGTACGTTCGCCGACACCTGCCAGACACAGAGCTTTAGAGTGCATCGGAGATTGTGCGGGATTTGTTACGCACCGCAGAAGATGGAGAAACCACCATGCGCCTTCGCGACGTTGTTGATCAGCTCCTGAATCAACACAGTCTTGCCGACACCGGCACCACCGAACAGACCAATCTTTCCACCACGGGCGTAGGGAGCGAGCAGATCGACGACCTTGATACCGGTCACCAGGACCTCAGCAGTCGTAGACTGGTCGACGAATGGAGGAGGTTCGGCGTGGATCGGGGACAACTTGACACCGTTAATGGGGCCACGTTCGTCAATGGGCTCACCAATGACGTTCATAATACGACCAAGAGTCGCGTCGCCGACGGGAATCTTGATGGGCGCACCGGTGTCAACGACCTTCTGGCCGCGAACGAGACCCTCCGTGCCGTCCATGGCAATGGTACGGACGGAGTTCTCACCAAGGTGAGCAGCGACTTCGAGCACAAGGCGACCTCCATGAAAATCAACGACCTCAAGTGCATTGAGAATGCGAGGGAGATTTTCCGTGTCGAACTGCACGTCAACGACGGCACCGATAACGGTCTTCACATGTCCGGTAACGCCCTTCGCCTCCGTAGCATACGAGCGAGCTTACCGCACAAGTCGCGACCCAGGTTAGAGTCAAAAGATGAGTAAATCTCTGTACATGCAGGCTGGTGGAAGACACCAACCGGACTGTGCAGGAGCGCGGGGAACGCGAGCCTGTGCGCGTTGGGAGGTGCTCGGTGCGGCAGCAGCACGAGCAACGATAGGAACGGCTGCAGTGGAAGAGAAAAACGCGTTGGTCCTCTTCGCACTGTTCAGCGCCCTACGCGAAAGACGGTGTACGCCGCGCGAGACGAGCATAGTGAACGACGTCGACGATGAGGAGGAGTAGGAATGACGAGGCAGGGACGGCGTACCCACACGCTCCCGAATAAAGTTCATTTTCATCTCAGCTCGACTCCGCTCTCGCCCGTAACCGGCTTGCTCCGAGCCATCCTGCGGCCGCAACCTGCTTGCGACGTGCTGCATGCACGCACTGCGACAAAATAAAATTCATCGATGCTTGCGCTCACGGTGGTGCTGAAGACCTCTCTTCAACAAGCGAAAATCAGTGTACGCCTCGCCTGTAAATTCGCCCACTGACGCGCATCTCGGGGCGTGAGGGACCTCGGGCAGCGTGACGCGACGCGCGAGACGCCCGGGAAATGGTTGCCGGTCCGCGCTCGGACGCCAATGGCAATAGGCAAAAAAACTTACGGCAGGCTTTGTATGTAACGCAGCATGCAACGCTCGTCCGACGAACGTTCGTCCCCCACGAAGGCTGCTAGCCAGGTCGTCTCGTAGACGGTGTCCTGTATTCATCCAGGCGTCACACCCGGATCAGTCGGCAGTGAGTATTTGGTCGCCGATGGAGAGGTCATCGCTGATGGAGAGATCTTTGCGCAGTGTGCGGAATCCTCGGTCTTGTGCTGCACGACGCGAGCATCGATGCAGCCTCAGAGATATGCGAAGGCCTCTCTTTGCTCCAACATAGAGGCCAGGATGCGTGCGGGATTGTCACTTGCGGGCCGAAGGGGCGTTTCTATCAGTGCAAGGCAAATGGCATGGTCAGGGATGTCTTTGATGCCAATGCACTGTCGACTTTGGTCGGTGGGATGGGTATTGGCCATGGTGCGTATGCTCCATCTGTACCGCAGATCGTTCATTGACATCGTTCGTTTTCCAGTGCGCTACCCAACCGCAGGCAGCTCCCATCACGCCGAGGCGCAACCCTTCTACGTCAACTCTCCGTATGGCATTGTCTTTGCGCATGTACGCCCTTCACTCTACGTCTTGTATCACCACTGACGTATCTGCAGAATGGCAACCTGATAAACACGGCCTCTCTTCTCCAATTCATGGATGCTACCGCGCACCGGCACATCAACACCTCCTCCGACTCTGAGTTGCTTCTTAACATTTTCGCAGACAACCTGCAGAAGACGGGAAAATTCCGTATTAATGAGGAAGATATCTTCACTGCAATCGGCGGACTCATGGAACAGTGCAAGGGCGCGTACGCATGTGTCGCGATGCTTGCTGGTTTCGGCATCATTGCGTTCAGGGACCCGAACGGCATCCGACCAGTGGGCATGGCTTCGCGGAAAGCTCAGGGCAATTCGCAGGGCAGGGACTACTTGTTTGCGAGCGAGAGTGTCGTCGCGGACGCGAGTGGATTCGAAAACTGGGAGGACGTGAAGCCAGGTAAATTCGATTTTTCGCGGCGCGTGGACGAAATACTGAACATCCATAGGCGAGGCTGTCATCATCACTCGCAACAGCGTCAGTCGCCGCATCGTGGCCAAACCGGCGTCGTTCGCTCCAGATATCTTCGAGTATGTCTACTTTGCTCGCCCTGACTCCGTATTAGACGGTGTAAGCGTATACCGAAGCCGTATGGCCATGGGCGATGCACTGGCGGAGGAGGTAAAGCGCGTGCTGGCGAAAAAGCAGCTGATGGTTGATGTTGTCATTCCGGTGAGCGAGGCTTCTTGTGTTGATAGCGTCTGCAGATCATTGATCAGCACGAGCCAGGTTCCAGACACATCGCGAGTCGCGGCCTTAAATCTGGCGCAGAGGCTGAACTTGCCTTACCGGGAAGGCTTTATCAAGAACCGCTACGTCGGGCGTACCTTCATCATGCCTGGGCAGCAGATGAGGTATGTAGTCTATGTATGCGGCTGGGTCATATCACTAAACAATTACAGGCGCAAGAACGTGAGGCGAAAACTGAACGCGATGGCGCTGGAGTTTGCCAACAAGAACGTCCTCATTGTAGATGGCATGTGTGCATATGCATCGTAGTTGCCCTTGTCTGACTGTTATCTGCAGATTCTATTGTACGCGGGACTACCTCTAAGGAGATCATCCAGATGGCAAAAGACGTCGGCGCGAAGAAAGTCATTGTCGCGAGCTGCGCTCCGCCGATCCGGTACTCAAACGTGTACGGCATCGACATGCCCTCACGCTCGGAGCTCGTCGCGCACAACCGTGACTCGGATGCCATTGCCCAGGCAATCGGCGCAGACCTCGTTATTTATCAGACGCTTCCCGACCTAATCTCGTCTGTGCGCCAGTTCAACCCATCCATCCCGAAGTTCGACTGCTCTGTGTTCACCGGCGAATACGTCACAGGGGGCGTGGACGAGGAGTACCTCACGGGGTTAGAGCAGCTACGCACGGACAACGCGAAAACCAAGGGTCTCCGGGTGAATGGCACTAATGGGAGTCCCGAGATTGCACGGGAGTCGAGAGAGCTCTCGTTAGGATGTAGCGGGCCGATGAACGGTGCGGATGGTACCATAGGGTTGCATAATAGTTGGAAACTGGGCTAGATGCTTGTGCGAGTAATGTAAAGATCATTGTATTTTCTGATAATCTGGCGACATATGTTATAGACGAAAAGGCGTAGGTGCTGTAGTAATATTAGTAAGTCGTGTTCTTCCCTTCAACGTAATGTTCGTACTTTGGCAGGCTTCAGGGTATGCGGACAGGAGGTCATTACGGACGATAATCAACAAAGTGTCTGCGGTACTCTTGGCTAATCCTAGCCGGCCTCTTGGACCACGTAGATGGCCTGCACCATGGATAACTGACATTCGAAAACATTTTATCTTTTTCCTTTGAACAGGTAATGAATAATGCCGTGCAAGCAACACACTCGACGCCAGGCTCTCCTTTCCCTCTTACCACCACCTTCCTGTTTGGGACAGGGAGGTGTCCCCCCTCTCCTCCACTGTTTATCTACCGGTAGCTGTCTCGCATCGCTCTTAGGGGCTGCCTTCATCATTCCTGCTCTCTTCGGATTCTCTGGGGGGTCTCACTGTGTGGTCTGGCCGGCAGGGGGTAGCGTGGTGCTCCCTTGGCGAAGGAGTGTAGTGCTGGGCATGCTGGCAGCTGCGTTGCTCTTTTGTCGTTGCTGGATTGTGCTAATGAACAGGCTGGGGGTGTCCCCTTGGCAAAGGGACTTAATAGCTGGGCATGCTGGCTGCCTTCCTGTCGCTTTCGCATCAGCGCCTACTGGGGGTGCAGGTGTTTAGTGCCCAATGGCAATGCAGTCTCCCCTTGGTAAAGGGAGTTCGCAGCTGGACTACCGGTGCTGCAGTGCAAGCTCTTGCCTCTGGCGAGTGCATTCTCCTCAAAGCTGCTCTTCGGAGTAGCTGCCCGAGAGGGTCCGAAAGGATAGAGGTCGATAAGAGGGGGATTTGGGTGAAAACAAGCCGACCAGCTGGACAGGCCACCCCCCTCCTGTGCCCTCTGGGTATGGGACGTTAGTCAGGATCAACCAAACTCCGGGGCAGTGTCATGCTGCGACTCCCAGCCCGGTAGCGTCCCTGGCGAGGCGGAGATCACGAACACTTATTACGGGGATCCGCGCCTACGTGTAGTCTCCCCTTGGTGAAGGGAGTTTGCAGCTGGGCTACTGGCGCTACATAGGCATTTGCAAACCGGGTGTCGTGGAACGGGAAAGCGATCCGGGGGTGGCGCCCTGGGGTAATCGCCGGATCGTAGCGGGGTGGGGGGAAAACCTCTGTCCTGGCTCGAGAGGTCTAAATCCTCCGTCGGTGGGTCCTCGTGGAAGACGAGGTGTACCTGCATGAGTGTGGAAGACGAGGTGTACCTGCATGAGTGTGGAAGACGAGGTGTACCTGCATGAGTTGATACCGCGTCACGGTATGGCAAACGACCTTTGGCTGAAAGCTCATCATGAGCACCGGTGCTTGCATCGGGATGTCCAGAGGCGGCACGCGTGCAGACTAAGGCTCCAACTATTTATACTATTTACACTCCTGAGGTGTAAATAAATAGTATATAGTAAACAGTTATCTATATGTCATATAAACAGTTTATATAAAGTTTATATAGTTTTTTTGGTCTCATCTTTTGATGGAGTTTTACTCAACTGTGAGCAGCCTCTGTGATTGTTGAGGCCTTTAAGGACCTGTTTGCATCAGCAAGCACATGACAGTGAGCAGACAACAAGCATTCAATGTCAACACTTGCACCAGAAATGACCAGAAAATCTTATGTCATACAAGAAATGACAAGAAACTCATGTTCATGAACCTATATGATGATAAATTGTCAGTGGTGACTGCTGTTAAACACTATGACTTTCAATTGGCTCACTGTTGTGCTGTCAAATCTAGCAATTGTGCACTCAATAGCCCTATATCATCATAAAACTATTTATACTATATATATACATCTATTTACTATGTACAGGCCCAACTGTAAATAAACAGATATAGTAAACAGTTAAAACTATGTAACATAGTAAATAGATAGAAATGTTGGAGCCTTAGTGCAGACTGGGATGCAACACGGGGATAAAACCTCGTGCCCTGATGTGATTGCAACGTGCGCTTACCGGAAGGGCATTATGTCCGCAAGGGGCCCTTTGGATGAGAACCTCCGCGCTGGGCACGCCGACCTGCGCAAATCGACGGTGCTCGCTCGTCCGTGGTCCTCGGATTCGAAGACCCGGATGGCTCCATCCTCACGGCCCTCCTCCAGACTCCCCTCTTCGCCTTTGGCACACCCGTCACCACGTCGCGCTGGCGTGATAAGCCGCGCCTCCGGCAGTGTACGAGGTGCTGGGGCCTCGGACACCTCTCTGCAGGCTGTACGAAGCCACCCCGGTGCCGTGTGTGCGCCGGCCGCCATCTCGAATCGGTGCACCGCGCTCGGTGCGCCATGTACGCGAAGGAGAATCGCGCCGCCTCAGACCCTTGCGCTCACGCGCGCTGCATGAACTGCCGTGGTCTCCACCACGCCGACTCTGACCAGTGCCCCAAACGCACCGCTTTCCGGAACGCTGGCCCCACTCCGACCTCTTCTCTCGAGCGCCCCGTGCTGCCCGCTGCTGGCGACTCCGATGTTGCTATGTAGGGGCGAGTACGACTTTAATTTCTCCCACGTTCCTTTCTTTCCATTTCTAGCGCCCCCCGTCCGCTCCCCTCCGTCACCACAAGGCATGCCCGCACCGAATACGGGATCCACATGCCGGCGTAGCAACACTTAAACGCAGGGGATCAGTTTTTATCCAGCCTGCTGCGTGGTAGGGTTCGCCGCGCGTCACCCATTCATTCTGTCGATTCCCTCAGTTCTTTCCCTCCGCCCCGACATATCTTTGGCTGCCAACTCACTCCGCCCTTCGGCCTGCCATCGTGCAATTCACTAACCCTGGTCCAGCTGGCTCCCCCTCAATGTTCAACTGGTCACCATGCCCCGCACGCCACTGTGCCTCTGCGGTGAACGAGGACTGTTTGGTGGGAGTATCTTGGGGGTTCGATTCCCCTTAAACAGTGTTTCTAACGAGTCAACGGACTGACCGCGGCGCGGTTTTCGAGTCTGGTTAGGCATATGCATTTTGTTAGGTTATTGGCGCTTGCGTGGTCCATGACACAGCTTACCGGGCTTCGTGCCCTTCTACTATACGCCTGCTCTGTTGCGTCCGTGGGGACCTGGTGTCCGTACGTTAAGCTTCTTCGCCCCCAGATGCGTCTGGTCCTCCGTTGTTACAAGACATGTATTTACACACCTCCGACCGCCCCTTCGGGG